CAGCCATTAAGGAACTTTGCTCGTGGAAACCTCCGTTCAGGAACTACTCCTCCAATCATCTAAGCTCCATTCACTTCTTTTTTTTCTAGGTCGGTTCTGGTCTGCACGGCTCTTACGGGGGTAATCGACCACGCCAGGGGAGGCTGGACCAATCATCACATATCATTCGACTCGTTTCCTCCCCGATAAATTCCCCCCTCTAGAAACTAAACCGTAAAAAACGGAGAAACGGAAGAAAATAAAACGAAATAAAAAGAAACAGCCCCCAATCATCATCTACATGCAACATCCTTCTCAAACCCACCCCAGGTTTCTTGTCCTTTTCTCCGCTGCTTAACCGCTTCGCTGCTCCACTTGATACTTCCCGGTGTGGCCCCTGCACCTGCGTCAGCTGGGCCTGCGCTATGCGTATGTGCAACTGTACAACGTACAACGCTCCGTACAGAGCACGGAGTTCCTCCTGCGGTCTCTTCCTCCATCTGGATCTCTAAACGCCCCTAGCTAAATCTACGTACGAGGAGGCTGTAAGTAGGCTTCATCACGCAGAAAAATGCTCATCCTCATCCTCCCTACTGTAGATTTTCGTGTCCATTCCAGGCTTATCCCCATGCAGGGGCTGATCCTGAACGCTCCTACAAGGTCATGAACTCGGCCCATCACCCCATCACACAGCCGCATCACTGTGACACTAGGACATGCCACTATTTCCTTTCTTCTAGGGGCGCCCTGTTCGGCTACTACAGTGCTGCTGCTGCTGCATCCTTCACCACGCACGACCCATAAGCGGCCCCTATCGTAACCCGTTGCCACCACCCCACCCCCAAACGGGCGATCAGTGCAGCTGAGCACCGAGCAAGGAACAGGGTGAAGGGATGGTTCCTTTGTAGCATTAGCACGATGCAGTGAGATGGCACATTTTGGACGTTCTCGACCGCCCGATCTGATAGATCCGTGCTGATTGCTGATCTACAGTACAGTACGAAAGAAGGGTGGCATTAACGACGCGACAGAAATGTTCGTGGCACGATAAGGCTGGTCCTAGTAAGGAACCCCCCTTCAATACAAAATGCTACATTCGAGATTTACAAAATACCCACTTAGCCTTTATGTATATATATTCCTATATATTAACGCTTCTTGCCAATACCGTTTGCGAACGTTATTCGCAACCTCTATCTGTTTTTTTATAAGAGACTGATTTATTATTCTACGTTCCTTCCTATCATCAACATTTTCTAAGGTCATTTCTAAGGTCTTTGCTAAGGTCTTTTCACCTAAATAAAGATAGATTATTAAAGTTTATATGATGCTGGCGTAAATAGTCGCTGATAATACTGGCATGTAGCGTTATGATATCGGATTATGTGTATATAAGGACTTGGCAGGTACTATGTAAATCTCGAATGTAGCATTTTGTATAGAAGGGGGCATTCTTCATTAGGACTAGCCTGGTCGTGCCGTGAACTTTTCTGTCGTGTTGTTAATATCACCCCGACAGAAAGGGGCTGATGGACGAGAGCGCTGGCATGGGGTGTTTTCTCTACCTTTTTTCCCCTTGTTTTGGTCTGTTTCTCGATTAATGAATGATCGTCTCATGCAGGTGATACTTGGGTTTCCGACTCCATGCACCGAGGTGGACGGAGTATGTATTGTACTCCGCACAGCTGAGGGGCCAGCGAGTCCTCCTTAGTGCCGTTTAGCATCGTGGCCCGGCGAGACACCGCGGCCCCAAAAAAGGGACCTGCGTCTGCTTACGAGGCAAGAGATTATGGTCCCGTAGCGTAAACTTAGCTATATTCGCAACGAGAAGTGCTTTTGACACTGAAGTCTTGATTTCGGTTCTGTTCTGGACTTTGCGATTTGAAATCATTTCGCTAGCCTTGCGACTGCCGTCTGCCTTGCGAGTTCGGCGTTGACTCCCAACAAAATCGAGCTGATATCAGCGACCGCCTGGCGGGGTAGTTTTGCTATCTTCTCTCGCAGGCCTACTGCAATTCTAGATCCTTCGAAGTCATTGCACATTCTATCCTCTCGATGTGCAAATAGTCCAGATACTGGGCAATCTCCCGCTCAAGTTCATCGAGCCCGTATCCGCCATGATCCATCAACGAATACCAAGGAAGTTCTTCATCACACCTTCTATCGCTGCCATGATCTCATTTATGTCCCCATAGCATGGCCGTTCGTTGATGTTCATCTCCATGCATCCCGATTTGGTAGTATGCATCAGAGTCTAGAATGACAGTACATCGAAGTCGACAGCTTCTATAGCGCCAACCATGATAGCATGATCATATATCAGGTGCTTGTTGTCTGGTAAGAGACCTCCAATCGTTGATTATATGGTATGGTACACACGATCAGTGCCTATAAGAGAAGCACTGCAGCGCATACACGAGATCTGAGGATGAATAAGTCCCAGTTTTGTAGCCCTACACCGGCATTGTTTTTATAGGTCTGCTCCCTCTGTCATGCACTTCTACCCAAGCTAGCGGCCTTCAAGACGGGTTCTCGAGGTGAAACTGGTACTAGAAAATTAGGAGCAGTGTGACAAGAGCCAGTCGCCGGCTCCTCACCTGCCTGATCAATTAATTGATGCAGACGCTGCGGCCGCGAATCATCAGGCTCGAGAGTTGTGTTATGCCATTTCTCTCAAAAGGCTCACGAGAAAAGACTATTTTGAGATACCTCTGCATCTTGGAATGATGTATCGACTGTTATCCATACTGACCCTCGGAGTACAGTCGATGACTGCATCGGACAAGTATGCAGGCAATAGACTGTTGGGAACGGTCCCGGATATACTACAAGTACTGTTGATTTCAAGCAGCATATATTGTTTAATCATTACAGAATGCCAGATCTTGGTTCATGCCGATGTTGACGTGAAGCAACAGAGCCTCGTAGTGATTGGCTATAGATAGAATCAGGACTATTGTTTGGCGACAGAGTTTACGCCTATGATTCCCCCAAAGCACCGAGTCGACTTATGCAGCGAGGTATACTGAGGGATCATCAGAGGGATAAAGTTGGTTTTTCATGATTGAGTTTGGTCTAATTTCTACATCGAGAGGCCCTCAAATCTCGATAAGGCCGGCATCGGCACGACTAGCCTACAGCCTCAATCTCAAGCAGCAAATCCTAACGCGTCGGGCTAATTGGCTTTTCCAGGTTGAGACCCGAACATCGCTGAACGCGCAATCAAGGTAAACCTCGATGCCTGGACATGGTGGCTGAGTCAAGGTCTTCGCCCCCAACGTCTCCTATTATTGTCTAGTATGTACTCCGTACGAAGTACGAAGTAAAGCCATCCAGCACTCACCGTATAATGTACAGCGCACTCTCACTGCATCCACGTCCCACTTGCACATGAATAGAACTATGATCAGATCCACGTACGCCTTGCGGCACCACTTCGGGCAAGAGACTTCCCATACCCGTGGATCTACTTGATTCAAACACACCTCCTCTCGCCCGCCCAGCGCCACCGCTATACCGCAATCCTAGACTCTTCCCATCCGTGGTTTAGTGGAAGGTCTATCCAGAATTTCCACTCTTATGGTAACCGGCGTTCTCGTTTGCCAAGTCACGGCCGAGAAGAGGGTCAAAAAAGTCAAAGAACGATCTTCAAATCTCCAGCGAATTGGTGTGGGCACACCCTTCCCGAATTGCTCAACCCTGGGCTCCACAGCAACTGCCCATCCCTTCCTGAAAAGATCACCATGACAAGCCATGGAGTAGAAGTTGCCCGTCCCGCTTACGTTCTCCGCTCGAAACCCTTAAGCCTCTGGCTTGAAAGTCAGAGTCCAAGAACAGCGGTGTTGAAGTCAAGACGTGAAGGGGAAAGTCCTGGAGTCCTCATGCCAGTTTTCCGACCGTGATGGGTGGACAACTAATCCAAGCAAGTGAACGAGCAAACTTACTGCTCAGAGTCCCAAGAGGAGCAAAACAGTGCCGCACTCGCACTTGCATAGTTTAGTGGCTTGGGTGTAAATAAGAAAAGAGAAAAGGTTTTTCTGCCTCCTCACTGACTCAACGCCTTTTGTACACCGTGCCGTTGATCTCAAGTGGAGATGACTCCTCTTTGCATCCTTCACTGGAGTCTTTGACTCTTTGACCTCCGATAGTCTTCCGTAGGGGACCCTCGAATGGATGTTCTCAATGGGGGTACACTCGTGCCCCTCTTGCACCATGCATTTCGATCGGTGTCTCAATATCTATAGTGTCCCCAACGCCCATGCGGTAGTGCGTTGATAGCGCGGCCTTTAGTCCAGTCTGGGTCTAGACCGTCCGCTTTGAGTCGCTAGTAGCCTAGTTTTTATCGGTCGATCAGTCATGTGCATCCTGCCGTGATGGTGGTAGTAGTAGTGACAACGCGAATTATTTTGTATTCCCCTCTGTTGATCTGCTGGGCGTCGCAGGATGCGATGGATCCACGCTCGGGTATTCAATCAAAGTTCTCGTACCCGTCGACAATTTTGATCACGGGGCGCTCTTAGAAGAAATTTCCACACTGGCGGGGATCGATCTGCCGGGCGTAGGGCTTCGAAAACTAACTGTCCATGAAACCTACATTTCGCGGCATGATCCATATACAATGTTAGAGGGGTAAATCCTATAGTTCTATGTCACTAATAATTTTTTAGGTTGGAAACTTGTGGTTGTCGCGCATAGGCAGGGCTAGCTATCTGTTTTCAATTTGCGATAGACCCAGTGCGCTAGATGTATCTTCACTAACTGGCCTGCAAATCGGGGACCACCACTTATTGTCGAGGCGAGGGATATCATGATGAACTGCTTCTACAGGACCATAATTGAAACAATCTCATGGAAAATCATTTACGTAGCTATGGCATTACTACCTCGAAATACCGACATCAGTCTTCGACGTCGCCAACCAGATGGGAGTTGGCACCCACGGCATCCAGGAAATATCCACCTTGGCTTTTGATATATCTTGGTAGAATCAAGAAATTATCTAGCCGTTATAGTAGACTCTCACTATCATACTCATGTCATGTAAACTAAATTATGTTGTGATTACAGGATCAAACGCCGAATCTGGAATTTGCAATCATTGTGACGTCAAACTGTTCACGTTGGCCAAGACAACAATATCTTGACTTGATGCATATCGAAGTCGTAGACCAGCTGTATATAACTCATCCTAGGAACCAATCTTGATAGTATTACACGTACTACGTCCTGTCATCCCTCTTGAAAAGTCCGCATATCCGAAGAACTGATCACATTGAACCGATCATATCAAACGATCATTCGAGATGGCATCCGACGCGAAGAACTCCACATCAGAGTCGAATGAGATCCCAGGAATTCCTCGTACTGTGAAGAGTCGCGTTCTCGAAACTGGCGCTGCCATGACCCAAGACTTCACGCCCGTCAAGCAGATTTGCGCGCATTTGAATGCATTCCACATTTACGCCGACGATCCCACGCGATGTGTCGAAGCCAATCATTATTGCACGCACTTGACGGAGGGTAAGTATAGCGTTCACGAACGCTAAATCCCGATAAAGCAAGCCATCAATTGACCATCACCAGATGTCCGACAATGCTTGATCTACGACTCGCCCAAGCCCAACGCACGCCTCCTCGGTGTCGAATATATGGTGTCCCCACGCATCTTCAAAACACTTCCACCCGAAGAACGAAAATTGTGGCACACGCATGAGTTCGAGGTTAAGAGTGGCCTGCTCATCATGCCTACGCCGAAGGGCATGCCCACCGCAGTATGGGAAGCGGCCGAGACGGCGGAAATGGAGGATATCGCACCAATCTATGGCAAGACGTATCACATGTGGCAGGTTGATCGGGGAGATGCAGTCCCTATGGGCCCACCGCAATTGATGGGTAGCTTCACATCGCCTGAGTCGGTTGAGAAAGCGCACAAGGGTGGAATGGACGGGTTGCTTCGGGACAGAGATGAGAGGTTTGGGGTCGATTATCGGACGAAGGCGAAGAAGAGGGAGTATATTGCGCCCGTTGACAAGCATCCTGGTATGTCGGTTTGCATCTTCAGTGATTCGAGTGAAGCTAACTGGGACGTTGTGAGCAGATGCCGACGGAATGTTAAAGTGAGATGGGAAGAATTGAATGAGACAGTGATGATTGAAGAGGATATTCGTATGAGAATTGCAAGAGATTCAGACAATAAATTGTTGGGTTTCAATTGGACGGTCTCTAAAAGATTTTAAGATAGCATGGAGGTGTCTCCCCACTATACCAGCCTCAAAGATCCAGTCCCATAGTTAAATGGGGTCAAGAATGAGACCAATTGGGGGACAGCCTTGTCAACCGACAAGGCCGTTTGTATTCATCTTGCTTCATTGTCCACACTTGCTCGTCCTGGTGATAAATTTCGACGACGGCAAGCTCTAGCATTTGTAGAAGCGGTGTTCATCCCAACAGCGATAGGCAGAGGGAGAGTATATGACATATAGGCATGCCATTGAGTACTGGCATACGGCGTTGTGTTGCGTTGCATCTTCAATCATGATTGACAAGCTCGACAAGCTCTGGATTCGAGATCCAGGGCATCGACGAGATAGCGTTCCACTCAACCATGATCCCACACATTAATGGGAGATTGAGTGAATCGCAATGCTCCAGATCGCAGCTTGATCAGATGATTGCACAAGCACATCCTTGCATCGTATGCCCGAGAGGCTTGCAGACTCGGACACTGATGGGGAAGAGGAAGATAGATGGTGCCCGCGCAAATAAATTTGATTTTTAAACTGCTAGGTCACGTGACCGACGTCTCCCGCAATCCCCGATAATATCCAGTTAAATACGAACTGCTCATTTAGCTGCTCAGAGGGCATACGGTTGCCGTGCGACATATGGAACGCTTTCTTCGATCACTGCTAAGCACCACCCCATGGGCAGTCGCTCGATTAGCCCTCAATGGCGCTGGTGTGTTCTGCACCTGCACCCTGGTGTGGGAGCACCTAGTGACCATCCAATCGAGTGAGGGTCCTTCGATGTATCCGACTTTCAACCCACGGGGTGACTGGCTTCTTATTTCACGACGATATGCGAATGGCAAGGATATTCAGGTTGGCGATGTGGTGCGATTTAATCACCCCAACATACTCGGCGCGCATGCTGCGAAACGGGTGCTCGGGCTGCCTGGCGATTTTGTCTGCCGCGATCCGCCCTACAGTGCTGGGGCTGGCACGCAGCCGGATATGATTCAGGTGTGTAACTATGCTTGTGATTTGCAACCCTGCCTCTAATTCTGTTCCGTCTATGCTCTAGGTTCCCGAAGGACACGTTTTCCTAATTGGCGATAACCTTCCCTGGTCAAGGGACTCGAGGAACTTTGGGCCTTTGCCATTGGGATTGATCAACGGGAAAGTTGTCGCTCGAGTCTGGCCCCCGTCCAAGATCGAATGGGTGCGTAATACAATGCAACCAGTGGAATCGGACTAGACACCCTGAGCGTGGAAGTTATTGGCAGGACTGTCGCTTGATACATATCATCTTATTGCATCTACGGGGAGTTGGGAGTTGTCTTTTCAAAAAGGGAACTGGATTGCTGTGCATATTCTTACATATTCAATTGTACAATACAAATCTATACTCAAAAAGAGGTGTGGACAAGAGATGGAGAGGGATGGAAAAGAAAGGCCTTCACCTGAAGCTGGAAGGGTTTCTCCGCTTGTAGGGAAGAGGGTCGACCTTCTTCCGGCGGAGCTCGTAATCGGCCCCGCTGTATCCAATCTGCTTCATGACCTCCAGGGTAGTCTCATCCCACTGGCTGCGGAACAAATGGGCACCGATAGCCTTGAGGTGGTACCGGGCCTGCAGAGTGCGCAGCAATGTGTTGTCCCGGTCAGTCTCCTTTGCCTTCACGGCGGCAAAGTCAAGAGGCTGGGAGTCCTTCTGCTCCATAATGAAGACGGAAAGACGGTGGTAGGGACTACCCTTCTGGGCAACGGGAGGCAGCCATGGGAGGACGACTTGCGAATCTGCTGCAAGCTGAGACAGGTCCACCTTGGTGTTGACCGCCGAGATGGGCACATTGACAGCCAGATAGTGCATCTTGAAGTCAAAGCTATCCGCCTCCACATTGGGAACATCGGGGTCGACGACGGCAATTGTGACTAGCTTTTCTCCACGCTCGAACATCTGAATGTCAAGCTTGGGTGCCTCCGTGCTGACCTTGGCCTCGACGTAATCTCCGGGCTGGACCTGTCGCTTGTTGAAGTACAGCTTGGTTTCGACGATAGGATCGCAGTGGGGCAGAACATCGGGAACGACATTCATCTGCGTGATGCGCTGCACCAGGATCTTGCGGCGATATTCCCGCCAATTCCGGTCGGCGAGGAAGCGGTAAATAGGCTTGCTCATGTCGCCTGTAATCGAAAGAAAACAATAAGTAACGAGTCAATGATTCTCTGCTAAGAAATTGGATCATACCTAGTCCGTCCTCGAATTTCCGCTTGACCAATGGGTCGTTGATGTCGGCATGGATCTTGAGACGCTCCAAGTGCAACTGCATGGCGCGCACGCGAGACTTGTGCACCTGCTCACCTCCAGCCTCTTCAACAGACTGGGCTTCCACTCTCGCAATCTTTTGCCTCATCGATTCAATCTCCTTCAACTTCTCTGCACGGTCCTCCAACAAGACCTTTCGCGCCTCCTGGAAACATTGGTAGGGCAGCTGCTCGAAGGGGATATTCGCGGAGCTCTGAAGGGCAGCACGACGACGACGGGATCCAACGGGGTTGGTACCCTGTCTCATCAGTCGTCGCTCCAGTCGAGGGCTTGAGACAAGCGACGGGTCGGGGTTCTTGTGGAATGGTTGGTTCTGTTCGACTTGAGCCTCTGCTGCAGCTGCCGACGTCTGGAAGCCGCGTGCCTGGACAGCAGGCAAGCTTCTAGAATAGGTGGTCCGAAGGCATTGAAGCAGCGGCTTGGATGCCCGCTCGCAATGAGCCATTGTGAAGGATTTCGGATGGTGATGTTGGGGTTGGGATTCGGCGGATGGTGGTGTTGTTGTCCACGGGGGAACTTTTTCTGCTCGGAGCCAAGACTTTTGCTGGCGCCCACCGCCTCCCCGGAATCGATCAACTTTTGCTCTTCCCTACTCAGAGCGCCGCACATTATCGACGCACGCGATCTGCCTTTTGCAGTCGATTGTTCACCATGCCTGGCAGTGAAACTCTTCGGGCCCTTCGGCTGCTGTCGCGCAGTTCCGGTGGCCTTCTTTCTAGGTCGGAGAATGTGACGGTATGGCCTAATTTTTAGCACCTCCGCGATCTCGAGGAGACGATTGAACAGAGGACACCGACTGACTTTCTCCGGTACTAGCGACGATGCCTTGCACGATCAATGGCCACAGATGCCCAGACCAATGCTTCAACCACTTCCGATCCCTCGTCGCTCGCCCCATGGGACCGCCCCGTCAACGTTATGACCTACTCCTTCCCTTCCATGGAGCCCGTTCGATTGGTCAACTACACCCAAAAACAACTACAGATGCCCATCCGCAAAGATATTCTTCACCGCGCAATCATATACGAAGGTGATGCGACCCGACAAGGTACTGCCAGTACGAAGTGGAGGGACGATGTGCACGGAAGTCACAAGAAGGTCATCCCACAAAAGGGATCCGGTCGTGCTCGTGTCGGTGACAAGCAATCGCCAATTCGAAGGGGTGGTGGTGTCGCTCATGGCCCTCATCCCCGCGACTTCTCGTCAGACCTACCTGCGAAGATCTACGACCAAGCGTGGCGCATCGCATTGAGCTACCGATTCCAGCGCGGCGAGCTGATTGTCATTGATGACAAGATCTCACTCCCATCGAAATCTACCCCCTACCTCCTCGAAAAGGTTCTCGAGGCCAACGGCTGGAACACGAAGAAGGGCCGGTCGACATTCATCACGGACGAGGTGGACATCGACATGTTTGAGAAGGTGGAGAAGATGAACCGCTACGCGACCATCATGGACCGCAGCGATGTGGATGTTAAGAACCTTTTGGAGACTGCGAGGTTGATTATTGAGAAGAAGGCGCTGGACCAGATCCTCAAAAAGCACTCGCGGGATCTGAACAGCAAGCCCGCGGCCGCCAAATACCTCTAAGTGCTTTTCGGGGTCGCGGCGTGTGTGTGCATTGATATCTTTTTCTGTTCAATTATCTGTATTCTGGCCATCTGTACAAATAGAATAACATTTTCCAACATTCAACGAGTTCCAATTGATCTTAGTATGCTTGTGCTTGGCATAAGCATATGCCGAAGCTTTAAGAAGAATCCTAGGTGACCCAAGTAATACCGGCGACAAAGTGGAAGACGCCGAAGATCAGTAAGATGATTCAGATCAATTATCACTCTTAGTGACAACCGACTATAACCACATTGAAAAGCATTGTGAATCGGCACTTTACGTAAAGATGGTCGAGGCCCGCGGGTGTTGATCTCATCGCGGTTTGAGGCGGAGAAGCGGCCCTCGGACCGGAAGAAAATCCAGTCCAAGAAAACTCCCGAGGTCGACGGTAAAGCGGAGAACATCTGATTATCCTTTTAGTCCACCCTCTTTCTCCGACTCCCTCTTTGGCCTTGGTGTCTAGTCTCCATGTTGCTGAGACACTCTTTTTCCCGGTTACCTTCGCCGCCGAGCTGGATCTCGCGGTGCTCCTCGCCAGCAATGCCTCTACGCGCCAAGGTGACGAACCCTGCCTTCCGCGCAGCTGCTTCGGTAAGAGGGCTCATTTTCGCACGAACAGAGGGACAAGCTAATACTAAGATCCTGACTATACACTAGATGTCTACCTCCCCCGAACTACCCAAAGAGCTCCCCGGCGATGAGCCCGACGACGTTTTGTTCAACTCCATCTACGGTCTCCGCAGCATTGAGCTCAACCGGCCTAAGAAGCTCAATTCCCTCAATGGCTCCATGGCTCGCAAGATTCTCCCCCGATTGAAGGTCAGTTGGCTTGCAGTACTCCTGGAAAAAGGGTCTAGCGCTAAGCAATATTGGTTACATAGGAATGGGAAAAGTCTCACCTCGCGAACATTATCCTCATCTCAGGAGCTGGAAACAAGGCGCTCTGCGCTGGAGGTGATGTGGCCGCTCTGGCTCTTCAGAATGAGAAGGGAGCGGAGGGACAGCGTGAATCTACGGATTTCTTCGGACTCGAATACCGCCTTGATCACACGATCGCTACATACTCGAAACCGGTTATTTCTTTCATGGACGGAATTACCATGGGTGGTGGTGTCGGCCTCAGCATGCACGCTCCTTTCCGTATTGCGACCGAGAAGACCGTCTTCGCTATGCCCGAGACCACGATCGGCTTTTTCCCTGACGTTGGTGGCTCGTTCTTCCTCCCGCGACTGGACGGCGAGACCGGCACCTACCTTGCCCTGACTTCCGAGCGTCTGAACGGTGTGCAGGCTCTGTACTCTGGTATCGCTACTCACTACCTGCACTCCAGCGTTCTCAGCAACATGACCCAGCGTCTTTCGGAGCTGGTCTTCCCGGACCATGTCGGCCTGCCCGAGCGGTTGAACATTGTCAACAGGACCATGGCAGAGTACTCACTCGGACTTCCTTCTCTCCAGGAGGAGCCCATGCTCTTGGCTGGTAGCCTACGCTCCGCAATTGACCGCTGCTTCAAGTTCAACACCGTCGAGGAGATCTTCCAGGCCTTGGAGAACGAGACCGAGCAGAAGGAGTGGGCCCAGAAGACCCTGGAAACCCTGTCCAGCCGCTCCCCTACTTCTCTTAAGGTGACTCTTCGCCAGATGCGCCTTGGTAAGAAGTGGAGCATCACCGAGACTTTCCAACGCGAATACGACATTGCGGCCAACTTCATGCGCCACCCCGATTTTGTCGAGGGTGTCAAGGCCCGTCTGATGTCCAAGCCCGCCCGCCAGGCCAACTGGCAACCTGCTACTCTGGCCGAGGTCTCTAACGAGACCGTTGACAAGTTCTTCACCATCCCCGGGGGTGAGAGCCGCGTGGCTCTTTTGAGCGAGGGTGACTACAACCGCTACCCACATGAACGGTTCGCTCTGCCCTCCGAGGCCGAGATTGAGAAGTTTGTCCGCAGCAATGGCCAGGGCCAGAAGCAGGTCATCCAAGAGTTTGTTGGACAATGGAACCAGAAGGATGGTGTGCGTGAGAAGGTCTCTGAGGTTCTGGCCCGGCGGACAAAGAGCACTGCTCAAGGTCTGCAATGGGTTGAGTAAGCGGTTGGAGACGATATTTACAAAGTGTAATTTTCATCTTGGTTGCTGGTGACGAATCTCTCGTCATCCTGTGTATTAGAATTATCCCCCGGTGTTTGAATTCATATATCTTCTATCTTTTTTATTAGTTCCAGTTGTACTGTCAAAACTCTATCAGGGCGGGAACAAGGTTCCAGATATACACGAGCGCTAAAGCTACAACGCTGAATGCTGTACGGCTCTTGGTCTCTGGCACAGTGGCTATGTCTTGGCCTTGAAGTTGACCACTCTTAGGATGGCCAACTGTGACAATGTGATAGTCATCGACTATCATCACAACAGGAAGCAAGTGCGGTGGAGCGGAGCAGTGCAAACGAACCGCAGCCCACGTTCAACAAGCTGCCATCGCTGTCTGTAGAGATGTGTTGTCTACATTTTGCTATGCCATATAAGGTGGTATACTTTTGGCCCCCAATTAGACTGGCTAAGAAAGATGCACTGACGTCAGCAGAGAAGCCTAAGTTGACTAACTAGCACCTGGGCTGATTGATACATAAGCCAGCCGATGGGCTGGTTACAAACATTGAAATCCCGATGGCGAAGTGAGCCTCAAACAAGCAAAGAAGGATATTTATACAGAGATAGCAACAATGGCAAGCGAGGGCAAGGAGACCTATCGGTTGGCCTGCCCAGAGGCAAGCAACTGCCCTGATATGCACATCTCGTACGGATTGCCATTCACCGAGTCCTGCGCCAGACACGCCGAGCAAACCTTCCAAGCGAAGCGCGTGTACATCATCGCCTCTACAAGCCTATCCAAGCAGACTTCGCTGGTCTCAGACCTGGAGCGAGCCCTCGGAGACCGACACGCAAAGACCTGGATAGGGATCCGCCCTCACACGCCCTGGGATGACCTCGTTCCTATCATCAACGATATCCGCAAGGTAAATCCAGATCTTCTGGTCACTCTTGGTGGAGGATCTTTGTCGGATGGAGCGAAGGTGATTCTCTACGCTGTGGTTAACGGAGTTCAAACGGTAGACGACTTGGGCCGTCTCTACCAGGCTAGAACTGCAGATGGCACTCCAATGCGGGACATGACCGGTGTTGGCAACGAGCCCACTTTGCCTATAGTCTTCATCCCGACTACGCTTTCAGCTGGCGAGTTCTCCTGCTACGGAGGATCCACCAACCCGGTTACCCTTCACAAGCGTATTATGAAGCATCCCAAGATGTTCGCGCGACTGGTCATTCTGGACCCTCGTCTGACTCTCACAACGCCGCAGTGGGTTTGGATTTCAACTGGTGTCCGGGCTATTGACCACTGTGTTGAGGCACTGTGCTCAAACCATTCTCTATCAAGGGAACTGGTCCAAATTGCAGAAAGATCGCTTACTACGCTGGCGAAAAACCTCTTGCTCACAGTGAAAGACCCATCCCAGCTGCAGCCACGACTGGACTGTGCAATTGCCGCAGGTGATATTGCCGGAAATCTTCTTCTTGCCCCTCAAGTGTCCGCCGGCGCTAGTCATGGAATTGGACACCAGCTTGGTCCGCTCGGTGTAGGCCATGGCCAAACCAGCTGCGTGATGTTACCAGCCGTTCTTCGCTTCAACCGACTTCATTCGCTACGAGATAGTGACCAGGCAGAGAAGCAGGATCGAGTCAAGCGAGCTATCTGGGGCAGTGACCCTACGCTTGAACGGATCCTGACGAGCGAGGGTGGATTGAATAGAGACTCGGCGGATGCGAGTGTGACGGTTCGTGGACTATTCAATGCGTTGGATATGCCGAGTACGCTGAAGGCCGTTGGTGTGGATCGAAGTCACTTTGATGCTCTTGCTGTAAATAGCTTGGATGATGTTTGCACTGCTGCTAATCCTGTGCCTTTGAAGAAGGAGGACGTTCTGGAGATTCTGGAGAGCGTGGCCGAATGACCATGAGCGTTCCATATGGTATATAGATCATCTAGTTCCAGTGAACCCAGTTGCAATACCCCAATGCAAGACTCGGTCGCAATGGTTTTTATGGAACTGTGTTGCCCGTGCGAGATGTTTGTGCACTACATTGAGCGTAGATCTATTCGTTGTTTATTTGTGGCTACTCACCTTCCAATATATTTCGAGTCGGGTAGCATAAATAAAGAGGGGCTATTGAAGATCACCGATCATCGCTCGTCGTTGGTTCATCACCAGGTACCGTTCTGAACGACCTGGGCAGCGGCTCAGGAACCGTATCGTCCCTGATTGACCACGTGGGAGTCTGAGCGTCTTGCATGCCTACCTAAATCAGTTCATCCTCATTCTCAATTTCTTTTGACTTAAATATGGACGAGCAAAGGTATGACTATCACCATGCTGGGCCCCGAACCATCCCCGGGCCTCCCGAGCTCGTCATCGAACCCACCTTTGCAATCACCCGTTTATCGTGTGGACCAGCGCCATTGCGGGGAAATCGTTCACCGGCCTCACTTCTTTGCCAACTGACCCTCGACTTGCGCCGACTATGCTTCTGGCGCTACCAAAGCTGGGACCACTTGTTCCAATATGGAGGTACATAATGACTGCAATCTGCCTCTTTCCCCCGAGGCGAAACTAAATCGACATGGCGCAACTAACACCGTTCTCTCGGCTGACAGGTGCCCAAAGCCCGGGGAGCAGGCAGATCTGGTCCTCGCCGACGGACAGGCTGTTTGACATGCCGGGCTCGCAAGGTTCGCTGCGATGAGACAAAACCAAGCTGTTCAAATTGCGATCGTCTACGCCTGCATTGCGCCTACAAACCGCCCATCGCCCTCGGTAGCCCGTGGTCGGCCTCGTCGCGACTAGCACACGACCCAAACCCGACTGCAATTACGCATCCGGTTTCGCAATCTGGACCAGCCCCGGCGCTGGGACCCACGGCGGCGGCGGTCGTTGCGGCTGCCTCGCAGCGCTCGCCCGATATCAACTTCTTTAATACCGTGCTCCGTTCTGATGAGCAACATCGTACAATGGCCGCGGGGGCAGCGTCAGTACGACACCTACCTACAGATCCAGATTCATACCCGCCAGAATTGAGGGGTTCGTTTGATATGCTTGGATTCATGGGAGGAATCACGTCCGAGTTGGAACAGAAACATCTCGACCTGACGAGTGGATTGGCCGCTTTCACAACTAATCAACCCCCGCCATCATTGGTGACGGACATCGCAAGGACTACTTCGGATGAAGGACAGCTCGTTGGTGAACGACGTTCACCACTAAGTCCGGACGGCTCAGCCTCGTTGGCGGATGGCGTTTCCATCGGCAGTGCCTCGGACGCTGCGACTACCCGTGGCAGTTGGTCTGATCCTGGGAGCACCACGTACGAGGAGCAGCTTCTCCAACACTTCTTGGTGATTGATCCACCTGCAGCGATATTTGGGCCGGTGTCAATGGAGTGGAAATACGTTCGGCCCTCGATGCTCGCTCATGCACGGGACTATGGTCCCCTTTTGAATGCATTATACTGCTACTCGGATATCCACACAGCTAGGATGGAGGGGAAACGATGGCGTTGGGCGCCGACATACTACCGAGTAGCAAGCTCGGAGATCCAGACATGTCTTCTTGGAGATGTGACTGACACGATGCTAGTCAATGTCTTTGCGACAGTGTTCCTTTTGATGTTATCTGAGGTATGTGCCTAACCAGAAAAATGAGGATGAGTGACTCACCAGGAAAACGTAGGTTTTCTCGTCACACGAGCTTTGCGCTCCAGGTACATCGTATCTCCATTCAGCCTATCTTCTACTTCAACGATTCAGTGACCGCACTCGGGCTTGGACTGGACTAGGTCATTTAATGGTTTCCTGGGTCTCACTGCTTGACGTGAAATCACTTATTGCAGGCCGGGAGGGTGATCCTCTGACTGCGCTAGGCCATATCTCCGAACACGAACTAGTGGGAAGAATACCAGAGCAACTCCGAGGCGCCGCCTCGCCTGAGGAACGCAAGGAACACAGCAACGATGACCCCTTCCGCAGCCCCAGCTATCTCGTCTACGAGGCAATAGTTGGTCCCGCATTTCGCTTCTTCGTAAAAGCACAACAGATAGTGCGACGAATCGTCTGCATCGACCTCCACCACCGCAGTCGGGGCACGCTTAGCGACGAATTCGAAGTCCTTCAAATCGCGCACAAAGTGGGAGCAGACCTCGAAACACTCTGGCACCGCCGACCCGCCGTGATTGACGTATACGGCAATCCGGAGGCCTTGACCGATACACTCTGTGCCTCAGTCGCAGTGGATGTCTGCCGGACTTTCAGACAATACATGGCCACCTTTCTAGCCAACTTCATCTACCTCCACCGGGTGGCATTTGCCATCTACCCTCGAACTGACCGCGTCAATGGCGCTGTTGACCAAATTATCCAATTAGCCACCGTCGAGTCTGCAGGTGTCAAATCAGGACATCTGCCGGTTAGCTTTCTATGGCCATTGTTTGTTGCAGGTCTAGAAGGTTCTCCTGAGCAACGGCACTGGATTGTCCACGAGATGCAGCGCATGGCACCCACCCCTGACTCGGATCCTGCTGCCCGCCTTGCGTGCCATCCGTCTGCAGAGAAAGTCATTGTATTATTGGAAGAGATGGCAAGGAGACAGGATGTGTCGCGTTCATGGGCCGACTCCAGATGTGTGCGGCGGGAGTTGTTTACGAATTTCTATTTCATGATTTGATGCTCGGGGCATTATTAACTTGAAGATACCTTTTCATGCGCTCGTGTGGCGTTCTTGTGTTGAGCGAGATTTTTTGTTATGGTGGTGGAATTGAGGTTTATCATACACGAGGAAGGGTTCTCTCGTACTATCCTATACGAGTATCTGTATCCCCTAGTGCCATGGATAAGGATTCGTCCATCTATAATAACGACACTCACACGATTATGCGCACGCGGCTTATGAGCGGCCGACGTACTGTCCACACGGCGATCACTTGCAGTAAAGAACCGCCTCACAAGAAATGCAGGACAATCAATCGCCTATCAGACTCTTTCGAGCGAAAATCCTCGACATTGACAGCTTTCCATATGTCTCATCTTCAATATTTCTCTGACGAGGGCGTCGGTGAACGCAACCGCCAAAAGTTCCTATACAGTCAAGCTGTTCGGGTTGACGATAGAAATGAATGTGCGGACCCTTTGTGGCGTCATATACCGGATAATTACTTACATAGGAAAGACGGACATGGTGGGCGGAGGCCACTGGAAAGAGCAGCAGCGAATAGGTTTGATTTCAACAAAATTGAGGGTGTCATTGACATATGAGAATCATCATTTACAAAAGTTTCGACGATCTTTTATAGACCATATAGGTTACCTGAGTACAATAAGGCAATAGGCTTCCTAATCCACATATAGCTAAATCGTAACAATCAACAAGATAATGCTTTCGTAGATGCATAGAATAGACGTGAGGCTCGTTCTGAGCTGAATATCATGGCTAAAACATTCGTTGTGAACACTTGAAATGTGCCGGTCAATATACCTTATACAATATTCAAAAGCACTTGATCATGGTCGAACCTGGCTAGTCCCAGTCATCACAACCCTCCCAACATCTAGTATGTTTGATGCAGTCCCCCCTGTGCGCATAAATAGATTAGAAGGCCTTTCGCGATCCGCAAACTCCGCATCGACCTTATATTCGATCTCAGAACCTTCCGGCTTAAAGCCCAATTTCGCATAGACGTGACGTCCCATCGCAGATGCCTCGGTGATGCACTCCGGTATGCCACGTCGCTTGGCTTCGTCAAGACCCCATTGCACCAGTGCCGCAGCGATGCCTTTCCGCTGGTAAGCCGGGTCTACGGCACACAAATCCAAGATCATCACTGCCGGGGTTGACTCGATAGCCTTTTCCTTGATCACCTGATTTCGGCGCCCATGCAAAGACCCGATGGCTTGACAGACATACCGCTGCTCCGGCTCATTCTCGGGAAAAAGCGCCTCCACGTTCATGGATTCCTTCAGGTTCTCCACGGGTGGATCCCCACGACCAGGTACGGCCGAGGCCTGTACCCAGATGGCGAAGCCCGCAATGACACGGTCTGCTTGATCGGGACTTGGTAACGTGGCCTTGAGAAATATGAGATTTGGATTGCCTCGGTCGTCTTTTGTCGTTGCACGCCATCGAGATACCATGCGATTAGCACCGGCTTGTTTACCCTCCATTGTGTCCCAGCCGGGGTTCATGGCAATCCACAATCCATCTTGTGCCTGGTGGCCAAATGCCTTTGATACGGGATCAAAGGCACGGTAGACATCGTCGGGCTGTTCGATAACTTCGACTCGCAAGCCTATATCTTTGCGTGCGTTGGAAGACATAATTGCAGAATGATCGGGATTAATGGACACGTAGCGGGAGTCCTGCTTCTTCCAATAGTCGGGAGGAGCACGGAAAGCAGTTCAGAAAAAAAGCAGTGATAGAGGAGAAGCAATGGATGGAGAATAATGGTTGACAACAATAGCACCTATCGAATTTGATGTTTAACTTTATTTAGCCTAATATACGCCTACGTACACAGGATTTTGTCCGCTGGATTGGGCTTTCCTGAATCATTCCGCTTTCTAGACACTACTTTCTCCTAATAGGGAAAGCGGTGAGCTGCGGCTTCAAGGCTGGGCTTTACGCCCCCACCGAACTTCCCTTCCACAGGCTCCAACCAATCGCACTCGCCCATCCGTCTATCCACGCGCAAGGCTTCAACTATCGCCCGGATCTGTCATAGATCCCTTTTCGAATATCCCAGCCGTTTCGGCCGCCTTGCTTTTACCGGAACCATCATACCCTCCAGACTGGCCCAAAATGTCATCATCCTCGAAGACGGTAAGTCCCTCTGTGTCTTCTAGTCCTTTTTCAATACTCATACTCAGGCTAGAAGCTGGATCAAAAGCTGCAAAGTTACACGCCACTTAAACCCACGGATAAAACCAAGGAGTTCCTCCGCGACTTCTTCAAGACCCTTCCTCCTGAAGGAAAAGGGAATCTGTTAGAGGACGTTTCAGAGTGTGCAGACGATGAGAAGCTTCGGCAACTGGTCCAAAGTATCAGAACCGGGCTGTTAATTCCTATGAAAGCACAGGGTGGAAAAACACCCACTGAAATCACCCCCTCCCCGCGTCCTGGTGTTGAAGATTCAATCGAGGATCTTAAGGGCCAAGACATCGACTCTATCAGCAGAAGCGTTCAGTCGCAACTCCGGTCCCACTGTTTAGAAAGAGACGGTAACAAATGTCTTGCATCGGGGTACTACAGTTACCTTCACCCCTATCCACAAAACGCAAAAACGGCCCGTCTTGAAGCAGCCCACATTATTCCATTTGCACTTGGATCCTTTGATGCAACGAGCGGCGAGGCTGTGGATAGACACGCAAAGATTTGGGTTAACCTCACGCGCTACTTTCCAACTCTTCGCCGAATATCCTTTACCTCAGAACAGATTAATTCAGAAAAGAACGTTATGATGTTAGACACCCTCATTCACGCTGAATTCGGACAGTTCAAGCTCATTTTTGAGGCAACCGGAATTGATCACCAATATCGAATCAAAACCTTTCCAGGAATTCCGACAAGGTCAATAGAGGGTTTACCCAGAAATCGGCTTGTCAGTTTTCGAGTTCATAAAGGACGTTGGGAACTTCCACATCCTAAACTTCTCGAACTCCACGCTTCCATTGGAAACTTCCTACACATGAGTGGTCAGGCGGAGATAATTGACAAAGTTTTAAGGAATTTTGAAGATTGTGGTGGGCTTGCCCCGAGTGGAAGCACCAACATCGAAGACCTTCTTGCAGTGAGCAAGCTCTCATTACTGACCTCGAATGTCGACGAAACGTCCCGGAAGTCCATGGATAAGCCACGTCCGAAGGAGGAGCAAGGACGCCTACAAGCGAAATTTCCTGACACCGAGAATCAGCCATGGGGATACTAAATCTTAGGGATGGTCGTGGGCGCAGGAATTTGTGTCCTTCTCCAGATGTTAGGCAAGAATAAAATACGACCCACAGACTTAAATTTTGTTAATCGAAATATTGTAGCAGAAGGGTTACATGATTACGAATATGCTATAGTGAAGTACAATTTTCGTTCACACCACTATCCTGGGAGAACAGATTTATTGGGGGGAGTACAATCAAATTCTATTTTCTCACGATATGATCAGAAAATGCTCAAAGGTATCATTACATGCAACATCAACCCTCGTAAGCACATCCTAGAAAGGCTTGACCACCCGCTGGAATCGAGGTGGCTGACGAGTGAACTTCTCCGGTTCATCCCTCGCACCTTCTCTCCAATAATCAAACTCCATCCACGCATTCTCCGGCATCTGTGCCTCCGTCGCCTCCAAGAATTCACCCAAATCAGGGCACAACGGAATCACGCCAGTCTCGAGAACATACTGATCCCAGAGCTTGAGGAGCTTTTGAAGTTTCTCGGGTTCCTGCTCTGATAAATCGTTGACCTCGCCGGGGTCTTTCTCCAGGTTGTATAATTGCCAGCGCTCGGGACCCTTGGGCTTGGGAATGAAGACGATTTTCCAATCTGCGCAACGCAGTGCGGCTCGGCCGCACGTTTCCCAGCCCTGGATGAAATCCTTGGGGTGGATGCGTTCGGCATCACCGGTAGCCCAGGGGTAAAAACTGCGGCCTCGCATGGAGACGACTTCGCGGCCCTGGTAGGTCGGTGCTGGGTGTTTGATGCCTGCCATGTCTAGGATGGAGGGGGCTAGGTCCATGACGGTGGCGAATTGATCGGTGATACCGCCCCCGGCAGCGGTAGCGTCGCCGGGCTTGAGAGAGACATTCTTGGGGAAGCGGCAAGTGAAAGGGACTCGAACACCGCCCTCGGTGGTGTAGGCCTTGTAAAGACGAGACGGGGCCGTAGAAGCCTGGGCCCAGCGAGGACCGTACCAGATGAAGGAGTTTCCGTTGCCCAAATTCTCCAGACTGTTGTCATAGTACTTTTGCAGGTGAGGCATCACTCCATTCTTGACCATGGGATACGCCTCGTAAGCGGCACCCTCGGCGCCATTGTCGGACATGAAGCACACGAAGGTGTTGTCCAACTCCCCAATCTCTCGCAGGTAGTCGACTACCTTACCTACGTTGTGATCGATGCACTCGACCATACCCGCAAAGACCTCCATCGCCGTTGCAGATTTCTTCTTCTCGTCGGGAGTATACTCATCCCAAGCCTTGACTTCCTCCGCATCAACCGGGTGCGGCACTACGTCGTCGCGAATCATACCCAGCTCCTTGAGCCGTTGCAGTCGTTTCTCCCGCAGAACATCGGGTCCTTCATCGTATACACCACGATAGTGGTCAATATACTCCCGCGGAGCTTGCAAAGGCCAATGAGGTGCAGTGAAGGGAAGATATCCAAAGAAAGGACGGTCTCCGTTCCCGTCCGGGCCGGCACTGCCACCACTCTCCTTCCAGTCGCGCAGATAATCAATCATTTTGTCTCCATACCCATCGGACGAGTACCATCCCTCGGGTAGTTTGCGCACATACTCGCCATCCTCCATGTGGAGGGCGATATAGCTCGCCTCAATGAACGTGGGGATCTGATCCTGATCGCGGAGTTGGGGTTCGTAGGCATAGTGATTGGAGCAGGCGGGCAGGTGGGCGAATGAACGGACAAAGCCGCGCTTGTGGGGGGATCGCTCGGGAGTCAAGCCCAAGTGCCATTTGCCCGACATCACGGTGTGGTAGCCAGCGTCTCGTAGGAGTTCGGGGAGAGCGACGACTCGCTCATTGAGATATCCCTCGTACCCGGGCATACCACGCTGGGGTGCCGTGCTCATTGCCGAGCCCTTAGGGCCATTCTGGCCGGAGATGTTGGTCCATTCGATCAAGTTGCCCAGACCGGCGATATGGTGATCCGTGCCAGTCATGATCATGGCACGTGTGGGACTGGAGAGGGTAATTCATGGTTAGTGTTGCTGTCACTGCCTCGTCGATCTCGCGAGTGTCTCATTGTATCGAACTCACGAGCATGCTGCCGCAGCATGAAAGTCTGTAAACCGCAGTCCCTCCTTTGCAATCTGGTCAATATTGGGCGTGCGGATCTCGCCGCCAAAACAGCCCACATCGGAGAAACCGAGGTCATCAGCGACGATGACGAGAAAGTTGGGGCGTTTAGACATGATGACGGGTAGTCAGGTTGTCAAGGTAAAAAAAAATCAGGATAGTTACCGAGTCAAATATCCAAGGCAGTGCAAAGAAAGCTATGAAGAGAGAAAAAGAAAAAAACGCACAGAGGGGGAGGGGTACGGCTGCACGCGTATTTAGTCTTATAGCATCCCCGCAGGATCGACCTCTGCTTCGATCCCTGTCCACCTTGCAGGAGGAAGGGGGGGGGGGGTACACAATTCAGATTTTACCCATTCTCGTAGTCTTGTCTCGTGCTCGGCTGCTATCAATCGCCCATCGGCAGTCGGCTGCGATCGAGTCGACACTGTGGAGCTTCGGTGGATACCTGGACGAGATTCGTGGCTGCCGCGTAATCGGCTGTAAGATTACATGCGGGGAAGCTTATCCTTTGACTAGGAATGCTTAAATACTTGTTATGTAGCTGTATACGTTACAGCCACGTGATCACGGGAGGCTTCGAGATGCTCCCAACTTGTTCGTTCTTCTTCGCTTGGATCCGACCTGGTTCCTGAACTTTGGTCTGTCTTTGATCAAGATGATCAACATCCCTCTAGCATTCATCAATCATTCCCGAGCTGCTTCGTGCACATGGCGTGATCTCCCCACCGACTTGCGTGTCGGCTGTCGGCTGTCCATGACATAATACGCAAATCCGGAGATCAACATCTCCCAAAACAGCTGTCTCTGCCAAATTTGGCCGTCTCGAAACGACCATCCTTGCATTCCTTAGGGCTATTGCCTGATTCTACCTACAAGTCTTGTCCTTTCTTTCTTTCTCCGCGATAATGCCCGACCATGTAACTCAACACTCTATTTCAACAGCCCCTGCCCAGGTTACACATTCGCCTTATGCTTCTCCAGAGTCAATCGTGTCGTCTTGGCGGGCCCGAATATCAAATTGGTGGAACCATAATTCAGATTCGATTGCTTCGTACTCGGAACTTCCCCAACAGCCCGAGATTCTCAATCATCAATTGAATTCGGAGAGTGACGACTACCTCGCTATGGAAGCACCGAGGCTATCAAAAGCCCGATGGCGTACCTATTGGTTAGCCGCAGTACTCTGCTGCGGTGGCGCGCTATTCGGCTATGATTCAGGTGTCATCGGTATGTATATCAAGCATCTAATCCTCTCCTCTCACGGTTCAAACTCAATTTCTAATTCACTCCAGGCGGTGTTCTCACCTTCAATTCCTTCCAAGACTCCTTTGAATTCACATCCGCCCAAAAAACCAGGGTAAGCTCCATCGCCGTCGGCATCCAACAAGCCGGGGCTCTGGCCGGCTGTTTCATCATCTGGCCCGTCACAAACCGATATGGACGACGCCTCGCCATGATGCTCTGCTCCCTAGTGTTCTGTCTAGGTGTCATCCTCGAAGTGATCGACACACATTCCCTCCCCGTATTCTATGTCGGACGGGTAATCTGTGGTCTAGGCATCGGTGGCTCGGCAACTATCATCCCGATTTACATGTCCGAGATGAGTCCCAAGGAAGTCCGCGGCCAACTCGGTAGTTGTTACCAATTGACGTACACGATCGGTATCCTGATCTCCTACTGGATAGACTACGGCGTCAAAGCAATGCCCAGCAGTGCAAGACAATGGCAACTCCCCATCGGGCTACAGCTCGTTCCGGGCGCACTCATGGGTCTGGGCACGTTCTCCCTCAACGAGAGCGTCCGCTGGCTCCTCGCACACGGCAGACCGGCCGAAGCCTGGCGTAGTCTCGTCTGGATCCGCGCCGGCGACGACGTCGGCGTACTCGAAGAATTCGACGAAATGCGCCGCGGCCTAGACGAAGAGCGACACGCGACGGCCGGGTTCCGTGCGCGCGAGCTCCTGGAATGGCCGAATCTGCACCGGCTGTTACTCGGCGCAGGACTCTTTCTCGCGCAGCAGTCCACCGGCTCCACGGCGCTGGCGTACTTTGGCCCGCAGTTCTTCGCGCTGCTGGTCGGGCCGGGAGATAAGAATCTCCTGCTGACGGGCGTTTTCGGCGCAGTCAAGGTCGTGGCTTGTCTTATCTTTGTCGTTTTCATGTCCGACCGCTTCGGGCGGCGTCCCTTACTGGCTGGCGGGGCTTCGTTTATGGCGCTTTGCATGGTAGCCACCGCGGCCGTGGTCAAAACGTATCCACCTGCCGACGGCGTTGTCACCTCTGCCGGGATCGCCACCGTCGCCTTGATATACCTCGACATCATCGCGTACAATTTCAGCTGGGGTCCGCTTCCCTGGCCGTGCACGAGTGAGATCTTCCCCACGCGGATCCGCGAGCCGGGCGTTGCGTTTGGCGTGGGATCTCAGTGGTTGTTTAATTTCATCTGGAGCTTTTCGACTCCGTATATCATGGCTGGTATTGGGTGGGCGACTTTTCTGCTGTTTGGGCTCTTGGATATTCTCATTGTCGCGTTCACTTTCTTCTGTCTGAAGGAAACGGCCGGAAAGACGCTCGAGGAGATTAATGAGATGTTTGATGGGGTGGATCCCGATGCCGAACGGGGCTGGAAGGGTGATGCAATGGAGACCGAGACCGAGACCGAGGGTCGTCCGAGCCATGCGGATCATAGTCGTGGCCGGCATTTGGATCGTGCGGACTCTGCAAAGCCAGGCCAGAACAAGGATTATGCGATGCATGTGGAGTCAAATCCGCCGGACGGGTCTGACTTGATCGTACAGAGAGGTTCCGAGCACGATTTATTTATCTCGGGTATAAAATGACCGGCCGTGGAGCTACATGGCAAATATGAGTTTGTCGCCCGAATAGTATCTCTGTAACAATTACATCTGTAAATATTCCCATCTCATCAAACGGCGATTAAAGCAGAGTTAAGCGGATTCTATTCCGTGTTGACACCATTGCAAATTCCCTTAGGCAAATATGTCTAGTCTACAACGTAACCGGAGTCAAACAGAGAAAGTAGTAGTAGTCATCCAGATCCATTCCTAAGGTAAGGAAGTCGAGTCCGACTCGGGCAGTTTGATCTACTTCATCGACGTAAAGAAAAGACAAACCGTATCAACCCACCCATGAACGACTAACAATAGACGAACAGCCACCAAAGAAGCAAATAAAAAGCCTTCCAAGTCGAGGTAACCCCAAATGGAAACAAGCAACCAAGTCAGAGATGAAAGGAGGAAAAGATTACGAGCCGGAAGCAGATGGGGCAATCACCGCCCCTGCCGGTGGCTGTATACACCATAACGGTTCGATTCAAAAGACACATACGCCAGACACCCTCCAGCCTCTCGCTAGGGGCAAGGCCGGATCGCAGATCAAAATACAAGGGAGAAAAGATAAAAGTAACGAAAGTCAGTAAAATCAAGGATCCAGGCACACGCTTTTAGTCAAAAGCCTCCCTTCCAGATCCAAAGTAACGCCGCGCTGAACAGGCCTGCTGTCCACCAGAGACAAGGACGGACCCGAGATGAAATCAAAGTGAGCCATTTTTCCATCTCGCAAGGACACGCCTTATCGCATGAAAGACACAATCACCCCCATTATACATTGATCAAGTCATCAAAAGTCTCATCTGCAGAAAACGCATACGACGACTCGGAAACCATCGACACTCCCGAATCCCGCCGTAACTGCTGCTCAAAGGCCTCTGCAGCCGCCGCTGCGGCGGGCTCCAACTGCAACGGATCATCAAATCCAAACGAAAGAGCCGTCGACACCGTCGGTGCCGGTCCCGTCGTCGCAGTGGGCGTAGGCGCCGTATCTGACGGCGAAGCCGAGACGTGATCCGGTAACGGGATAGGCGGATCACCCGGCACGACGGGTGTACCACCATCCGTATCGGTGATCTTCTTGACCATCTGAGCCAGATGAAGCTTGATCGGCTCGTCGCCACACTGGGCATGTTTCAAGACCTCGTTTTTCAGACTGAGAATCTCCGAGCGTAACCGTGCGATTTCGCTCACGAGCAACTCTTTCTTTTCGGACTGCTCTTTGTACCGGTATTCCAGTTGTTGCGTATGTTCTTTCTTCTTTTGCCGACACTTACTTGCCGCGAGTCGGTTGCGCTCAAGGAACTTGGCTCGCTTTGCACGTTCTTGTTGTGGACAGTCGTCTAGATCAGGACTCAAACTAGCCGCCGCGGCTTTGGATTCTCTGGCCCGCCGGCGTTTACTCGCCGGTTCGGCCTCGAGACTGGACGTATCCCGTGAGTGCTGATCATCGTACGGAGGGGGTGTCGGTTGACCATTGCGGACTTGAGCGTTCTTGAGATCGCGCTCCAGCGCCGAGCCCGCAAAGGCGGCTGCGTCGGTCTTGGTGTCCCAACCACCCGTCCCCATGGTTGGTGAAATAGGACTGAGACCCCAGAGGTGCTCGTCGTCGGGAATGGGGAGGCTGAGAAAGTCGCCCGAGAAGGCGTTGGCCGTTGTGAAAGGGGATGTGCCGATGGTGGTGAGGGGATCCAGCACGGGCAAGCTGGTTGGCAGCGGTGGAGGGTTTAGGTTGCCGGTGGACATGGTAAACTTTCTCTTTCTCTCTCTGGCGCAGTCGCCGGGGGTGGAACTAAAGCAGCAGCGGCGGAGCGAGCGACGGGTTGAGCTTCCTTTTGTGGGAAACGGAAAGTCGGAAGGTGCGATGGAAGGAGCTGCGGAGTGACGGATGAAGCTAGATGGGTTTTCCGCCAGGGGAATATTCGTAGAAGACTGGGGAAAGAGGGTTTGGTCGATCCAGGGAGTGCGATAGATTTCGTCCTGTTCGGGTTCAATATAGGCTTTCGGAGCTTCACCAAGCTCCAGGTCCAAGAGGCAAATTAATTCTCAATCAGACGACCGGGCTCCCAGATACAAAAAGAAGAACGGAACCAGCTGGACCCAGCAGGAACGCGATTCCCAGGAATGGGAATGGAAAATAGAGAAGAATCGGGGTGATCTGGAGTGGCCCGGTGCCTGGAGAAGCCTTTGAACGCGATGGAAAAGGGCGTTGCCTCCAGTGGGTCAGATTGTCAGGTCAGGTCAGGCCAGGGTCCGGTCGGTCGACCGCGTTTGGGGGAGCCAGCGTCGGACAGAACTTCCAGCGGTCCAGCAGATCCGGGCGAATGCCCATCCAGCATCTGACACCGAGGAAACCTGGGTTGAGGGGGGGAAAGTAGGGTTCGGTTACGTGGGACAGAACCAGGATTGGGAAGGAGGGTGATACAAAGCACGAGATGGGTTGTCAGAGAAGGAGCGAGTGTAAGAGGGAGAGATGGAGGGAGGAAGAGGAGTAGGGAGAGGTGGGATTTGGGTCGTTGGATTTTCATAAGAGATAGAGATAACTGAAAATCTAGGAAGGTCCCGAGTAGCTTCACCCCGCCGGCCGTATGGGCCGACGAGGATAGAGAAGGGAAAGCGCATCTTACGACGACGGACTGGGGAAGGCTAGAATCCAAGGCCTAGATTGTTGCAAGGGCAGCGCAGGGAGGCCTTGGAGGGATCCTACTGGTCCGTCAAGCTTCGAGGGACCCGTGTGGTTCATAGTTTCTTAGTTCCTGGCCGGGGAGGGGAACGAAAGAGGGGTGGAGACCCTAAAGTCTTTGACATCACCAACCTCCTCACCAACAAAGGAAGCAGAACTCGGGATTCGTCAATCGGGGAGGAGGCAACGAGTAGAAAGAGAGAGAGAGAGAGAGAGAGCCCTCATGGAGCTCACTGCGATTGCCAACCGAGTGACCCGTCGTCGTCTCGACCGTGCTAGGGGGTTCGCATGCCACCTAGAATATTCCAAGGGAGTACACATTAGAGACGGTATACTTTGATCTGCTCGCTCTGAGTGGCTCAGTGGCCCCAAACTGTCAAGCTTGGGTCCTGGCGGGATCTCAACCCGCCCAGTCGCCGCCGCCAGTGGGGCCCAAAACGGGACCTTAAACCGGGTTGTGCTGTGGAGAATGTATACAACTGCCTTGGTTTTATACCTCCGATGGACTTCTGCCATGGCCTGGCAGAACGATATATGTGATAGTGTCCGAGACTATTGACATCGTCCGTTCCAAGATTTGAGCCCGGTTGATGTAGATCCTTGACAATAACAACACTTCAAGGACTGCCCTCGAACTCCGTCCATGCCGATCAAGACACGATCGGCAGGTTAAGATCTTCCCTCTACCCGAGACTCTACTTTTTGCTACTGTCCCTTGTCATATGGAACCTCACACGTAGAAAATCAGCAACAACGAACACAGTAAATATCGAACAATTAATATTCACAAGAAATAGTGGCCCAACGGGACAACGAACGGAGCAACCAGCTTTCGACTTCACCGAATACTCAAAACAACGTGTCCTCCGTATCGTTCACGGCTCGACCCGTCAACCCCCCATGTAATCCCCCGTCGATGCAACTCTGGTCCACGCCCGCAGATGGGTGTTGATGTCCGACCAGTACTCAAGCAACATTCCCGTCACCAGTTCTTCCTCAATCTTCTGCTTCACCTGGGAGGCCACTCGGACCAGCGAATTTTCGTGATCCCGCCACAGCCCAGCAGGAGCCCCCGTACCAATTCCGTTCAAGACAGGTCCGAACACCCGCGTCAGTCCGGCACTTGCCACCACCCGGAGTGGCTTCCCGGCCTGATCGGACTCGATGCTGAAGGTTCGAAGCAAGTCACGAAGAAGCCCGAAGACGGCACAAAGGAGAGAGCATTGCATTTCACTGGTCAATGCCACGATGGCGAGAGCGATGAGCCGAGTACGGATCGCCCGTGGGATATCGGTACCAACGAGGTCTTCAACAAGATAAATCCGTATCAACGTTTCGTATAGCACAGTAGATCCAAGGATCCCCCCGGGCATTCCAGCCAACAATGCCTTGAAAGTCCAGCCGGCACTGAGCACTGGAATCGTCTGGCCATCCTGGCAGATAGGCATGGTAATCACACGCAGGGCCGATGAGATTCGGTGTTCATCCTTCGCGGCTGACAGGACTTGGCTTGCAAAGGAGTCGTAAAGGCGACTCGCTTCCTTGAGGTCCCCGGGGTCAACGAACAGATCTCCCGCGCGAGTATGGTCGCCTATAAGAAGCCCTTGATTAGTATGGCTGGGACCTTCGAAAGTCGTAGATGAAGATTGGTACTCACCATATTTGCGCAGAAACATCACCGAGGCCACGATGCATGCTGGCAGCTGCAATGGAGCTGGTGCCAAATCAAATGGCAAAGTAATGAAGCTGGATCCTCCGAGGCGAGCGAGCTTCTCGGCCGACATCCCATGGAGAGATGTCATCGGCTCGGGGCGACGCAGGAGGTCCGCAAATGTCTTTGTCCGCTGCAGTCTTGGAACACGCGACGGCGCCGCAGTGGAAGCTTTCCCCAAGGCCAAGTTCGACTTCACCGGGCGAATTGACCCGAGGAATCGGTGCCGACGCGAAGAGCCTCCAACCTCGAGGGTCGGTTCCTCTTGGACGACTGCATGCAATGGTCAGAATCCAAATTCAAAGTCATGAGAACCATATCTCTGATTTCAGTGTATGCTTACCATTGGCGGTTTCCGGCTCGTCGGTTAGAATACCCAGTGGGAGATTGAACTGCCCTGCCACCACATTGAATGCCTCTCTGGCTTTGACGGGGTCGAGTAGGCCCATGCCAGTGATGCAATTTGACTGGCTGCTGAGAGAACTGATTCTATCCTGAAGAGAGACGGAATGAGGAACTTCATGACGACGAGCATAGCGTTGGCTGTACTCGCCGTACGATCTTGCGGACGTCTGGTGAGACGAGTCTTCGGTGTGACTACGTCTCCCTGACTCCGAGATCACCGGCAGCGGATCCTCGCTATAGCGAGAGGAGGAAAGTCGGTCCAGACGAGAAGAATTTGCGATCTTTCCATCTGAAAACGGATCGGATACCTCGGGGATGTGTATGCCCTCCCGGGCATACTCCTCAATGGTATTGCTGGTATCCACGGACCATTCCTCACTCGGCTCTTGCAAGTGCAGCGAGATGCGCTGAGAGGGACGTCGGCAAACGGTGATGTCGGTGTGAGTTGATTCTTGAGACCGCACCGTCTGGCCACTCACTTGCCGGTCCTGGTGCTGGACCTCCGGTTCGCCCGTGATCTGGGCTGCATGGGAAGGATCTTCATCGCCCGCCAGGCGATGAAGATACCCTTCCAGCACGACCGCAGCAGACTGCGAGCGACGGATTCGAGGCCAAAAGAGACGAGACCGACGATCTGCCTCTGACTTGCGTGATCGGAAGAGGGTTTGGAAAAAGGTCATTCTGGTGTGTACGTCCAAAAAAGAGAGATGGAGATGGGCACGTGCTTGATTGTTTGGGGAGACGACGAAGGAAGGATGAGAGAAAAGAGACGTGACGGAAGAATCGTCTTTGCGGCGACTGCCCGCGAAAAGGCGGCTACACTCGACTCATCCTACTTTCACTTGGGCGTTGCCTGGAGCTTGGACAGGAATTGGTGGCTCCTTCCGTTGCTCGAGTTCAACTAGCCTTTGGGTGGTCAATCTTCATAAAGTTTCGATCCTCTCAGTACACACGGTGAATGAAATCTATTTCTGACCAAGTACCCAGTCTTGTCTCCACATTTGGTGGGAGAACCTGTAAATTATCTTTGTACATTCATCAGAGGCTCAGCAGCAGATTGGAATCAAACACGAGAATGGACACCTAAAAGCCGTGCAAGGGCGAATGGTCGTGTTCCATCAGGTGCTCTCACAAAGGGACGAAACAAGAAACACAAGAACGCCAGTACCATGCAAGAAACGGGAGACAGTTATGTATAGGCGTGGAGAACGGGAAGGATTTGCAAAACTCAATCATACTTCGTCATTTTCTCCCTCCAGGAGAATGTAATGGAGGATATCACTCAAGGTAAGCACCCCCTTGAGCTTGAAATGCTCATCAACAACTACTAGACGGTGGACCCGAGATTTGCGGATGGTGTCGAAGATAGTATCCAGGCCATCGTTGAGCGAGCAAGTGTAGATTCCGGGGAATTCCTGGTGATCAATGAGTATGCTTTCGCAAAAGAGCCACTCGAGTAGGCCAATCTCGCCAGACATACCGGTGAACGCTTTTTCAGTACTTCTCCCACAGTAAGACCCAAATCATCGTAGGTACCGCCCCGAATCAAAGCGATGACATCGACAGCTTCAAAGACATTGTACACGACACCTAGATGGCCAAGATTGTGAGCATGGAATCCAACAGTGTGAGCATGAAGAAGCGAGCCTGGAGAAGAGCTGCAAGCGTGATATACATACCCTCAGAATTCAAAATCGGCACACTAGAGATACTGCGCTCGACCAGAATATGAATCACGTCGATGACAGGCGTATCCATTGAAGCCGTAGCAATATTCTTGTATGTGCCCAACAACAGCTCTCCCAGCGGACGGCGCAGTTTCTGTGTATCACCTACATTGACGGCGACGAATTTGAGGATGCGGTACTGAGTAATGACGCTGAGGACGTGGGGGCGATCGGTCTGGCTGTCATTCGTAACGAGAGGGATACGGCGGGCACGAGACTCGAGCATGCGCCGACAAGCTTCGTAAAGAGGACGTTCGGGGTCAATAGAGATGGTCTCGGGTGGCGCGACGCCCAGTGCTTTTTCCACCTCTACGGGCATCACCACAATGAGTCAGTATTGAGTCGCAGCGGTCGATTTGGAGGGAATTTATCCAGGAGTACACACCGCGCAGACTATCCAGTCGAAACTGGTCAATTTGATCGAGGGCAGCCGGGTTCTGGAAATAGTATTGAATGACGTTGATGTAGTCGGAAGTGGTCAGAAGACCGGCAAACTTGGATGCTTTGGAGTCCCACAACGGGGCCGAAACGATGCCTGTACCTCCCGATCATTGCCCTTGCGGTCAGCGGGTGTTTCTTTCATCTCGCATATTCGTTCTCCTGGGGAGGATTGGCAAGGGGTGTGGGGGAGCGTGGGGGAAGTGCGACATGCCATTTTGGATGAGAATGTTCAAGCTCTCCTTGACGGACAGCCCAGTATCGAAGATGATCAGGCGAAAACTCAGAGGGAGAACGTCGTAACTAGTGCGGACCTTGAGGAAGTTGCGAATGGCACGCTGTTTGACGCGGCGTTAGTCAAGATCTGGATATAGGCGGCCACGAACTAGGGATAGGTTGGCAATTTCGGGTGTAGCCCCTCCATTGCTCTGCGGTTGAACCCCCGGGGGTTCGCTTCATCAAATTCTTCAAGTCCGTGGTCCCGTCTGATCTTTCAATACAGCGAGGAAAGACCGTTCGTGAAGAGTTCCCTTGGGTTTTGCGCAGTGGCTTGGAGGGGGTCCGCGACAAAAAAGCTTCGGTGCGGGGCGGGGAGGCTGGGACTGGGGATAGGGATGGGATGGGAGCACGAAAGTTAAGCAGACAAGAACTCACCAGGCCCTGTCGCTCTTCCACATCGATTGGTCTCTCGGGTTGGGAGGCCATTGGAGGGCGAAGGTACGAGGATGGCTGCACAAAAGGCGCGTGACCGAGGGAAGTGAAGGCCCCGGAGAGGTGAGGCCGAGTGTCTTCCGCCTTCGTCATGTTCTGGTTTTCAGTGGGGGTGGGTCATTTATGGCGGTAGAGCAGGAGTGGGAAAGGTATGAAAGCGAGAGAAAGCAGTAGTAAAGCATGTAAGAATCAGAGGTAGGCAAAGGGGGGAAAAGTCCCAGAGAATAATCCCGATCTACAATAATAAACCAGTTCATCCATAATTCCTGAAATCTTGCCCCTCCTGATACGAAAGAAACCCAGCCGCATCAACTCCTCAATTTGGCCATCCTCGAGGGCCCATGCTGGAGTCGCGGCCCGAATTTCCAGGCGACCAGGCCGGTTCCAGTAGACGCGAAACATTAAGAATTAAGATATTCAACATGATTGATACTACCTCAACAAACCACGTGAACACATCTCGAAGATTTGACTCTGCTTCTATTAATCCCATCCTCACCCCCGACACCGTCGAATGTACATGACCGTTCGACAAAAGTTGACATCCTCCTCGGCCCCAAAGTCAAACAACTCATACTTCTCTAACATGGCCCGCACCCGAGGAGAACTAGGATCAGTGCTATACTCCAGAATTAGAACAAATTCTTGAATCCAATTAATCCCAAGCAGAATAACCTCACCTAGACCTCTTCCCCTCTTGATCGGCATCCTCAAATCCAACCCGCTCCCAGATAATCACCGCCGGTCGAGCAATATCCGCCACGATTTCCTTGACGGGCACATTCGGACTCACCGAGAACACAATGGACTCATCGTCGATTTCCAGCCATGCTCGGGGGTCATTGATCACCTCAATACCATGCTCTTTGAGCACCTCACTATCAACACTTCGATAGCCAGGATCTTGGGCGTAGCACTTGACGTCCTCCTTCCCGCTTCGCTCCCTCAGCCATTCGCCCAGCATCAGTAGCAGAGCATGCTGGATATATGAGCGCGGACCATCATCATAATCGTATGAAATAGCACCCAAAGCCAGGCCCACAATCTTGGTGATTTGATGGGTTGCCGTGTGCATAGTGAGAGTCTGAACGAGCTTCTTGGGAACCTCGGTGTCCCGCCAATCCTGGCAATGGCCCTTGAATATCTGGGAGACTTTTTCGCGGGGCTGGGTTGGCCATGGATTCACGGGCTCCTTAGTCTTGGTTTTGAATTTCAGGGAGGGATGTTGAATGGTCAGACTGCAGAATGGGGGTCGGTCTTCGCTTATGCCTGTCCACCACAGATGGTGCTTCAGATGAGCGCGACAGTCGTATGAAAGCACCGGGTCAAGTCTAAAAAGATCGTTAGCATCAGAGAAATCCCGCTTCTTCGATCAGGCATCTAGATACAGGATGTATTCCACCTCATCACCATCCTCTTCGTTCTCTTTTTTGACATCCCCCGTCTGGCTCTCAAACTCGACCATTGCCCCAGTGATATCTTTGGTATAAAGCATTTCCCCACGAGGAGGCTTGCGCTGGCACTGCTCAAAGGCAAACCGAATCATCTCCTTTGAAAAGAACGGCACCCCCGACTCATAGAGCTTGTCAATTCGTTCCTGTGCTTCTTCTGTGGTTTTAGGTTCATCACCAGCCGCCTCGGTCCAGCGAAAGTGACCTCCGAAATAGTGATTACTGATATTCACATTCCCCTTGTTGATTTCGTAGCTTTGTGAGTCATCCTCAGGACCCATTTTGTTCGACTCTTCTTTTTTGCAGAAGTTGAAAAAGTTAGAAATGTTTTTTGACAAAGTGCCAGGTCCCAGATGTGTTGGCAAGCATGTTGGGCTCTCATGCTGGCGGGGGCTGGTTTGCCGTTGCCGCCGTCCAGTGCTGCAGGACATAACTAGGGCCTCCTATCACATCGTATGTGACTGGGCCAGTGCGCGCGGCTACATGAGTTCTCTTTCTTTTGTTTTTTCTAGGCCGATACTGTACCGCTTTCTGACTGGCCTAGTAGGCCTCTGGCGCTGTTGGATCTCCCTTGCAGTATATGGCCAAGTCTACAATGTGGATGTCTTATTTCTAACCGATTCTCGGAAGCGGGTATGAACATCCGGAAGATTAGCTGTATTCCAAGTCTCAAAAGTACCAATTCCCTCAAACACCATCCACACAGCCATGCAACGCGCTAAATGCAAGGTATCATCGCCGAGCAGAGAACAGAAGAAAGTAGAAGAAGAAGAAGAAGAAGAAGCAAAAAACATACCCTCCAACCCGGACTGGATATTCAAAGAGCCGGTATGAACCGAGGGAAAGGAGACACGGAGACAAGAGAAACAAAGACGAGAACAATAACACGATGTCTACCTATCTATACTCTGGCCTTCAGACTCTCACATATGCCCATGAAGCTTGAATCGGTAGATGCACGTCTGATTCGAGCCCCAATTAGACTTCATTCGGAACGCGAGCTGATCCACACGAAGATTGGGGATCTCGATGGTGCTTTCAAACGAGAAATGTTGTATATAGTCCTCGCCATGAAGGTCATATCTCATCTTGCCGATGCGGTAAAAGTTCCGACCCAAATTGGGATCACCCGAGTATTCATCCTCGGGTAGACCCTTGTTGGCTATACGCAAGGTGCTCATCACCACGAGAGGAAGAGTCTCCTCGGTCACGGAGACGAGTTTCTCAACATGATCCAGCTCTTTCCCTTCTTGGGTCTCGGCCTTCCAGGGATTGAGGTCACTCCACGTGAAAGACGATCCCGATATTTCCTCCACCTTCTGGTTCGAGGAGGGAAATACCCCGTAATGAGCCCAGACTTCAATATCCTTGGGCGCAGTATATGGGTCAGGGGTTGCACCGAAGGGAATGTTCTCAACCACAAACTCCTCCGGGACGATAGGGTATTGGAGTTGAACGGTCAGCTGAGAGACACCATCGCGAAGAGTGCCGCACCAGCAGTCCCCGACCTCGCTCCAGGGCTCCAGGGCAGTCATAGGAGGGGGCGGAGTCTGGACACCATACTTGGACCCAAGGATGGGTATGGACAGGTAGAGTCTCTGATCCCAAGTCAGCTCCCGGGCAACAGTCGGAGAAGTCTTTTTCGGATTAACGACTGCTCCCATTCCCGGTGACAGGAAATTGATCCTGGGCACTGGCTTAGTAGGCCGGCCGGGGCTGACAATGCTGGTCGTTCGCGGGGATTCAGCGAGCTCTGACCGTATTGAACTGAGTTCGCGCGATAGAGACGAGAACTGCGAATTTATATTCGTCACTTTGTTTTGCAGACCGTGGAAGGCTGCAGAGTCGGTCATATTGGACGAGAAGTCTATCGGTGATCTTCCAAATGGTAGGCACCACCGGATTCTTGTCATAGTGTCACTCTGGAAGCTTTGGAAAATCTCGTCCTGGTAGTAAAAAGCAGAGAACAGGCCCAGAGGAATAAGTAAGATAAGCAATGCTTGAAGCCACTTGCTCCTTCGTGCGGGCGTAAAGATTTTGTTCGTACGGGTTCCAGGTCGTTGTGATGACATCGTAGACCAAATCTGCTGAGCCAGGCTATCTCTGCGAATAGGACTCTCCGGGACATTTCTTGATTCATATTCCTGTGGAATGATGGTCCGCACCGGCGCCTCCCATTCTTCCGACGGACGTACAGTTGCCATCTTGCCGACGGTATCGATCTTTTTCGCCGGTTGGGAGAGCAGCTCCGATTGCTCTTCCACTTCCTCCAGAATTGTGTCTTGGATCATGGACAGACCCGAAGGGCGTCGAGGGGGTTTGGTGATATTTTGGCCATGGGGCTCTCCGCGATATTTGCTTGGTCTCGTTCGTTGCAAGTCGTCTTCATGAATATCGCGTTCTAGATTCCACGACACCTCGGAGGCATTATCGACCGAGCTCTGTCGATCAGGCGAGCTTCTCACAATAGCATCAGTGTTGTGGTTTCCACGACGCTTAAGCGGTGACGGGTATAAAGTCTCATTCGCTGAGTCTGACAGCCGTCGTGGTAAAGGCGGGTCAACGGGAGGACTGGAGTCTGTAGAGACTGTTTGTGCGACAGGGGGAGAAGGCGTAGCATCAGTTCCAGGCGGAGAATGAGTTGCATTTTGTAGCGTATGCATCAACTGGGTCTGGTCTGGAGTAGGCTGCCGTTTGTTTCTTCGGGGAACGGGGCCCGCATTTTTGGGAGCAGTTTTTCGAATACGAGTCCCAATGGGCTCAAGATTGCTGTGCGTAATCCTCCGCGAAGGGGGGCTGGCTGATCTTTTTTCTGCCATATCAAGCCCGGCGTTGATTCTCTTGGCCACTCGGTTGGCATCCAGGGCCGGCTGCAATGCCATCTTTCGAGGGAGACCCGTCCCTGTGGTTGCGCCGTAGTTCCAAGAGTTTGCAATGGGGACAGCAGGCAGCGTAGGCCCTGGCAAAAAGTCAAGCAATGTCTCAACGGCTTCTTCGTCCTCCGGCTCAGTGACATAGCCTTTTTGGCGGCGACGTGTGCGTTTAGTGGCCATCCTAGCGTAACAGATTAGTATCGATATGCCCAGAAAGGATTGTAGTTTAACGCAAGAATAATTGTCTTATAACAAAGAACCCAATCTGAATGATTATAGAAATCGCAGATACGGAGTGATCTGAAGGGAGCAAAGATCCAGCAAACAGCCAAGCCAGGTCTGAAAAGAAAGTGACGAAGCCAATAGGGAAACCTCTCTAATTTGACTTTGGCAGGTTGAGCGCCAGGTGATATTCATGAGGCACACGGGGATCTTTTGCTCATTGGGACAAGTAATAGGGTAGGTAATGAGTACCAAAACAAAGCAGATTGGCACTTACTGAGTGGCGACACGGTGCTAGTCGCCGCAGGAAGCAACACTGCGAGATAAAATCAATTTCTGCGTGGATTCCTGTCACAGAAGACCTATATACACAAAGTTGTTAGCTAATCAGGTTTCATGCACTCCTGATCCATTGGTGGGGGAGGTATAGTCTTCAGAAGGGGTCTCACGCTCTGCGCTTGTAGAGTATCCAGGGACCACAGGGATGGCAGTCGCGAAGCAACAGGAAGACACTCGACACTTACTAGTAACAATTCGATACTCAAATTCAGTCTAGTTTGCAGCCGTGCTGATGGACTTTGTTGATATCGATGATTTGCGTAGATCGCGACCCCAGACTTGCAGCGGCGAGACGCGCAGAGACGCGACGGAACGTGACGGCGGCTGGTTGGCTGAAATGGGTGTGGAGTCCGCGCCAGTCGCAGACTAGGGATCGCAGGAAGTAGAGGAGTTGCTTGCTGAACAGTAATATCTCGAATTTTCATGTGCTGTGATTGCAGCGAAATATAGGGAGCAGGCGTGAAGTTGAAGTGCAAGTGAAGAGAAGGAGAGTTGGGGAGGTGGAGCGGCGATCGGGATCGAGTTGTGAGGAAGAATCTCAGCGGCCTCGACACCGCAGTTGGGACAAAGTGGCTCTTTCGAATACTTGGCTTTCATCACCTTGTCTGCCCTCAGGAACTGGGTGTTTTCTTTATTAATTCTTTACTCTCTTTGATCTGCAAGCCCTGGGATGGTTGCTCTTGCGGTGCTATTTTTATATTTCTTTGTGATTTACTCACGCCCATGTGGCCAAGGTCTCACCTTCTTGGTTCAACATCGACTGGTCGAGACTATGAAAAAACATACCAGAACCACTAAAATTTGAAGTCAAATGGACTTGATTTTATTGCATGAATGTGCTTGTTCATGTATATAACAACAGCAATTGATATCATAGTCCTGCCTCCGTAAATGCGCCAGCTTGCTACATCCAGACTCTCTCTCTAGACATGGGGGTGGAAATACTATACAACGGGCGTGGAGGACAAAGAGGAGAGAGAAGCTGTGACAGACCCCCGACGAGAGACACAAAGGGGGTCAAATGGAGTAGAAAGGGGAGAGCACGAAGTAGGGTGCTATAAATCAAAACAGGAGTCTCTTCTCTAACAGGTCCAAGCGGCCATGGTACCATCTTTACGTCCCTCGACGAGGTAGCCGTCCTTAAGGCGCACCCGCTCAACGGTCGCAGGGAACGGTCCTTCCTCGTCGACACCAACGCCAGCACCGCAGTCCCAGTGGTGGCCATCGGCCTTATCGTAGACCTTGACCACGCTATCGCCAGCGGCAGCAACGATACGCTTGGAGTCGAACATCATGCTAGTGATCGGCTTGTCGTAGGCATAGGCATCGTAAATAGATCCGGTTCGGAGATCCCAAATCTATATTGAAGCGTTAGAATATTCGAAGAAAAAAAAATAAGGTCACGAGCGAGATAGAAACTTACCCGAATACTGCGGTCGAGACTGCCCGTCACTAAATGCACGTCGTCGAACTGTAGGCAGGTGACGGGCCCGGTGTGGCCGACGAGACTACGATGCACCTGGCCACTGCGTAGATCCCACAGGCGGACCATACCATCTGCAGTTCCGCAGGCCAAGGCTGCATCAAAGCATTGCACGGCCCCGACAAAGTCAGCGGACGCGTCCGGAAGACGACCCGATGGACGCCAATTGCCATCTCCGGACATAGAGGAGGAAGACTGGGTTGCCGCCCACAGGATGTCTAACGTTTGAACGCATCGGCCCTTGACCAAATCCCATTGTCGCAGAGTCTTGTCTGCAGATCCCGAGATGAGGGTTTCGCCCTTGAAGTGCAGCGCGGTGACTTCGTCGACGTGTGCTTCGAGTGAAAAGACATGGCAATCTTCCAGGTTCGAAGAAGGTGGCACTGGCGAGGAGTGATCGTCTGCTTCATCGAATCCATCACGTTCATGCTTGTTCAATCGGTTGTCACGACTGGCGGGTCGAGCACGACTCAAATCCCACAGCCGGACGGAAGCATCCATGGATCCTGTCGCAACGATGTTATCCTCCACTTGCAAAGCGCGGACGGAGGCATGATGTCCCTCCAATAATCCTGAACAGCGGCCCACGTTCATATCCCACACCCGCACGGTATCGTCCAATGCTGCGCTAACCATAGTACCAAATGGATAGTCGAAATCAATGGCGGTGACCATATCAGTGTGTGCCTCAATCTCCTTGATTAAAGATCCGGGAGCGAAATGTTCGTGCAAGATCGGCATAGATCGTTTACGAATCGACCGGTGTCGTAGGCTTCGAGGCGATGGGTTTGGCAATTTCTCATATATCGATTCCGACATGAATGAAGCGTCCATGGCAGGATCCCCGGATGAAGCACCGGTGTCGTCTTTAACCTCGGAGGAAGTTGGCGTCTCCGCTGCGATAGACGGTTCGGGTGTCTCCTCTTCCTGGAGATCTTCCAACTTGTTATCAAGTTCCGTGACTGTAAAGCGCAGATTAGCGGGTGTCCCTTGTTCTATCTCTCCCTCTTCAACAACGCGTCATAAAGACAACGTACTTTCGACTTCCATAGCTGCTTCATCCATTTCCAGACCTGCTAATCGATCAAGTACGATCTGGCGCATTTTGTGCAAATTGGCAATCTTGTTATCGATCTCGTGGATTTCGGCGCTGCACATGTTCTTTCGAATACCCATGAGGTCCAACCGGCGACCCAGCGCTTTTCGTTCCTCCCTCCATGCCGCAGGGCCCGCGGTCAACGCTCCACCCTTCTCACTGTCCTTCAAAGCCTTCTGAGCCTTGGAACTGCGTCTCCTGTGCTTCTTATGGCCATGTTCCTCCTCAGGAAGGGTCGCCTGGAAGCCCTGGAAGAGGGAATAGGAACTAGAATCTTCGGGAATATTGGCGAGAAGATCATCTGGCAGGGAAGAGAGAGCTCGCGACTGGATTTCGGTGGTCGACAGCTTGGATCGGACGAGGTCGGTTGGGGTGGTTTGAGTAAAGGAAAAGACCTTCCGCTGCGCCGTCGGCCGGCGCAGCTCGCGGTGGATGTCGGACAGGGCATTGTGATAATGGGTTCCGTGAGACTGGTCGACCGGTCCCATCAAGTGTCCTGCCGTTGACGTGACCTTTCGCCCAAAGGCTTCAATGTGTCGGGTCTATTATCGCGAGGCAATCCGGTCAGCGGGCGCGATGCCGAGGGACAGAGTTTGGGCATGGGGCGTGTGCCGCCAAACAGGGAAAAAAAAAAGAAAGCTTACCGTTAGACCAGTGCCCAGCAGGCCGTCGCCCTCGACAATATCTGAGAGACCAGAAGGCGAGTCATCGCGGCGGTGGTTCTCCATGCCCGGAGATTGTCTTGCGGGGGCTCTCAACCAAGACCCATGCGCGGTTGAGAAGGTGGATGGTTAGCGGCGGGAGTTGCGAACGGGGAGAGAGATAATCGTCATGTGTCCACGCGATGATTTACCGCGTTCCCCGGGTACGCCCTTTGTACGGTACTTTTACGGGCTAGGGCCAGTGCCTTTGGATCAATAAGTCAGCATAAATCCTACTGTGTTTGCAACCGAGATGAGCTAGCCAACTAGGAGGATGCAAGGTGTACTCCTATCTGCTGGTTGGTACCTGTACCTACTGGGTACCGACTGTGCTCGTCATTCCTTGCACTGGCTCGGTACTGGCCGAGTACCGAATACCCGATAGAAGCGCAACAAACACCATGGCGAAGCTCATAGGTTCAATGATATGGTACAGGGATACATGCATACGATGAATTGCGAATTTGATTCATCAACTCGAACAAAAAAAAAATTAAGCGACATGGCCCATATATGCCTTTCGTGTCACACAAACAAACCTGCAATGCGAATCAGCTCCCCGAAGAATTGACTCCGACTTCGCTGGCCCCATCAGTAACTTCCTCTTCTTCAACTCACCACCTCTCGAGCCATGGACGCCGCCATTGATCTGTCCGATGTCTCCAAGGCATTGGACCTTGCCAACATTCGTTTCCAGCTAATGTGAGTATTCTTGACTGGTTGGACACGCCCTGGACCGGGCTATGCCTTATGCTATTACTGTAGCTTTGGCATCAGCTTCTTCCCCGCGCCCCGCTATGATACAGGCGCGCCGCCAAAAAAAAAATGCAGCACCACCATCATGAATCACCACAGCTTGTCGATGAGTTTCTTCAAGATCCATTTCTAATCAACCGAACCTGCTAGCCGTCTGGAGGACACAATTACCTTCCACCTGATCGAACGAGTCCAATTCCCGCTCAACAAGACCATCTATATCCCTGGCGGTGTGAAGATCCCCGACAGCGAGCACAGTCTGATGGACTACATGCTCCGGGAACAGGAACGGATACAGTCTCGCGTACGCCGCTACCAGTCACCCGACGAATATCCTTTCTTCCCCGACGTACTCGAGGAACCGATCCTACAGCCGCTCCGATACCCGCACATCCTGCATGAAAATGACGTGAACGTCAACGACATTATCAAGAAGCGGTATATCAATGAGATTCTCCCTGCAGTCTGCCCGCAGTTTGATGGTCGGGAGGACCGCGGTGAGACGCAAGAGAACTACGGATCGGCCGCGACGTGTGATGTGGCTTGCTTGCAGGCGCTGTCGCGTCGCATTCACTTTGGCAAGTTCGTGGCCGAATCCAAGTTCCAGAAGGATCCCGAGACCTTTGTGCGGTTAATTCGCGCCGGGGACCGTGAGGGTATCGATGCTGCTATCACTAACGCTCAGGTTGAGAAGAAGGTTTTGGAGCGTCTGGGCCTCAAGGCTAAGACTTATGGTACCGATCCTGCTTTCCCCGACGAGCAGGGTTCGAAGATCAATATTGAAGCCGTGGTGGCCATGTACAAGGTACGACCGAATTGAACTGAATGGGAATTTCAAGATACAGCTTGCTAACTTCTTTCCGACAACAGGAATGCGTGATCCCGCTGACCAAGGTTGTCGAGGTTGAATATCTCATGCAGCGCCTGAAGGGTACCCAATGGGAGTAAAGAATGATGAATTTATGAACTTTTTGTTTCATGGCGATCTCTATAAACCATGACCGCCAGGCGATCATGCGTGTGGTTGGGGGATACTCGAGCAGAAAGAAAAGACAAGGGACCAAAATAAATAGAGAAATATTTCGTAAATGGGACATGAATGATATGACCGAATTGGACAAAAATCGGGCTTTACATGCCAGGCGGCTTCAAGTACTCCGTAAGTGCCTTGACAGTATTCTCAAAGTTGGGACCATCAATCAAGGTCAAGCTACCCTTGGTGCGAATACCCAACTCCTGGAAAGCACGCTTGGAGTCCGAGAGACCCTCATCCTGCTTATTGGTATAGTCGATCGTTCCCGTGCACAGCGCATTCCGCTCCAAGACATCGTCCTCGGGATGGAAGAAGAACCGCTGGGAGGGTTCACCGCCCTTCTTTTTTTTCTTCTGTGGCCGTGATTCCTCTAGGTCGAGCTTGGACTCGATCTCTTCGTAGTTCTTCGAGATGATCAGGTAGTGGGAGAAGTTGTAGGGTTCCTTGTCCTCGATCGCCCAAGCAATCTCCTCCAGCAACATGTTGTACATGGGTGGAATAACCTCGGAGGGCATGTTGATCATGCGCTCGGTCAGGATGAGGCCGATCGGGGGGACGGGGGTTTGCGAGAGGAGCTGGCTGAGGGGGGAGAGGGCGGGGTTCGCGGCGGCTTTGCCCTTGAAGTAGTTGATCAGGTCTTGGATGACGGGTTTATCCTGTTAGTGGAGGGTTAGTCTTGCCGTCAATCTGTTCATTCTCCGAATTATGGGATCATACCTTGTGCTCCTGCAGGTTCAACACCGATAAAAACGCATACGGATCCGACTCGTTACCGTCCACCTTCACCGTCGAGCCCAGCGTCGGCTGAGATAGGATCAGATCAGCCAGAGCGGACAAATCAAACATCTGCGCATCATTGTCGAACAATTGGCGAAGCAGGTTCTTGAGTCCGTGGAAATCGACTGCGGGTTGCGGGTCAAACCATTCAAAGTCGACATTGACCATGTCCACATCCTGGACTCGAGTTAGCAATCTTCAATTGCAGTGCGGTGCGCGGGCGAGGGATCTCACGTCGTCAGAATCAGAGTCATTGGCTTGCATGCCGCCCATAGGCACGTCGCCGAGGTCCTGCTTGCGTTTCCCCATGACTTTTTGTGGTTTTTTGTAATGTTGAGGAGGGAAGAGGTGGAAGCCAAGGCGTTGCGGTGGTGCTCGCCCCACGGCCACCTGCGAACTTTTTTTCTCTTATCGGTTGTTATCGGAGCCCTCGATCTATGTCATTTGCATGAGCTCTCCCCCTGGCTGTTGAAGGGTCTAGTATTTTGTATTGATTGAGCTGTAATGTACAATTCTTCGAGTGTTTTTTTAGCCGCCTTGGATTACGTTTACTTATCTGAGTACTACAGTACTTGTCTACTCTTTGTTAATCCTACATATATATTTCGACACCCGCGGACCTCGGCCGTTACCCAATCTGGGCAGAACAAAATTCAAGTCGACTAGGTTAAATGCCCCAACTATCTGTAACATATTTACATAAATAAGCAACAGCTACATAGTCCACTGGAAATCTCTTGTAGGTATGATGTGAACCAAATCTAGGGTGGCATTTTGTATCTCTCTAAGGACCATACATGGGAGCCGAATCTCTAAACATCATACTCTATCTGCTCAACAGAAGGCACCTTGTTCAACTTCACACCAAAAAACTCCGCCACAAGCTGTACACAATCCCAAATGACCTGGACCTCCTCCTTGGGCAATCCCAATCGCCTCGTCCCACGAATATGCCAATGCGTCTCATTGGGCAAATTCTGGCTCATAATCCCCGGCAATACGACAAGCTGCGTATCGACATCATCCAAAACCTGACGATCCGACAAAAACAAGCCATAAGTAATCTCCTCCGATAACCACGAAAAGTCCTTATGCGCAGCAAACAGATTCAACGTGCCCATGGTATTCCGCGAATAAAGCTTCTGCATCCACGCCGCGCCGCGCTCATGGTTAGCTTGATCGCATTGCCAGCCTTCGCGGGTAAATGTGTAATCTTTATCTTCTTCACGCTCGACTTTGCCAATTGAGAGAATCGCTTCGATGGGTTTGCAGACGCCGACTATCGGGACGGCTTTGATGAGGGCTTCGCGGAGGCGGCGGACGATGGCTTGTCGTGAGGCTGGGGTGGCGTTGTCCGGTTGCGAACAGAGATGGAGGTAGAGTTGGTCTGCGCGCTCGGGGTCGGGACTTGCTGCGAGGGTGGAGATGGCGAGGATGTACCATTTATCGCTGCCCAAGCTGGTTGATTGGAAACGCTTTTCGAGCTCGGTGAAGAGCTGCTGGAAGCGGGGCTGGACCTCCGTTGCGGGGGTGGATGAACTCATTGCTCGGGTTAGATGGGGACAACGAGTATGGTGATGATGTTGATGATGGTTGTGGTTGTGGTGGTGAATTGGTGAAGTGTGAGACAGCCCTGAAATATCTCTAGATTGGTAGTTGAGGCCCGAGAAGGATGATAGTTGCGGTCTCAGGTGTGATCGTGGTGTGTATGATGGCCTCCGATGGCCGGAGTGGGTCGGGGATTGCGACGTCCATCCTGTGCGTGGTTGGGAGAATGTCCTGCAGAAGGCCCTCGTCGGGCCATTGAATGCCATTGAGCCTCTCAACGGCCGAATAGACTGAGTAGAGGAGAGGCCAATCAAGAGAACGATCAGGGACGGCTTCTCGGCCAAGGGGAAAGACGTCCCCGACTGGGCCGACCCTAGTAACCCAACCGCAGCGGTACTGGCTATGGTAGGGATGGCATATTACCACCAGAACTTTACACGGTTCAGAAAGCAACTAACGATTAATAATCGTAGCTCGTGTCTATCATTGATACAGTGGATTATTCTATGGACCAACAGAAGAACACAAGAAATAAGGCGTCGACTCAATTCAGTAGGGACTATGAAATCTCCAAGAAATAGCGGAGTCCACCAGTGGAGCACCGACGGAAGGGTCTTCGCCGGGCCCAGATTGATCTCCCTCGACGATGTCACAACGACCACCTCCTGCCTTGGTAATAGCTCCCTCTGATGCAAATCTGCTCCATCAAAACCAAACATCATCAACGCACACGATCAAAGACCCCATTGAAGCAATGTTGGTCATCCCGGCCACTCGCCCCACAGTTATGATCTCAGTGACTCCAACATGACATCATACCAAGCTGCTTTGCCAGGTATAAGACCGAAATTTTCCATAGACAACGAGATATAAGAACCATCATTCAAGAATCTACATCTCTTTTCAAACACTCTTCAATCATATTTCAATTTTTATAATTCAACATGTCATCTCACTCATACAAGGCAACCCACGGCTCCGGCCAGTCGAGCGTTGGCAACAGCCAGATTTACGAGGCCGGTGATCAGCGTAACGAGCCCCAGTCCGTCATTAACGAGCGCGAGCGTTACAAGGAAGGTGTCAAGGGGAGCCACAAGAACCTTGACTCCAAGGATGAGCGCTCCATCGCCAATAGGCTCGCTTCCCAGGGCAACAAGCCCGATTCCTCGCACCATCACAACAATGTCTCCAACCCGGAGGCTGAGCTGAGCAAGCAGGATCCCACAAAGCCGGTAAGAATGAACACCCCGATTTTTCACGTGTATTCAAGAAACAGATGTGGCTAACATGTCTTCTGCTGCGCTCTAGGCCAAGATGCACGGTAACACTCCCTCCAAGGGTGCCCAGATTGATGCCGAGCTGCAAGCCGAGGATGAGCAGCGTCTGCGTGAGAAGGGCATCAAGAAATAAGTGAATGGGCAGACGTGCCATGATGAAATGATCATGATTTCCCGAGATGAAGATCTAGGTCGACTTGGTATTTATTGACCACGATGGGGTGGGGATTTGTATTTCCTGTACGATATGACGATTTTCATGTTTTCATGTTTGGGCCTCGTGCCTTTGAACAGCATTGAGAGCGACGAATAAAAATATTCAATAAATGGAAGGATGCGTTGCAAAGTGTTTTAGTTCGTAGTGTTGAAAACTGTCTTCGTGATTCGTTCGAGAGAATATTAGGTTTTAATATATGCAGCTGGGCTTGGGAGGGCCAGGTCGCTAATGTACAATGTATAATCGGTAAAGTGAGGTCTCGACCTTGAGCAAGTAGCGAGGAGACCAGTGCTTTTCACCGGGTTCCCATGTCGGGAAGACACTGGCTGCTGCCAGATCTCGGTACCTCTGTCGTGTCAGACGAAGGGGCTCTATCGTGGTCGATATAATATGAGGCATCTGGAGGCTCTATCGTTATCCCAAGATATAGAGAGCACTGCCTTGAAGCAGGTCCTACACCTGAAAGAGGGTGGCGCGCACTCCCCTTGTGAACGGGGTGATGGGACTCGTGGCCACAACGTGGCCCGAAGAGAGGTGAAAAGACCAAGTTGAATACATGATCAACCGTCTTCAGTAAATTTAGGATCGTCGTCATGCGGCTCGGCAAAGACATTCTTCCAATAATCCTCTACTTTCACACAAAGACCGGCCTTGTGTTCCCATGACTTGAACACATTCTCCAGGTGGCAGGTCACCCACTTGATCTCTTCCCAGTAGGCCTTTTCCGCATCATATCCAAATCGGCGAAGAGTATCGGGCGGGGCAGTCCACGCACGACTATCGGATCCATCCTGTTTGATGGTCGGAGTGGTTTCCCAGCCCATACCGAAGACGTTGTCTCCCGGGTTGAATTTGGGATAATTGGCATGGATGAAGAAGATATGCGGGGCCGATGCCACGGACGAGTCTTTGACTCGCCACTTGTCTTGCGTAGTGAGGGCGTGGTCTTCACGAGGATCGGTTTGGGCCATGGCCGAACCTGCTAACTTCTCTCCGTTTTGATGGCCGACCGCTTGTACTCTTTCGCTCACAGTGTAAAAGGGTGCACCCAAGGCCGTAGCAGCTTGAAGGAAAGTTTCCTTGTCGCCTTCACCTGGCCCGCCTTGAGTCATTAGCCGGAAGTAATGCGAAGGTCCGTAGAAATTGTAATAAGCAGCCAGTAGCAGAGGAAGAAGATGCGTCTTCTTCGAAACCAGGAAAACACCAGTCTCCGAAGACTGCCGAGCAGTCATGGCCGGTGCCTCTTGTCGCGAGATCTTGTAATACAAGGGGGATGCCGACGACGCCCAAAAGTCGGGCCAGGTGACCAAACCTGTCGAGGTAAAAGGTTCCGAATCGAGAAGCTCCTCGGGTTTACCCAACGGAAAGCAGTCTGCGTCCATCCACACAATCTCCTCAAACGAGGAAAAGAGGACGGCGAAGATCTTCAGCTGATAATGCTCAATGACGTTCTTCCCCACCACGTCGGCAAGGATCATGCACCGTGCATTGAGGTTGGGCAGAATATCATTACACACGTGTTTCTCATATTCGCTTGTATCCTTCATATACACCTCTACTGGAAGAGTAGACCCAGACCGGCGCAGCATACGCAGAGTCGAGACAAATACCGGAAGATACGTCGCACCGGCAGTCGAGACCAAGCCTCGCTTTCCGGGGCTGTGAGCGGGTTTCAGATCTTTCCCAGCCTTTTTAATATCTTCGACAAAGTTGGCATGCGCATCCTCCATGGCTTTCTGGTCCGCATCACTCATGGCCGTCAGATCCGGCCGCGGACTGTCCTTGACCGGGTCGAAATGGATTGCGCCAGCGTCGCCATTTTTCTGGGGAGATGAACAATTGGGATTATGACGTTCGAGAATGGGCTGGAAAGCTTTCCAGAAATCCTTCTGGCGTTCGACGAGAGGAACTTCGAAGGCCGTGCTTGGGACGACCGAGACGGTGGAGGATGCGGCGGCGGTTGGAGTCCAGTAGAGATAAACGGTGCACACGAGCACTGTCGCGAGGAAAGCGAGCAACAGGGACCGGACCCGACCGGGCCTGAACATACCCATTGTGTCTCGAGCGGCGAGCCGGGATTCAACGAGGCGTGGGAAGCTTAAGGGTGGTCGTTTAGCTTTTGGGTTGCGCCTGAGAACAAAGAGGTTTGTAGCCGACGGCGCACGGGCCGATCGACGATTGCCTGATGGGAGTAGACAATCAGACGAGGAGATAGCGGGGGAGGTTGATTGGATATGTGTTCAATAGAATGACATGTTAGGGGGGGAAGCAGGAACAGAGGAGGGTTGCTAAGATTGAGAGCGGATCAGATCCGAGAAGGAGGTCGAAAGTGGAGCGGGGGCATTGGTCCCGTCGGGAGAAACGACGGGATGCTTGGCAAAAGCATCATCTCGCTTCAAGCTGATCATGAAATGGGAGAAAATGAGGATGTGAAGGATACGGAGTGTATATAGTATGAATATACCAAGTGAAAAAATAATATACTAGGAACCGGAGAAATAATCGTTTCATTATTGAATAGATATACCAAGCAACTAACTTAGTTCGATCTCCGCACTTGACCCAGCTTCAGACAATCCTGACGAACTAGCACCTCCAACTATTGAGTATTAGCGTTGACTTGTGAGTTGCAAAGAAAAAACCAATAGTCGCTTAAAACCCCGTGAAACACGCCCGTCCCTGTGGCTTCGGTGAAGCTTCTAGATCAATAATGATCCTGGGATCCATCTTCCCCATGCGGCTAAAACCCTCCGTTCTGCTGGCCGTTCGAGGTAGATCAGTGGCTTGGTCCCTTTGGAGCATCATGATCACCCGGATCAACTGGATCGGTGGAGAGAAACGTCGTAGACTCCAGGTCTCCAGGATCGTGTGGACTGGTGAATTCAACTGCGGATCCTCCTCCACCGAGGAAGCTCATTCAACTCTACGAGCCACTCCAGAAGAACGTGTACTCCGTGCTCCCGTACTTGGGATAATCCACCCGCCCCCTCAAAACCCAAACTCAAAGCTTCCGAGAACCCCCCGAAAGTCAACTGCCAACGACATCCGAAGCCCGAGTCCTGTTCCATACTCATCCTTCTTCACTCCTCTCTACCCCAAGGACCCCTTTCCAACATAATCGGATCCTTCCACCTCCCTACCGCACCCCGCGCACTCGATCGCCATTCTTCGACTTCACTCCGTCATCCTCTTGAGCTCAGATCCCGCAAACCACTTCCTTGCCTCCCCAACCCAAAATCTTCTGCGACGCGGCCGACAACGCCTCTGTCCCTCCTCTGACCCGTTTAAATTTTCCCACCCATGGAGCCCCGCGAGGGTGTATCCTGCTTAACGCGCCCATAATGTCCGAGAACTCGGCCCGCCCGACTCAGGAACCCGCGGCCAAGGGCAAATCCCGCAAGACAGAGCCTAGCACCGCGCCGATTCGAAAACGCCGCAAGAGAACCGTCGTGAGCGGTGCTCCCGATGATTGCTTTGCATGCGCTAAACGAGGGGCCCGGTGCGACCGGCGCCGGCCCTACTGCTCCCAGTGCCTCGAGATGGGTCGTGAATGCTCCGGATACAAGACCACCTTGACATGGGGAGTAGGTGTCGCGAGTCGAGGCAAGCTGCGAGGCCAGAAGTTGCCCGTCATGGAAGCCGAGGGGAATTCGTCGGCGAGTACCTCGAAAGGAGCGCAGCGTGCAGCTGCGTCGAGCAGCCAGAGTCCGCCCTCGTCGCATGTGCCTTCAAATCCAGCTCCACCATTGGTCGCAACGTCTCCTACGGAGATGACTGCTCCCATGCTGGATCACACGGTGTTGAGCTCGATCGATCCAGATCATCAGCATCCACCTGCCATGTCGACGGTTCCAGATATGTCGACAAGCATGTCATGGGTTATGGATATGCCCGATCCACACACCTGGTCCAACATACCGGCGGCGCCACCTCAGATATCCGGGCTTCCTCTACCCACTCGACCAATGTTCGCCGATCGCTCTAGCCCTAGTATTGCATCGGAGGTTTCGATGCACTATGCACCCACATTGAGCCCCGACGCCAGTTTCGCTGCTCCCGTTTGGTCGGTCGCCCAAAACTGGCAAGCCCCGAATGCGACATCACCATCACAAGATGTGGACGAGGAATATGAACGACAAGAACCCAAACGTTCAATACTGTGGAACTCGGGTCATCGTCCGTCATATTCGCAGATGCTCCTGGCAAGATCGGTCGGGCGCACCCCTCGTCTCCGGTACTTGATCAGTTATTTCGCCGAAGTCATTGCTCCCATGATCGTCGCCTTCGATACCCCTTCAAATCCATTTCGTATTCAAATTCTCCGTTTGGCTCAGGATAGTCCCGCTTTACAAGAGGCAATTGCGACCTTGGCGACGAGTAATCTGCGCCAGCGTCGGGAACGAAATCACACGTCCACCGAGAGAACCTTGCCGGCACGCATGTCCTCGATGGCCCATCGGGCACTGACCGACGAAGCATTTCAAGATCGATATGGTATCTCAATTCCCGAAGGTTACGCCCGGGAAGAGAACCATCACCGTGGGATGGCCGTCAAAGCCTTGAATGCCGACCTGGCCGATCCTCGCCGCAGATTATCAGACTCTGTATTAGCAACGCTACTGATTCTGTGTCTGTTCCATGGTTGCGATACTGGTGTGGCCGAGTTTCGAACGCAGTTTGCAGGAGTCACGCGACTCCTTGCCATTCGCATGCGCCATTCACCCGTCATATCGGACGATCTCAAGTGGTTTATTCGTATGTTCTCGTGGTTTGATACCTTGACAGCGACCACGAATGATCGTGATGTGCAGCTTCGCGGGAAATGCTTGGAAATCAGCTCCATCACGGACGGAGAATGGGGCCTCGAAAATCTAGCTGGTTGCGATGGCCGTTTGTTCAAATTGATTTCTCAGCTTGGCCGTCTCAATCTGCTCAGCCAGGATCAACAGCCGACCGAGTCCCGCCCTGCCGAGGTGACCATTCCCACTGCCTCCCTCCCTCCAAATATGGTGTTCCCTGGCTGGAACACCGTCACCTCAGGCACTGCCCCGGGATCTATATCAGACCAGGGATATGGCGGCGCCTCCATGCCAACTCCCCCACAAAGCAGTGACCAAGCCAGGAAACCGTCGTCTCCCGCTTTCTGGACTGAATGGTACTCGCTACGACAACGCCTCGAATCCTGGCGATTCGATCCACCTGCCCAAGCTTCCTTCCCTTCCCCACCCCTCTCTGCCTCGCATCTCTCCTGGAATTCACCCGCCTTTATACCCGCCCCCGCCGCTCCCTCAATGCCATATCAAGTAGCTCCCGAAAACCTCCAGGATATCTACCAAATATCGGAGTGCTTCCGCCACGCCGCGCTCCTCTACTGCGAACGCCTCGCCGAGCCAAGCCTCCCATCCCGACACCCGCGCATCCAGCACCTGGTCCACCTCGCCATGCACTGTCTCTGCGCCGTCCAATCCGACGTATACCTCCTCTGGCCCCTCTTCATTGTGGGCTCGGAGTGTGTCCAAGAAGACCATCGGGCAAGTATTCGTTCCCGCTGCAAGGATATCTCCAAGGACTCGGGCTTCGTGAATAATCTGTCCTGCCTGGAACTGCTGGAAAAGATCTGGGCAGATCACTCGTACGAGTTGTCCTACCCCGTGTACCCCTCCGAGATGGGTCCCCCGCCACCACTGGATGGTAGCGGTCGTTCGGCTCCGTCTCAGGCCTTCCGTTGGTCTCGCGTGATGCAGGCCAAACGTGGTGATGGGGAGTATATGGTGGTGTAAATAGCTGTTTGATCGTCTATATTGTCTTTGGGTCTAACTTGAACTTTTACCCTTGAATCCTACCCTTGGGCTATGTGACCTTGGATCATTTGTGAATAGTCTCTTCTGTGTTGGTATATCTGAGTTGTCTAATATGACTGATTGGACCGGATGGATAGTTTTGGGGCCGTTGCCATTTATCTGCCACGTCTAGAAGAGCTTGGAGTTCTATGCTCGGCCTGAGAAAATGATACCATTCTGCACATACTAAATCATCTGTTGTCAACACATCTTGCTTGATATATTGCCCATCGATTTTTTTTTTTTTTACTCACATCAACTAAAGAGCGTATAGTAAGATTTTCTTCTCATGATATGCCCTCTCCGGCCATTAGAGATCCCGAACCCATCATGAACCTTCACCAGGTTTGGGAAGAAGGATACTCCTAGGCTCTGGACTTGCTCTAAAACTCCATGAGAAGCCCTCTTTGAGTGGATTGGTAGGATATTTCTCTCTACTGATGCTCATGTCTAGCCTAATCTACACATCAGGACCTCATTCGGACATTTCCACAGACTTTGTTTATATGCTTGCTTAAGTGAGACTGGAATGCCACGATGCTCAAATTCAGGTCCAGTATGTAACCTAAAAGTCTGGGGTGCAGCGACGGCCGAGCTAGTGTGGGGCGTGAATAGCTGTGGCGGTACTCCGTATTTTCTAGAGCGACTCCATCGACTCCGTTGATGAGCTGGCTCATATCGATTTCCTCCATACAGCCGGCTACACCATTCAATCCACGACCCGTACCCAAGTCAGCAGTCTCGCTAAAGCCGCGCAATGGATTCCAACACCCCTTTTTTCTTTCCAGAATGCAAGGATGAGCTAGGGCTCAGGGCAAGGGCAGCCACAGCGCGGTATGTGATCAGTGCGCACACAACGCACAGCCATTCGAGATTTCCTATTGAATTCTAAGACCTAAGAGGGAAAAATTACTCCGTACTGTCTTACCAAATGATCTCTTTGTCTTGCCCTAGAGCTACACACCTTGCCCCCAGATATCCTCGAGTTCATCACGGATGCTTTGTTTTGATTCTCACCGGCAAGGGGGTGGTTCATCCAAATGATCCATCAGATGCGTAGGAAGACACCGAGGAACCGGTCCTATTGGACTGTGCACGGCAGAGATTTTTCTTTTCTGAACACCAACCAGGATTGCGAAATTCAAAATTTCACAGCATGGACCATATCGCTGATAATTACCGTGGAACTCCGTTCGAGAAGGAGGTACTATGATTATGGACACGGCCGGGTCCGTTGCCCCTGAATTCCTCCCGTACTATCTTTGGTAGTTTAACGAAGCAACGACCCCGTAATTTGATTTCATATTGACTCATTTCGCGTTGTACAAGGGCCTGCCGCATTACGGAGTTCCCAGGTCATCAGTGGTAGTCAGCCCACAGGCAACCATGCCACAGAGCTCCATACGCATAGCGATATGCACATATATGAACATAGGCACAGATTTTGTGATATCATTTATAGTTGAACGCTTCATGCATGCTCATGCCCAGGGCACATACCGATAGGTCCAGGCATATGTCCCTACTTACAATATTCACATACAGTATACATACAGGCTATGCCGAGGGAGGCTGGGACCTAAGGTGGATATGCGCGAGGATCTCCATAGGTCTGCGAGGCCGCGGCGAGCCCATTGGCGCAAACCGTTCCTTTGTTTCTTTCCCCGGTGCTCCACCTAGACGAACTCACTAATGAGCAACCCTGCTGTGCACACACTGACTGTTTCCAAGTGCGGTGGGTGGGCCTTGCAGTTACTCCCGGTTCGCGGGACTGGGGCCTTGTTAGGTCCTACGGCACGTTTTCTGGAAGGCGATGCGGCGACTAGGCAAGTCAGCCCCGCTAAGGTTAGCTTGTCTTTCAGCGCGGCATGTCCTAGCTGAAAAGGCCCTATTTTGGCTATGTATGTAACTGATTCGCTGGTATTGCTAACGAGAGGCGGTGCTTTGAAATCGGAAAAGAAGTATCAAGAACGGTCTAGAGTACTCCGTAGATTTGCTGATAATTTGGGGGTGGGTGGCATAGATTAGCAAGCCGTTCTGGCTGCGCGGTTTAATCAATCGATGCACGATCAGAAACAAAGAAAGAAATTATTAATTTCCAAGAAATCGCCAGCCGTAGATAAAGCACAATCATCAAGCGAAATCTCGAGAGCCGAAAAAAAAGCAAAAATTAGAAATGAAAGCCATGTGCAACGCAACACTCACCGATCGGCGCAGCCTACCGGTGGCGCAGCCGCCGTCTCTGTTTGGCTGCCTAGCAAGAAGTCAAGGGGCAAGAGTTCTCGAACGGTTGACTCATCGATACTGCCGCAGAGAAAAGAAAAACATATTCAGCCAATTGAACTGACCAGTGAGATGTAGAGTGCAGGAGCTTGCTAATAACCCTTGATTGAATTACCCAGGTAGGTCCTGGAATGTCCTCGCATAGGCTCTGTAAGGATGCGGTTGGACGTTTGGGCATTTCCATGCTTTTCTCTTTGTTTACTTTATCCCTGCGGTTGGTGCGTGAGCGTAGGGGATGGTGGTCAGCAGGCGCGATGAGGCTTTTGTTTGATTCTTCACTGGTGACAGTCCTGGTATGGTGTTCTTTGTATAGTCGTGTTTTGTGGATGAGGGTCCGCTGGGTGGTTTGTTCTACAAGGGATGTTTCGCCAGGCCCTGAGGTGGACATCCGTATTGGACGTCATAGGCCATCCAGTCTGGGCGGAGACGGGCCATATGGAGCCAATCTGCTTCCAGATAAATCGATCTAACTCGTTAGTGATGAAAGTCGGTTAGGGTTGACCTGGTGCGGTCGCACTTGGAGTTGACCCACGCGAACAATGGCCGCAGTCAACTGTTCGTTCATGTTGGCATCCGAACTCAAATGAAGCAGATGAATTGCTATGACATTGTGGGATGGAACCTGAATGCAAGCAATCAAGAATTAGTGACACTGTCTACGAGTTGCTCTTTACCATTCGCTTGTATACTTCGATCTCTTCTCCCGTGACTACTCTATTTGGCCAGATGATAGCATCACTATTTCTGTGGTGGGCTGGGCAATTTTGAATATTTGAACCCACACAAATCATTCTGGATCTAGGCTCTGGGTAGACTCGACGACTATAGTACTATTGCAGTCCTGCAAGTTACGGTCTGCGAACCGTCTCCGTCAAATCCCCGTTTTGGCCCAAGATGAAGGGATTGCTGCCCAGCGAACTTGCAGCGGTAAAGCCCATGTGTGATTCGTGAAGTTGCCCAACAGTAGTAACTAGGTTTGTGTGTGTCAATAAGAACAGTAGATGGAGCTCGTTCTTTTGTCCTAAAAAATTAATATATTCCTGTTCCTTTGTTCTTGCCATGGCAACGTGCGCTATAGTGGACACCAAAGACATGGCGGTTTGAGAAACGGGTCTGTGGAGTCAGAACCACTGGACGAGACGGGACCGCCCGTTTAGACCTGATGAGATGCGATCGAGTTGCCGCGAGTCAACCATGGAACCAACTTGTTATCTGGAACTATTCAAAAAAGAAGGGTGTTGTGTTCTGGGTCGTGTTTCGTTTGCTTCTCTACCGACATACAGTACATCATACATGATGTATGTATAGTTTGTTGGGTGGCTCCGAGGCTTATGTTGGGCAGGTCTGGTTATCAATAACTACCGGGACTGGACTATTTTCCCCGATAGAGTAGCATCTGTCGTATCCGCTTGCACTTCCACATGCTGTGGCCGACTTTCCAAAAGTCCTGTAGCGAGTCGCCTTTCGCGGGTCTTCATGCAAAGTCGAGCTGTACAGGGTGGCATGGCATTCCCATAGTTTCTGGAAGATGCCGGCACATGGACGACGGGTTCTCCTTATCCAACGGTGTCTTGACACGCTGTCTAGTGGTTGATATCTTGGTGCACTAAATCTAGCTGGACCAATAAGACTTTAAACTAGTAGTGCCTGGGTGCTGGCCATTTTTGGTGGCGACATCAGCAGCTACGTCTTCTTGAATGACGGCCATCGAGTCATTCAAGGGTTTTTGTTGAAGAGTCATCGTTAGGTATCTGCCTTGTATCGTGATCCCAACCATCTATAACTGCGGTTGGCCGGTGCCCAAAGATGCGGCGGGCCAACGAGCCCTGTCAGCAAGCGCAGGTGCTGGTGTCGTATCTAGCGTGTTAGTCGTAAGGTCAAGAGATATCTCCATCTGGACTAGTCTGAGGGGTAGCCCTGTAGGCAACCTGTAGGAAAGGAGGGGCCAGGATACGTTAAGTGTAGACGGAGAATATGATTGTAGAAGGAACTCGGGCTTTTTATAAGTTGGTAGTGAATGACCTCGTGAGTCGGAGTTGAGTCATAACTAGTGTCATAGGGCATGAATATCCAACCTTCAGGAACCAGTGTAGGGAATATAAAAAGGATGGATACCCGCCGTCCTTATTACTGGAATTGATCCATCTCTAGCGATCTTTGTGGCCGGGAACGATCTGCCTGACATTCTGTGGACGTAGATTCCTTGCCAGGAAATCCGAATACGCGTAAATAACACGCACTATCACCACAGCCCACGACGCCAAATCCCACGTCCTCGGCGGGCCTGGCCACGCTGATTGGCGCTATCCACCAACCAACAGGCACCCAAAGGGCCTAAAAGGGATCCAGAAACGACCCAGAAAAAAAAATAAAAAAATAAAAAAAGCCCCCCAGCGGGTCGCCGGGTGCTGACCTCGCTGGATCCATCTCTCGCCCTTGAAATTTTCCCCCATCTCCACTTCGACCCCGATACCACAAAACACGCACACACACACCTACCAACTTCCCCTCCCCGTCTCTCGACGATCACTCTTCCAACCTTTCCCTTCCCCTAAATAACTGGGAAGTTTTACCAAACTTGCTGGGACTCGTGGTCACAGAGTCCTCTTCTCTTGCACTGGAAAACCCCTGGATCTCGACGAACGAGATTCATACTTGACGACTACGCCAGGCTTCACCCCTGCCTCGCTCGCCAAAATATCCTCACCCTCTCGCGTCTGATTCAGACCGAACAACGTTCAAATGCACTCTCGGCACATTCAGCTTCAACCCTCCTCTCTCCGATCGGAAACCGTACCGCGGTGACGGTCCTACTCAACCTCTTGGGACTTGTTTTCACCCCGGCGTCGTTTTGCTCCTTTGCGCACGATATCCTGTATAATATATTCGGGTTGATTGGTGTCAATCGTTTTTTTTTTTTTTTTTTTGCAACTGATCATTTGTGTCGGAATTTCTCACATCTTTTTTCTTAAACTGGCTTCATTTTCGGTCCGGTTTCTTGGGGATATCATCTCTCTATTCGACTACGTCTTACTTGTCGACTCCGTCATTATCGCCACCTCCTAGCTCGAACCGACGGCAAATTACTCTGACGACTTGCACTTGATATCACCTGATATCAATCTACTCTCGCCTACATATCAGCTTGCGTTTTGCCCGTCGCTCATGCTCGTTCGATCTCGATAATGTATCATTACTCAAGTCCACCCCAGGGGTGGTCAACCTACGACTATTCGCAGTCACCCCCAACATCACCATACTACGCTCAGTATGCCTCTCAGTATGCCAACGCATACTCTTCGCCACGAGGTACCTCGCGACGACACACGCGCAAGGCCAGCTACACGGCCACCACCAAGGAGCCCGCCTGGCACTCGACCTACCCGCAATCCTACTACGAGGCCACGCCGGAATATGGCATCCCGTCGCGAAAGCACGATCATGTAAGTGCTTCTTTTGCGGGACCCAAGCACCGTCGTTCCCGTACGACGGGGCATCCTGCGGGGGATGGCCTTGGCCCCGGCGCCGGCTTCAAATTTGGTTTCCATCCGCAATCGCAACAGCCCATCTTTGTGGATGTGGCTGAGGAATTCGATACTCCGCGCTACGCCTCTTTCCACAAGAAGCAGACGCCGCACGAGTCCCAGCCCCAGCCTCGTCCGACACGCCATGGCCGTCCCCCCGCAGATGCAGCTGCTACAGCACAACCCTCCACGCCGAAGCGAGATGGCCCCGGCCAGCATCGTCGAACCGCGTCGACCTCTTACCGCAAAGCGTCAGCCGCTGATTCTCACTTTTACTTCACCCAGGCACCTAACAACGAAGACATCGAATCAGCTCGTCGCTCCCACGCCCGTCGCCAATCCACCTCCACCCGTACCCCGTCTAAGCCCAAGCCAGCACCCCCTTCTGCTAAGCCACCACCCGTTGCCACCGAAGAGGACGCCGAGCGCGCAGGTATTCCGCCCGGGTATTCGACCAAGAACTGGGACCCGACGGAAGCACCTATCATTCTCCTCGGCAGCGTGTTCGATGCTAACTCCCTCGGCAAGTGGATCTACGACTGGACCGTCTTCCACCACGGCGCATCGACTCCTATGGCCGACGTCGCCGGCGATCTATGGCTACTCCTGATCAAATTGGCCGGCAAGGTCAAGCGTGCTGACGAATGTCTTCCGCGAATTCAAAGCCCCGAGGCACAAGACATCGTCGAGGATTTCCTTGAAAGCGGCGATCGTTTGTGGAATCGGTTCAAGAAGCTCCTCAAGGCTTGCGAGATGTTCATGTGGAAGGCGGCTAAGAGGGAAAGTAGCAAAGGGCAGGTGTCTATGGGTCGCAATGCAGGCTGCGAGTTTGTTGACTCGATTTTTGGGCGCGATCGCGAGCTTGAAAATACGGAGAAGCTGATGAATAGTATCCGGTTGTGGAATATGCGGTTCGACGCTAATTGCGAAGATATTCTGCGTCGGCCGTCAGCTCCATAGATGGTTGAAAGGCAAAAAGCCATCATACACTACAAACCATCGGAAGAGATTCACTATCGACATTTATCGGCAGTATTCGAAATCCCTCCTTCGCTCGAGAAGCGTTGTTTATAGCAGACACTTTGTCTGGCTTTTTCCGTTATTTATTTCCGGAGCATTTAAAACCCCTGGTTGAATTGCATTTGCAGCGCGTTGGGTCCGGCACATTGGCTGGCATTTCCTCGTTTGTCGCTCTATTTCTACGGTCTGCGTCTCTGCTTATTTGGATCAATCGGCAGCACCTTTCTTTCACCACCCAGTCGGTGGTGATGATTCTCTCCTATCCCCTCCTCCCCCTCCAAAAGCTCATGGTTTCGGCGCTTCTATTCTATCCTGCGTTTCTTACCATTTCGTTTCGTTTCCCTTTTGGGGTGGCGTCTTACTTGATCTTTTTTTACCCGGCATGGCGTTATCTGTCGCTGATGCGCTATCTTCTACTCTTGCGCTCTGTTTCGGCTGTCGTTGATGCCCGTGTCATTCTGTCTTCGATGATACCATCTCGCGATTCCCCCCAGTTTTGGCTTCAGGTCTTTTGGATTCATTTTCCTTTGTCAAACCTTTCCTTTTTCTCTTTTGCTTTGATCTTGTGGTCTGAATTCCTGTTTCTTTTTGCTTTTCACCGGCGATCCTGTTGAGGTTGGAGGAATTGGGTTGTACATAGCGAAACCTCGACCTCAGCAGCCCGGTACCCTGGCACCCTGATTGTTTTATCTCTTATATAGAGCAGGCCACAAGAGACCACTCCTTTAATCCAAAAGCCATACATCAGATTTTGATTCTTACAATACCTCTTCCCGCGCTTACCATGCACGTCATCTTATTTCCACGTGTAGTGCCGTCCCTCGTATCTCCCTTATCACAATCTAAAGGGTAACATAACCCCCCGCCCCCCCCTTCCCCTCAGCCAACGCCGTCAGCCTACTAGCCATGCCCAATGTCCAAAGGTCAAAAGTTCGAAGTACACAAAGAGGAAAATGACCACCACACCTCCCAAGCACCCAACGTAACCACACCGTGCTCTCGGCGCTTATCCTGCCCGCGCAGCACACCAGCACATTCATTCCCGTACTGACGTGCAGAAGCAGGTACTTGACCCCCGCCAATGACGGCACGGCCAGACTTCTGATGTCATGTCGACCAACGGAGAGACACGCACACCCCCCGCGCCCAGAGCGGAGGCCCGTGTGCATGGTCCTGCATGGTGACGGGTGATAGCGTTGTTGGTTGGTTGGCTGGTAAGCGTTGGTGCCGCAGGCCCGCAGGAGCCGAGGGGAGTTCCGGTGGGACGGGAGGGGTGAGTTCAAGTCTAGGATGGACTGATAGGTTGGTTCGGGACCTGGCCTGGATACAATCCTGGTGGAAGGTGGTGTGGCGATCGAATCAGAGTTTGGTGGTTGAAGGTTAGGGTGTGGTTGTACGGATGGGTTGATTAATGTGATAACTGTATTGGGGAGATTTTGAGGGGTTGGATTACTGTGCTTATGCTTATGCTTATGCTGCATGTGGCAGGTGCAGTGGTTCGGTTTTCTAGAATGTCCAGCTTGAATGTGCTTCTGACGGGGATTATAATTGGATGGTCTATTTATAGGAGATCTTATCTGCAGTATAACTGTATAGGTCAAGACAGGGTACAATGTGTATATGTAGCAAGTACGGCCATCATAATGGAGTTGAAAGTCCGTGTCGATTCTTCTCAGTGTAGAAAATCAGAGCAGATCAGTTGTAGTGTAGTCATCCAAGGTCTTTGTCAACAAAACCAATAATCTATCTAAATCTCATATTCGTAAATACATCATATAATGTGGAAAGATGGAGCAATTAAATAGGCTCATCCCGAGGCTCAACGAGGATCTCATTGACAGAGACGTACTCGGGCTGACATAGTGCATGCACAATCGAGTTGGCCACGTCCGAGGGTTCCAGGATCTTGGCACCAGAAGGCTCTCCGAATTTCTTCACGGCCTCGGCATCGGTGGACATGCCCAGCAAGGGTGTTGAGGTATTACCTGGCTGGATGCTAGTAACTCGCAGACCCATACCTGCCGTCTCCAGACGAAGAGCTTGCAAAGTTGCCTCGACGAAGAACTTGCTGGCGGAGTAGACACCCAGGCCGGGGAAGACCTTACGACCCGCATCGGAGGAGATTGCCACAATGTGACCGCGGCCGCGAGAAAGCATGCCAGGGACGGTGGAGGACAGTGCGTTAAGCAAACCCTTGCAGTTGACATCGACGGTGCGCTCCCACTCGTCAGTCTGGACATTGGCCATCATGGTGAAATACATCACACCAGCACAGGCAACGAGAATATCGACGGCACCCAGCTCGTCATTGGCAGCCTGGATAAGCGCCTCGGACTGGGCCTTGTTGGTGACATCAGTTGAGCGAACAATGCACTTGACACCGTGAGACTCGACCTTTCGCTTAACAGACTCGAGAGCATTGAGGCGGCGAGCGCCCAACGCGACGGAGCAGCCCTGCTTAGCCAGTGCCTCGGCCACGGCTGCACCAATGCCAGAAGATGCACCCGTAACGACGGCCACCTGGCCGCTGAGCGGGCCCTTCTTGGTGAGCTGGATAGAACGCTGAAGAGCCTGTTGACGGGAAGGAGCCCGGGGAAGCCAACCGCGGGCAAACCAATGTCGGGTGTAGGTCTCCAGAAGCAGACTGTCCACCTTGGGTCGCTCCACGACCGCGCGGAACGGCCTGGTCAAAGAATTATCGAGAACCACGATACCCCGAAGGAACTCCACCGTCGGCATACCACTACGCAGAATATCGACAGTGAAGGAGCCGTCGCCACCCTTGGCTGAGCCTCGCTTCTCAAACCACAGCGCCACCCACTCGTCCCAAGGAAGGGGTTTCGTGGGGTAACCGAGATCGTTCAGATTCTCAAATACGGAGCGCGTGTTGACGGGGTTGGGATCACCCAAATGGAAAACGATCTGGTCGGCTTGGGTATGCGTGGAAAGGTGGACAATGGATTTACTGACAAAGTCCACGGGAGTCATCTCGGCGCGCCAGCCCTCGACCTCCGGGGCATATCCGAGACGGATCGACTCGACCAGCAGCGCAGTCAGCAGATCCCATGCATTAGCAGAACCGGTAAGACTGTGGCCGCTGATGGTACCGCAGCGGTGAATCTTGACGGGGAGGCCCCGCTCACCGGCCTTGAGGACGAGCTGCTCGGCCACCCACTTAGTCTGGCCATAGCCATCCAGCAGCTTCGTGGGAACATCCTTCACATCCATCATGGTATGCTCGGACCAGCCGTTCTCCCCAGATGGCGGCAAAACACCATTAGTAGAAACGTACTGCACTGTTGCGCCGCCCTTTGATGCCAGACGGAGAATCTCTCGGGTTCCGCCAATGTTGGCACCTCGCAGCGCGGCGTAGGGGTAGACCAAGTTGACGGTAGCGGCCGCATGAAAAATTACTTGGACACGGCCAGCAAGCTCATCGAATGCCTCAGAAGACAAACCAAACCGAGGTCGAGACAGGTTACCGGGAAGAATCTCGACACGCTCCATGAGGGTATCACGCCAGAGACCAAGATCCAGCAGGTTTCTGCGGATACGGGCAACACCACCGGCCTGATCGTCATCTTCCGGATCAGTGAAACGCACAAGACAGATAATCTTAGCGGAAGTGTTTTCTAGTAGATCGCTGAGCAGGAAAGCGCCCAAGAAGCCAGTGGCACCGGTCAAGAGCACGGTGTTGGCTTCGGCGATTGAAGTGATGGAGGCATTGGGAGGAGGGTTGATGTCCTCGTCCAAAGTGGAATCGGCCAGCAGGACGGCAGGAAGGTCTGCTTGCACGGCAGCAGTGTGACCATCTCTGACAGCGCGTATGGTTTCCAAATGACCAGCCAGGGTCGTGTTGTCTGCAAGACGGGGGATGGGAACGCGGAATCCGAAATGTCTGGTGAGTCGAGAGGCCAAGTCAGCCAGAGACAGAGAGTGGCCACCCAGATCAAAGAAATTATCTTCGGGCTTGAGAAGAGTCTTGGAAGTCTTCAGGACGGTGGCCCAGATCGCGGCAATGTCGCTGATGCCAATGGGATCCTTGTCGATCGTCTGATCGCTACCACTTGGGCTAGCGCTGCGAGGCGGAGGGAGACGCTTGAGATCGACCTTGCCAGATACTTCATGCGTTGGCAACTCACCCAACTCAACCCACAGTGCAGGAATCATGTAGTGAGCGAGGTAGGGCTCAAGAATGCGACGAGCCGCCGGGCTGTGTCCAGTCTCGTTGATCTCCACCGCCGGCCGATCTCCAGCAGCCTCCTTGTCGGCCACGATGTATGCCACCAGCTGTCGCTCCAGACCCTCGCCATGCGCAACTACGGCGCAGTGACTCACAGCCAGATATTGGCAGATATCGCTTTCAACCTTGGCCGGTACCACGGAGTAACCGCGAAGCTTGATCATCGATCCCACACGACCAGTGATTTCCAAAAGCCCCGAGGGCAGCTTCCGGGCCAAGTCACCGGTTCGATACATGCGCGCACCGGGAGTGGAATTGAATGTGTCGGGAGTGAAAGCCTTGGCGGTTGTCTCGGGAAGATTGAGGTATTCCCGCGCCAGCAGGTCTCCTCCAATAAATAGTTCGCCCGCCACGCCCGCCTCGACCTCCTTCCCACTCTCGTCCAGAATGTACGTGTGTGCTGGGTCGAGAGGCGCACCCACTGGGCAGTAGAGAGACTCGGTGTCGATAACTTCACGGATATCTCCGCACGCAATTTCATGGGTTTCACAGGCGCTGTAGCAATTGAGGAGGCGGGTGTTAGGAAGGGCCTTGATGGCCTTGCGGGCGAGGTCGGTGGTCACCACCTCGCCATTCAACCAAAGGGTGCGCAACTCCGGTAGACGTTCGGCAATCTGAGGATAACGGGAAAGAACGGTAGCTAGCAGGGTCGGGGTCATTAGAGTCTCTGTGATTCGCTTGGCGGCCAGCAGGTCAACCAGTGCGGCCGGGTCATAACTGGCATCGTCGGGCACCGCCACGACGGTAGCACCTCGCAACAGCGGGCGCAGCATCTCCCAGATGAAGAACACATTGCAGGCCACTCGATCGCCGGGCTGCAGGTCCTGTACACCGAATCTCAGGTTGTACGAGAGAACGGGAGCCCGATGTGGGTTCGCAATACCCTTGGGCTTTCCCGTCGTGCCCGACGAGTACGACACAAAGGCCAGACGATCCAAATCGTCATCGGCCGGTGGGGCAGCGGCCTCTTTGGCATGGCCGTTAATCTCCGCAGCTGGCTGGTCCAGAACAATCAGTGGGCATTTCGCCTTGACTTTCTCGACCTCGCTCTGGTGGGTGATCACCACGGCGGGGTTGGCATCGTCGATGACATCCGCCAGCAAACCCGCGGGATATGCCAGCTCAAGCACAAGGAAGGCACCACCAGCACGCAGAGCTGCCAAACAGGCAATCACGTAGTCAGCACTGCGAGGCAGGAGCACACCGACGAGCGAGTCCCGACTGACGCCAAACTGGCGCAGGCGATTAGCGAGCGCTTCGACCTCGCTCTCGAGTTGCCCATAGGTGTATGTGATGGCGTCATCTTCCAGGGCGATGGCATCAGGCGTCGCCTGCGCTTGTTGCTCGAAAAGCGTCGGCAGATCCTTGCCGATGTCGATGATGGTCATTTTGGCTATGCAGTTTCACGGTCTTGAGATATTTGAGGGTGGAGATTCCTCCCAGGTTCAATATTCACAGGTATTAACGAGGTAGAAAGAATGTAGGAATGGCAAATTCGGTCTCGGACGACAAAAGTCGTATGCCAAAAAGCAAAAATGACGCCGCCGTTCGATTTGGGCCTGGTCTTGGTCGATGAGTGCTAGGATAGCATGCGGAGGGATCTGGTCATTAATGTTCTGGACTACAAGTCTCCTCGATGCTGGTAAGGATTTGCAAAGAGGGACACGAATAGAAGGAAAGAAAAGACCTGGCTAGAGGAGAGAAAAAAAAAGTAGAGCTGGACTAAACAGCTAGACAACTTAACCCAAAAGAAGAGGCCAAGAAGCTGGCCCAAACGGGGAAAACGGTCAGGTCCGTCTTTGCCCTACCCACCTTTCAGAATGTTGAGAATCAAGATCCAAAATCGAATAAATGAATAATATTTAATTATAATCCTGACTGTTCATTTAAGTAGGCGGTAGATCAAGAAAAGGGAGACCAGCTAAGCCAATGAGACTATACTGAATGTCGTGTAGCGCACGCAACCTTGGAATTCACAGAGCTAAACTTCTTATCGAGAACCAATGAATTACCCGGACTTCACCCATCCGTCCCTGAAATGCCCTGATCGGCCTAATTTTAATGCCCATATTGCCCTCAATGCCTGGCTAGGGCCTCCGATCACCCTAGGATCGCATGTGTGGCTTTTCTAGCTGTTCGCGGGCGCAGTCAAACTTATTAGCATCCATCAAGCAGGCTTCTCGATCCCTTTTGCCATCATGTGCCCCCGGACGATGTCTCCGTACTGCTCCATAAAAAAAAACCCGTGCCCAGGACCTCCTCCTCCAGTAATCAGTCCAGCCAGTCTCGACAGTGCAATCCGTTAATTGTGACTCCGTAGTCCCCCGTCTCTGCCCCACTCGGAAAAGAGGGGAATTTGCATGTGAAAATGTCCGTTCCCAACAGTTTTGTTCTTCTCCATCGCCACGCTGTCATTTTGGTTAGTTGGAACATGATTAATGTCGCGTGATGAATAGGTTTCCTTTCGCCGATATAGGCGCATCTATAATTGCTGGTTGGCCTGTGGCCCCGGCGCCTGCATGATGCACCCTGTCGATGGTCGATGCTGCGGCCCCCAAAAAGCCTCCTTGCCCTTTTTAGTCGTCGCTTTGCTCGCTTTTCTCCCGTCGGGTCTGTCCGGGCTTGCCGCTTCTGGCGCCCTTCGATTAGTTTCTCTGGCTGTCGATATCATCGGCTAATTTGGGTTTTCTGGTTCTTCGTGGTTGTGTGGCTGTACATTCTGATAGGATCCGATCGCTCGGTTCTTCCGAGCTCGTGCAGGCACGAGGAGTTTGCGCCTGGACCAGTCCTGTTTCTTGTCCTTCTTGGCATCTACTTTCTATCTAGCTATGCAGGTTATCAACTCTGTAGTCCGCACAGCAATTAGATGTTAGATTGTTCTTTTACTTAACTATAGCACCGATTACCCATTTCATCCTTCATAAATCATTGTTCAGGCATTCAAGTGCAATTTCTTTACAGTATACAGTGACCACAGAACTCCACATCGGTCGGCGATTTAGACCATGCTGGAAATATTTATAGCGCCACTGTCCAATTAGACTTGTCTGTCGCAGCGACGCCGTAAATCTGGCGGAAAACAAAGGACACGGGAATCTCTTACCTATTATGGTACCGTTAGTAGTACCACATCACGCAGTAATTCACCGCCAGTACGTTGAATCCATTGAAAGTAATCCCCGACGTACTCGGTACCCGCCGCGCTTTCGCTACTTGGTCGAGTCTCTTTATTCCTATGTCCGTCCAACCGGACCGTAATGTGTACTGTACTGCATACAAGACTTCACCGAAGTTTGCCAAGCGTCATGAGAGGTTGTAATGTCGAGGCCCCTTATGCAAAGAGCGTCTACTATTGATAATCGCATATTGCTTATTCCGACCTTCGAGAAGGCCTGTGGATGATGCTAAATGTAATGGTCTGTCGTTTCCGCTATAAGAAGCAAGGAAATGAAAAGCAAAGGCTTAGTGTCCTAGCCTTGCCCTTTCTGAAAAGTTGCATCCAAATTTAGAACCACTTCTCACACAAACTGGCTCCCTCCACCCTCGGGGCAGAAAGAGAGCGCGGGGACAAGTGGCTTGACCCATAATTCAAGCATTCGAAACATGGTGTCTGATGTTTCTGACAGATGGAGCCCAAGCAAACTATGGATTAGCCTCTGCTGGCTTCCGTCACGTCTAATAAGACACTTCGTATAGGGGCACGCTTGTCAAACAAAACTCGGGGCCTCTCTGATTGGGTCTGGCAGCCACTTGATCGGGGCCACTAGCCATGTCGACGAGAACGGATGAGCCTCATCTCATGATTGTCAGAGAGAATGCAAACATGGGGTTGCAAATACAACCCCGAGTCCCGTATATGCAGAGGATTTCTCCGTGCCTGGATCAGCCGCCAATTTCATGGTTCACCACGCAAGACAGCCACCCAACCATCTCCGCGTGTCCAGACCCGTCCCATTGTTCAACTCCCCGGATTTGAATTGTCACAGAATCAAGATATATTAAGTAGAACATAGTCAAGTTATCCTATGGCCCAGACAGGGAGAATTCAGAATAGGCGAAGTCTGCTTCGGATATGATGAGCAGAGTGGCACCCTTGCTGATCATCTCGTGTTCTTCAGCCTCGGTGGACCACACAGGAGGATCGCTGGATCGCTCGACCTCTCGCAATGCCCCAAAAACCCTTTGCCTAGGCCTGTGCTTTCTCTCGGCCGCGCTTTCATTGGACGGGGAGGAAAGGGACACTTCAATCACCAGAAGCCTGTGCCGTCTTTACGTCTTGGCATGCAACTAATATCCCCAGAATACGAGCTTTTCTTGGAACGATTTCTCCGTAGTTAAAAGTAGACACGCCCCATTAAATTTTGACTCTGGAATTTTATGCACAAAATCCCCTTTTGTTGATCGTGAATAGAGGGTTTTTCATCCCTCGCAATGGTGGCCTCATTATTCCTTCTTCTGCCACTGTATCTGGCTTATATTCCTTCGACTACGGCATGGGTCTTTAGTTGGACAAACTCCTCAGGGGGGTTCCTAACAGATCATGGGGATGGAGTCCAGTCATGCAAAGCAATCGACAATCCCAAGGGAAATATATTCGACTGGGATGCAAAGGGAGGAAACTTTTGCATCTATCTCTACAACAATGGAAACTGCTCCAATTCCTCCGCTGGCTATACCTGCAAGGCGTGGCCCTGGAGCAATCATGTCGCAGGATCTTATATACACTCGTACGAAATTGTATTAAACAATACCGATACTGCCTCTACCACATCATCGTCAGCATCATCCACATCAACAACTTTGTCATCCACGACGTCAAGCTCGACTCAGACATCGGCTACCGCTGCCTCTACCTCTGCTGCGAGCAATACCAGTTCACCCACCACAACACCAATTGCCGCAAGCACGGATAACAACACCGCTAAAAGCTCGTCCATTTCAGGAGGCGCTATTGCGGGGATCGTCGTCGGCGTCTTGGCTGCAGTTGCGATTGCAGGGATCTTGTTCTTCTTCCTATGCTGGCGCCCTCGCAAGAAGACAAGGCCCTCGATCGTTTCAGAGCGACCAGTAGCACCAATGTCGGAACTCGGCTCATACGACGACAAGCCATCTTCCCCTACTCTCAGCTCCCCTACATCAAACGGACAGGGCTCAGATGTGTACCATGGACAGAAGCTACGTGAGTTGCCCGGGTCTGGGGTGGCAACGGAGATAGGCCCGAGTGTCATGAGGGCGGAACTTGCTGGTTCAACACATTGGAAGAATTGACGAGAGAGCTAGCAGGGTTTGAAAAGATAGCCTATTGTACCCATGGGACATTAGGTGAGTTGGGTTGAGTTTGTCTCGATGGTTGCATTCTCTCATTACTTTTGTAAATATTCATCTCCTTTTAGCGCGAAAGATACCTTGTTCGTTTGTACCTACTACCTTTATTTTTGAGTTACACAATTTTCGGAAAATGAGTTCCAGACCTACTATTATTTATAATTGAATCAAATGCATACACGATTCTGGCTTCAAAGTTTATACACTATGGGTTCCTCGATAGGCCGTGGGGATACGAGGTTGTTCCGAAGGCCAGTATGTCGCAAGAACGCTCAAGGTCTAAAGTCTTTAACAAATGAATGAAGATTGCCGAATCTATGGCAATTAACGAAGAGAATCTTTCACGGCAAGAATTTTGATCGGATCAGATCAGATCAGATTAAATCAGGTAGAATGGCAAAAGCTACAGATCAGGGGGGTTGAAGGTCCCACAATAAATCCAACGCTAAACTCTAACGCGCTACCTATTCACATTCTAGCCCTGGTGATAACAGTGCTAAATAGTTTGCGCCCTTGAGCTCTTCATACATTTCCATCATCTGATATCTGAACCCCGCGTTATTTGCTTCAACCTCGACGAGTCATGCGTCACGATGCATGATCCGTGATTGTACGCGGGGAAGAGTCACGGGACTGTAGATCGAGGGAGAGGAAGGTTTTTTTGACATGCTCGTTGACATCATCTCCACCGCGACAAAGAAATTTTATATCTCGCGTACATCCTCAGAAATTTGTCACTTTTTTGTAATGCTGAGTGTCTCACAGGACGCCGACAAGAGCTCCGCGTCAGATCCTGGGCCTATTTATGACCCCACTACGGCTTCTCTAGCTTGACATTCTTCCTCTCCCACAGACAAATGTACGCGTCCTGAGACCAGGGATGAAGCCTTGACCATTCAACCTTGGTAGACTCGGTGTTGCTGATTTTCATCAGCTCCACGCCCTGAACCCCAGCTATCTGCATATCTTTCGGCAATATTCCTGGCTCCTTCGCCCTTCCCTTCTTCTTCCGGTCGCAGTGCATGGCGGCACCATGCAGAATGAGTTCCCACCACTCGCGGCTGCCGCGAACGCTACCACTCAAAAACTGTCACGATGGGAGCGCTTTTCCAATCGGTTTCATATGAGACCTCCAGAGGACGATGAGCCTCAGTCATGGTGGATAGCCTCAACCGCTATTCCACTCGTAGCTGCGGCTGCCGGGCCGCTCGCCAATGTCATGTCTATCGTGGCACTTGTCCAGCCATGGAGAAACACAATTATTTCCAGAGAGACTGGACCTGGTGGTATTTGGATTGAGGAGGGATATAATGACCCCAAATGGTGACTAGCCTTGACACCCGAGGAACCTAGACTTGGCTAACAAAGTCGATAGGGTCACTGCAATGAATGCCATATCGCTTTTCTGTGGTGTCGTGGGTAATATGTTTTTGCTGCTCAACTTCACTCAGACTGTTCGCTATATTATTGCACTACCCGTGACGATTGTTTCTTGGTTCCTTGCAACAGGCATTGTCAGTTACCGAGCCATGTTAGATCTGGCTGACGGCTAATCTCCGATTTAGCTTTGCGGGCTCACAGTATCCCTATTCATCTACAACCCACCGATTCCACCAAATGAGGTCTATTCGCAGGCATATTGGAGTGCTGTCATTGCCGCAAGTCTCTATTTTATCCTGGCATTCTTCTTGATGATCAACATGCTAGGCTACTTCCTGGGAAAATATCCCCAGCACTTCGCCCTCACTGATGACCAACGGACCCTCATTCTCCAAATGACTGGATTTGTGGTCTGGCTTCTCATCGGTGCAGCCATCTTTCAACGAGTGTTGGGAATCTCATTTGCCGACGCGCTGTATTTCTGCGACGTCACCGTTCTGACCTTGGGCTTTGGCGACGTCACCCCACAGACGGCCGTGGGAAAAGGCCTGATCTGGCCGTATGCAGTTGTTGGAATCATCATGCTTGGTTTGGTGGTCGGTAGTATCCATCAATTTGCTCGCGAAGTACACTATGACAACGTCGTGCGCAAGCATATTGAGCATAAGCGACGGGCCACATTCAACAGATCTGTCACGTTCGAACAACTTCGCGATGCGGGTGAGCCTCTAGAAAAGGAAATTGTTATCCCGAAGCAGGCAAGTCACCGATCCAAGGCACATCACAATCGACAACACCGGCATCATAGACATAGACCAATCCACGATGCCCTGGTCGCCGGTCGCCGTCCCAGGCTACTCGTTATGAGGGAGGAGAAAGATCGATTTGACGCAATGCGTGCGATTCAATACGAGACCATGCGTTTCCGCCGATGGAACGACTTGATTATCAGCATCATCGTATACAATATCGTGTGGACGGGCGGTGCAGTTGTCTTCTGGAGACTCGAAGACATATCTTATTTTGATGGATTGTATTTCTGCTTCTGTTCACTGATTACTATTGGATATGGAGATATCACGCCGCAGTCAAATGCAGGGCGACCTTTCTTCGTCATGTGGTCTCTCATCGCTATTCCGACCATGACCATGCTGATCTCACAGATGAGCGATACCATTGTTGCAGGATACAAGCATTCGACCGAGAGATTTAGCGATTATTTCGTCATGCCTCGCCAAGGAGCATATAAAGGGATTTTTGCTCGAATTCCACTTCTTCGACGGTGGATACAAATACGTCAGGAAAAGCAGCGGTTGAGACGCGGCTTCGAGGTCGGCGCGGAAGCTGACGAGGCAGCCGAAACGAACAACAGAGCGTCTCCGGCCTCAAATCCTCAAGGGATGCCTCCAGTCGTGCTGCCTCACCATCGGTCAGGCGATGGTCATCCACAACGAACTCTTGAAGAGCTCGCCCGCGATGCAAACCCGTCTCCATTCGAACTTGCGCAGCAACTTTCCTTTGCGATCCGTCGCACGACACACGATGCACGCGAAGGAAAAAGAAAAAGGTATACTTATGAGGAATGGGTCGAGTTCACTAGACTCATTCAATTTACCGACCCGAATTCACGACCGAGCTTGCATGCGGATCGTAATCACCCTTTTCAGACCAGTACTGGCGTCGACGAGGATGAATACGGTGTCTTGAACTGGGACTGGATCGGCGAAAATAGTCCCATGTTGGCGCACCAGTCAGAGCCGGAATGGATTCTGGACAGACTTTGCGAGAGCTTGTGCCGTTATGTGTCGACGCAGGAGCATGCCCGCGCTGCATCACAGGGTCACAACGACGATGCAGCAGAAGCGCCTACTTTGAAGAAGGAGAGGGATCTAGGAATTGAGGAGGCCTGATTTTCACGATGACCTGAAGATTTTCTCTTTCTTGTTTGATTTTACATTCAGAGTTATTGGCTGAGCTGATAGAAAGCCAACCTTGAACATACCCTTTGTCCGCTCTCACGTGTACTTAATTTTGTGGGTTGATGCCTGATCAGGCAACCTCGTTTGCTTAGCTGGAATGTCATGAGATTTGCTCTTGCTTCGTTTTTGTCAACGTGGCGGTTCGGTAGATCCACCATAACCGTCAACCTGGCCAGGATTTGGGGGTTTACAAACGGACACTTGAACCCCTTTGTCGGGCCGATTTATCTTTCACTCGCCGCGTCTCCAACCTCAACCCCCCAACATCTCAGACCAGAATACCCGTGTTCAGTCTACCATCAAGTATCTAAACCATCATGACGTCCAATATTCCAGAAATAATTCTCCTTTGCATGGATTCCGAATTTATCACGGTCTTTGACGAAGCTTTGCAAACCTACTGGTCTGACTACGACCCGAGCAAAGTGAAGATTACCAAATTCAACGAGCGCCTCAACAGCCTCCCACCAGCAGTCAAATTTGATCTCGTGGTCTCACCTGCCAACTCCTACGGTCGTCTCGATGGCGCATTTGATCATGCTATTTCAATGACATTCAGTCCTCGAGACGACTACCACGCATTGACTCGTGCAGCTCAGTCTGTCTTGTACCAGAAGTGGCGGGGGTTCGCGCCCCCGGGTTCCTGCTCTCTAGTTGAGTTCCCAGAGAATCTCAAAAGAAACGATCGCAACTGCAGCTGGGTCGCTATATGTCCAACTATGAGAGAACCGGAGGACGTGACTTGGGATCGTGAAGTGGTGTACGAGTGTGTGTGGAGCTTGCTGTGCCAGGTTGAAGGGCACAACCGTGGTAGTGTGCATAATAGGATCGAGTCTCTCCTCATGACACCACTAGCTACTGGCGTGGGGAAGGTCAGCAAGGAGCGATGGGCGGCGCAGACAGTACTGGCGTTAGCGCACTACGTTGATGCAGTTGAGCGGCCTGAAAAATGGAGTCATTTGCAATGGGATACCATTGAGATCATTGATGACGAGGTGCGTGAGACTTGGATGCCGAAGGAATAGAGTACAACGCAATACTTGTATACTTCTATCACAATTCAAATACGCTTGAGGTAGAAATAGAAATTCCCAGATCGGCCGAACTTCTTGCTTTCCATGATGCCTACCAGTATGTTTGGGCGCACAGCTCGATAGTACACTATCACAGGATGGTCATCATAGATCAGGGCAGTAGAGACGGCGCCCTGGTATTTGATCTCGTGTAACTACGTCGCAGATAACCTTAGACAGTGCACCGTGCTTCTGGGGTTCCGAATAGAGACATCAGGACGACTTACCGAAGCGCGTCCCCAATTTTCATATTCAACCCGCCTTCCATTTCTGGAAATCACAATGGGAGCCACATCCTCGGTCGAATCTAAGGTTTGGCCAAACCAGTTGAACCTCCCAAGCTCCTTTTCGAACGGGTGCCCAGTAGGTAAGACAAAGCCATTCCATTTCCCAATCAATTGCTTAGGATGGAGTGGCTTGAGATCGCAGAATACACTGTCAATATCTGGTGGACTCAAAATTCCAGGACTTGTGGTCAAGGATACAAATTTTTTGGCGGGACTCGGTCGAAAGGACTTGAATGGAATGGCGGGGAACTGAAGAGATATGCTGGAGATGCTGTAGATTAGTGGCTCGGCTGGTTGACTCGGAGGCCCTGCAAATGCGTGGGAGGACCTCGATTTGACTGAACAAGACTGGAAGTGCATAGTCGGGCGCCTGTACAGTCCTGCATGACTCGTGTAGATACCGGCCGATATCTCGGCCTTAAGATATGCGTTATACATCGTTCGTAGCTGTAAGGCCAAGGAAGAACGTTGCAATGTTCAAGTCCGGAGAAGCGAAACATGCGCATCTTATCCCCCTCGATTCACTTCCCCGGGATCATGATACGCTTTGCCAGTTCTTAAATTCCTCAGAGCCATGGAAACAAACAGATTCGTTCTAGCTCGTTCTCGACCGGGAAGGGTTATCCCTTCCAGAATGCGCCACCAAGTCCACACATTGCCAAAGGAGCACAGAAGACAAGATAAGGTAGTTCAGTCTATTTACTCCTGCCCGTTCTTATCTTTATATGTGCCAATGAAATCTAAATTGTTTGATCTTTAAGTTATCTGATCTGATCGGTGGGGCTCAATGACGGGGTAAACGGTCTCGAGTTCCCCTACTTCCGTCCACATTCCAGTGCCTTTCCGCGCCATCGCTTTTCTCTTCAGCGTCCGTCCAAATATATAAAATTTCCTATTTGCGAATTCTGCGACGGAAGCAAATATATCACTAGAGATTTCTGGCGCGTTTCGGTTTGGAACTTGTCCAAAATCCCATCCGTCCCGCTACACAAAACGAGATATCATTCTTTATAGATTGGCTGCAGGAAAAGACTTGAGACATCTCATTTCTATGATGGGGAATGAATTGTCCAAGGACATTTCCAATTCATGAAACTTTTCAATAACATGAGTTCTACCTCCTGAATCATGATAAGAGCTTTACTCTTCATCCCAGTTTATGCTCGACGGCAATCAGTGGAGGTATTGATTGAACCAATGCACAGCAGCATTCTTCGCCCGCACCAGACCCTTCAACTCCGCCTCATTCTCCTTATTGCCTCTCAGGGCAAAACCATGATCCAGAGCCGGAAAATGTTGATAGTCAAAGTCAAGTCCCAGCGATGGTATAACACGGTTACACCAATCTTTCAACTCTGGCGTAAACACTGGATCAATCTCCGGTGCCAGAATTTGCACAGGCACATACACTTTGTCAATTTCCTCCTTGGTGAGCCAAGATGGATGTGCAGTGGAAATGCAATCCACTAGCCCTTCGCTCGTCCTAGCACCGAGGCGAAATACGGCCCAGCCGCCGTAGCAGAATCCGATGGCGCCTACGCGTTGGTACTTTGCACGCAGCTCTTTTGCAAATGCGAAGATTTCCGGTTCGCGCACTTCTTTGCTATTGCGGGATGTAAAACCTGGAAGATCGAGAGATCCCCAATCGGATGTGTCCTTGGATAGGATATCGAACGGTAGCACTTCGCCGTCGAAGCTGGATTTTGCAGGTCAGCGGCATATACTTGTGGGTTGCTTTAAGATGGTTCGGCTCACAAGTCAGGCACGTATACGGTGGCGTTTGCCTCCTCTGCGTATGCATCTGCCAATAATCGGGTGTTGGGAAATGTCCAACCAAAGAGGTCGTGGATAAGTAGGATCGCGGCTTCTGGGTTGGAGCCCGTTACATATGTTGAACCTCCGGACGAGGTCGTTTCCAGGCGGCCCTGGGGCTGTCCATCCCACTTGAAGCCTTTCACACAACAATCGCTCATATTGCCCTTGAAGAATTATATGCTGTTGATCGTATAATGTGATATACCTCGCAGGTTGCTCTAGATAAACTAGGCGGCAGGATTCACGTGGTGCCATTCGAGTTCATTAATTAAGCTGATGAATGTGCCAATGCCCGGCAGCTTATACAGCCATTCTTGTTGACAAATTAACGGTCTAGGATCATTAGCTAGATAATTATCTACCTTCTCTATAGTATGACTCAGTGGTCTGCCTGAGATGATCTGTACTATACCCCTGTCATTGACCAATCATTCAGACCGATAATACCATGTGTCTCGGGCCGCACAAGACGAGTAGCTAGGACCCAATAGAGAAGCGGACTGAGGATATATGACTCAAGAGCCCACCTAGCTGGATTCTGGAGGCCAAAAATCTAGTTGAAGTATTTGAAATGTGATGGGGGAGAAGCCAGGTAATCACTCCTCCGGGGCTGTCCTGGCATGCATGTTTCGTATTCTTGATGTTCAGCATAACCAGCAGTAATCGCTCAAGGCATTTCACGAATAATCAAAATCTCCAGCGGATGCCCCAAAGAGCAGCTAGCAATAAAACCATGACCACCCCACAATTGAGTGTTCATGAGACCAGGACGACCGGATGTGATCGGCTCTTCCCTCGTGGGCATATCCAATAATTGTGGTTGTTTCCAAGGACAAAGCTACAGTAGTTCCGGGAAGCTTATCTTGCCACCAATTAGCTGCCCATTCTCATTATTGCTAACCAACTTAGAGGAAGACCTAAACAAGATAGCTTTGTGGCGACCAGAGTCCACCATGATGTCTTGTTACCCGCACCCGTGGAATTGCCTCAACCCACCCATGCCTCGAGGCAACTCTCCGCTCACATTATGACTGGTCGACCGCCTACGAACTAGCTTCGACAACGAAGCCGACAATTGGTAGCACCTGTCAGAGGAATCTCACTGGTAAATCGCGGAGCAGTGACCACGGTGGTGGTGAATGTTGTCGTCATGATCGTATCATGCTAGTGGCCGCGCCGCCACATAGATCCCGGACATTTCCCTCATAAATATAGCAACGAAAGTATGCCACTAAATTGTACTTTCTCATCACTTCTGATGACTCACGGTTGATTGAATTACACAAGACCCTGGTATGTTTCTCCCCTCAAATCACTCCTAGGTTCTATCGGCCCACGCTGGAGCAGGGAGGAAAGAGAGGAGACTGCTGAGGTCGTTTGTTTGGGGTGTCGCGTGAGGTGTTGGGGAGAACTATAAAGCTGTCCATTCGTACACTTCAACGATACTAACCATGGAACTTTGGATATAGCTTCAGGATAATCCAATATGCCCTCTTCTAAAACAGACACCTCGATGCGGTTCCCCGCCAGCGACAATCAAAAACGTCGCGCCTGGACTACCCAGGACAAGAAGGCGGCGGAGAAAGCTCAGAATGAGCAAAGCTCTGGCAGGAACAAGGCCGAAGACAGCACGACTTGGTCTCCCGAACAGCTGTTGGCATCCCATATGGATGCCGCCGGTAATCCCGAGGCTGACCCAGCGACATTCGGTGACGGATCCAAGGCGAAGATGAACAAGAGGGGCAGCATGACGGACGAGGCTGATCTGTTCGAGGCGATGAATGCGGAGACTGCGGATTTTGATTAGGCTCGAAACCTGAAAAGTGCCCTCTTTTCGTCGTGTTAAGTGATATTTTGCACCCCAGACTGAGTGTGTATATGCTTGAGCGCAGTGGTTGTTTGATATGAAAAAAATACAATGATATCAAAACCCATCTGATCCCGTTATCGGTGCTGCACTAGGAACCTGGTAGATGCTAGCCTTGATAGTGCCTGCTGATAGCCAAGGTTATGTTTCGTTAGCTTGCTAACCTGTTCGCTTGGACAGCACCGAACTGGTGAATCAAAAACAAGTTCGTTAGTTCGCTAGTCCCCGTTCGTAAGCTCGTCGTGAGGCGGGAGTTGGGCTGCGCGCATTGCCCTGGCAACGCCCACCGTCTCTATCGCCCTAGAACATCAACCACCACAACCATCCCCAGCTACGTCAATTGCAAACATATCGCTTTTTCTTGTATCAATTTATCATCCAATTCTTGTCAATTGTTACCATATTTATTTTGCATGAGCGAAGCTTGATCAGCATGCCTCTCTGAAGATCTCCCCCTGCCGAACCGTGTTTACCTCCGAACTCCCCGCGGGGAGGACCGTTGAAACAAGAACCTCCAACTTTCCAACTTCCAGGAAGGTTAGGACCAAAGACGCAACTGTACCGACCCCTTTCCTTTCACTCTTGATTTCCCTATCTTCCCCATACACTCGTTTCTTCTCCTTCAAAACCTTCGTGGTTCTATCTTTCCTTTCATTCCCCCCCCCACCTTTTCTGTATTACCGATTCGTTGCATGTACACCCATCTCATCGACCGACGACGCGACGCCGTCGAAGCTTGTGTTCATTTATTGAGGGAGTATAGTAGGGAAATGGCGCTGGATCCGCGCTTCTATCGACATATCGGCCAGAGCTCCGGCCCTGGCTCGATCTCGTCTGCGACATCCTCCGACTCCTCCGCCCTCACTAGCATCACTTCGCCAAGCGTGATTTCGACTTCAGCATCTATCGCGACAATGCGATCAAGCGCGTCCAGCCCGTCACTGCGCGCCAGGAAAAGCGTCTCTATACCGGTTGGCCGCCAAGACGGAATCGCCAGTCCTTCGCCCGGTGGGAATGTGCGCGTCGTGGTGCGAGTGCGGAAGTTCCTCCAACGAGGTATGTGCTGCAGATGGAGTCAAGCTGCAAAGATGGATTGAAACATCGAGAATCAAAGAAAGGTGATGGGTTAGCTGACTCTGCGCGCATAGAGCTCGACCGACAAGCAGAATGCCTGATCGCGATGGATCCCCACACCCAAATGACCAGCCTCAGAGCGCCGAAGCCGAGCCCCGGCGATCGCGGAAAGCCCAAATCACAAGCGCGAGGGAAAGTTCTCGAAGACAAATCATTCACCTTTGATAACTCCTTCTGGTCGCATGACGATGAAGATGAGCATTATGCACACCAAGAGGACGTGTACAACTGCCTGGGCGAGGAATTTCTCGATCACAACTTCGAAGGCTATCACACGTGCATATTCGCCTATGGCCAGACTGGTTCAGGAAAGAGTTATACTATGATGGGAACACCGGAGCAGCCAGGGTTGATTCCTCGGACCTGCGAGGATCTATTCCAGCGCATAGAATCGTCGCCATCCCCCGACATCAGCTACAACGTTCGAGTATCTTACTTTGAGGTCTACAACGAGCATGTGCGAGACTTGCTAGTCCCTCGAACTGACCCTCCGCATTACCTTCGAATCCGCGAGTCTCCATCGGAGGGCCCATATGTGAAAGACCTGACGGAAGTGACGGCGAGGAATTATGCCGAACTGATGAGATATATGCGCAAGGGCGACCTATCACGTACAGTTGCAAGCACCAAGATGAATGATACCTCTTCACGATCGCATGCTGTGTTCACCATCACATTGAAGCAAATTCATCACGATCTTTCTACGGATGAAACAACGGAGCGAACGGCTCGCATTAGATTGGTTGATCTCGCAGGTTCCGAGCGCGCCAAAGCGACCGAAGCGACTGGTGCGCGATTGCGCGAAGGATCCAACATTAACAAGTCTCTGACTACGCTTGGTCGAGTCATTGCGGCTCTGGCTGACCCAAAGAAGATTCGAGGAGGTCGAAAGGGCAAGGAGCTAGTGCCGTATCGTGACTCGATCCTGACATGGCTTCTGAAGGACAGTCTGGGCGGTAATTCCAAGACGGCCATGATTGCCTGTATCTCTCCCGCCGACTACGAGGAAACGCTTTCGACTCTGCGTTATGCCGATCAGGCCAAACGCATCCGGACTCGCGCTCGCGTTAATCAAGACCACGTTTCGGCTGCCGAACGTGATCAGCAGATTGCTGAGATGGCCGAGACCATTCGAACACTCCAACTGAGCGTGAGCCAGGCACATGCCAATCAGCGTGCGACCGAGTTGCAGGATGAGAGAATGGAGGAATACCAACAAAAGGTTGAGAAGATGCAGCGACTCATGGAGGAAACCAAGATGGTTAGCGAGTGCAAAATTCGCCAATTACAAACCGAAAACGAGGCTCTTCGCATGCACTTGAAGCTCGCGCTAGAGAGTCTCAGAAACCCTATTCCACCCGTCACTCTCGAACCCCGTCGAAGCCTATCGTCATTAGCGGAAGAGGAACAATTACCAGACACCGACCAAGAGAACCGGGAGGGCTCCCCCGTTGTCGAGCCATCCGACTCCGAGCCAGAGGTCTGGGAAGACGACGACGATGATGAATACGACGATGACGACACAATCACCCTTGACAACAGTGAACAGGAAGCATACCAGATGCAGGAGCGCATGCAAGATTTGCTCGGCGATCTGGGCGTTTTCAAGCGCAAGCTCGCAACTGATCACGAACGCTGGCGTCCCAATGAACATTCGAGGACCCGCAAGCGACGTGTGCTTGGAACTATCGCTGCTAACAATCGTTAGCTTTGATTCATTTGGCTTCTTAGCGTGTAAATTTGGTGTTGGCGGCGGCACTGTTTTTGAACTAGTTCTTTGTCAGGACTGGAGCCACGCTCTCGGGCAGCAATCAGCCTGGTTGTGACTCGAGATGTCTGTTCTTTGCCCTGGGTGTACATCCTTGTCCTCTTTTGTGTTGCCTATTCCTTATGTTAGCGAGAGATTCCCAGAAATGAATAACGAAACTTGACATGATCCATGTTTCAAAGTGATTTTTCAGTATCTGTGTCTGGACGTACTGCAAGATCATCGAGGTGTAATCCAAATCCCATAAGAGGCGGTCTTGGAGCTAATTCCTACATCAAAGACGACTCCAGCCACTGCGATGAACCTGCAGATGCGGAGGCGGAGATTAGGGCAGGTGCGCCGGGCAGTGGGCCGCTTATGGCATCACTTCTTTTTCCGTGAGTCAACTCTTCCTCCCCACCAACGCGATTCAAGATCCTCAACGCAGCCGCCCCTCGCATTCCGAGAGATTCAGCCATTCACCATGGCGGATTCCGTTGACTCAGCGCTGAAGTCCTCATCAGCCACTACGTCCGCACAAGCGCAGCCCGCTCCTGCGACCGACAACACCCCCTCGCAACAGACGCAAAACCTCCCCATCCGCGAGTCCAAGAGCGCAAAGTCCCCCGCACCGTCGGAAAGCCAAGCTGGCAAGAACAAAGATGCCTCCAAGCCCTCTGCAGCTGGCGCTGATGCTGCTACCCCCTCGGGTGCGGATAAGCCACTCACGCCAGCGGAGCTGAAAAAGAAGGCCAAGGCAGAGAAAGCTGCTCGGCGCGCGAGGGAAAAGCTTGCTAAGGAATCGGGTGGAGCTGGTGCTGCTGGCAGCTCAGCTCCTGGTCCTGGTCAGGGTCGTCCTCCGGCGACGCCAAAGAAGGATGCTTCTGGAGGAGGTGCATCGCAGAAAGGGCAAAAGGCCGCGCAGCCCCGCCGTGGATCTGCACCTACTGGCCAGACTGCTGCTGACGAGCCGAAGAAAAAGGAGGATAAGAGTGTTGCTGTCTTTGGACACCTTTACGGCCAACCGCGTCGGACGACTATCGCTGGTGCTGGCAAGGAAGTGCACCCCGCCGTCCTGTCTTTGGGTCTGCAGCTGCGGGACTATGTTGTATGCGGCAGCAGTGCTCGCTGCGTGGCAACCCTGCTGGCTTTCAAGCGGGTGAGTTTCAACAGCCATTGAGGACTATATGGACACCGTGGAAGATACTAATCCTGCAATTTCTCAAGGTCATCGAATCCTACACAACCCCCCTTGGCACCTCGCTCTCGCGCCATCTGACAACCCACCTCTCACACCAAATCACATACCTCTCGACGTGTCGACCCCTCTCCATCAGCCAGGGTAATGCTATTCGTGCATTGAAGCTGGCTATTGCCTCTGTCGACCCCTCAACCCCCGAACTGTCCGCCAAGGCTACCCTCTGCGAGTTCATCGATAACTTCATCCGAGAGAAAATTACTGTGGCTGATCAAGTCATTGCTGGAAGCGCCGCTCAAAAGGTCCAGGATGGCGACGTGATCGTCACGTTTGCCGGCAGCTCCATTGTTAAGCAGACTCTTCTCACAGCACATAAGCAAGGCAAGCGGTTCCGTGTGTCAATCATTGACTCGCGGCCACTTTTCGAGGGCAAGAATCTTGCTCGGGCCCTCGCCAACGCGGGCTTGGATGTGCAATACTCTCTCGTTCATGCCATCAGCCACGCTATTAAGGACGCCACAAAGGTCTTCCTCGGCGCACACGCCATGACCAGTAACGGTCGCCTCTACTCCCGTGTTGGAACTGCTCTGGTTGCCATGTCCGCCAAGGAACGGGCCGGTGGCGTCGAGGTTCCCGTCATTGTCTGCTGTGAGACGGTCAAGTTCACCGATCGTGTCGCCCTTGACAGTATTGTCGTCAATGAGATCGCCGACGCCGACGAGCTGGTGACGGCTCAGCCTCCACAGCAAGTTACCGGGCTGGTTGACCCAGAAATCCCCGCAAAGCCGGACAACAAGAAGGGCGGCAAAGGTGTATCCAGTGCCCCGAAACCCGATTCTTCCGCCTCTTCCCTCAACCCTTCTTCTTCACCCCTCACCAACTGGAAAGACAACCCTAACCTCCAACTGCTCAACATTATGTACGATGTCACGCCTGCCGAGTACGTGGACATGGTAGTTACCGAAATGGGCAGTCTGCCACCTAGTGCGGTTCCAATTGTCCACCGGATGAGTACGAACCTGTGATTCATGAAATACTATGTTTTGGAATGCATAATGCAAACAGTTGAGTCTTGGCTTCTTCCATCTCTCGGATCTTCTTCTCCTACCTTTCTATATCTGGGAAGAATTATGCACTGGCGCGGGTTTGTTTCGTTTGTTATACTGGCTCTAAAATATTTGCATGTTTCACCACATGGTCGCAGAATCTGGATCGCTAGACTCGAATACAAAAGAACTGTTATTCTCTATTTAGTGTACTGTATTACTATGCGGTTAACAGTTGCCAAGACCCTCGAACTGGAGGGGAGCCAGATCAACACGTGATGATGTGGAGCTTCTAAGGCGGTGTACCATGCTAATATTCTGCCGCTTGCTGTCAACAATCAGCGCGCGCATGGGTACGTCGACCAAACAATAAAACAGACAATTCTACCTTTGAAGGCCCAAACTGCATCCTGCACCAAAAGTTCTACTTCTGTATACTCAACTGCAAACAAAAATGGTACCCATTGACCCTTGATACCCCGATATCCTAGCCTCCGACTCTCGACTAACATCACCCTCAGAGCAAGGATTCCTCCGCAACCCACCTGCACATGCACCAACCCCGACTTGCCGACCTCTTCGAAGAATTCACAAAACCACACATGTCCACCGCAGGCATATCATCCGACTCCCAACACCATATCTCCCAATCCGCAGGCACCCACCAATCAACCAACCCCGCATACGGCTCCTCCTCCCCCTCCAATATCCCCTCCTTCCTCCCCATCGAAGACATCTACCTCCAACGGCAATACCAGCCCCCAAACCCGGAAGACGAAGATGATGTCGTCCCGCATCAACATGCCGTGTTCGGAATCACGCGGGCCATGGAGCGCAGGCAGGAAGCTGTGTGGAGGGATTTGGGTCTTGAGGCGCTGGTGAATGGTCAGGGACATGGTGGTAGTGGTGGTGGCGCGGGGGCTGGAAATGGTGGTGCTGCTGGTGCTGGTGCCTCTGGGGGTGTGGGTTTGGGACTTGGTGCGACGTTGCGTGGTAGTGGCGGTGGTGCGGCGTCTGCTGCGTCGGCGGCGGTTCGGGTAAGGAGTGCTGGGAGGAAGATGGGTGGGCGACGGGTTATCACTTTGCGTTGATTGAGAGAGTCGGGAGTTGGGATTGACCTTTTTACTGGGACCTCGGGAGCAACGTGGTGCATTTTTGGAGCATTGGATTTATGGCGGGGTGCGTTTAACTGGTGTATAATACTTATTGGAAGGGAATAGTTCATCAAGAGATATCGTTTTCATTGATCCATTTCGTTGAATTTGTCCTTCAAGTCCAATTGGAGCCCGGTGGGCTGGGACTCGATGCTGCTGCAGTTCACTTTGCGCCTCTAACGCCAAGTGAGAATGCCGGATGATTATATAAAACATTGTTACTGATTCGCTAGATTCGGTTGATATCGACACGAGACCGTTCGTACAGCTTATGGTCGAGTTGCTTGGACTCGCGCTCTTCATCTGTCACATTTCGCGGATGGATTGCCATCTGTGCATAGGAACCGGCGGCGCGGCGCTTCGAAAGGGTGCCGGGGTTGATAACGAGCACACTTTCGACAACCTAGATTGCAAAGATAAGAGTCAGTGCGAAGGGCTAGGGAATTGGGAGGATCTTGGGTTCGCATACCTTGACAAAGGGCGGCAGCATACTGGGCACGATCAGAATATCGGGTCGAACATTCCACCACTCGCCGAGTTTCATGTAGGGCAGGTCCAACATTGCGCCAGTGGCCAGGCCAGTATCGGATCCAGGTTTGGGAAGATTGGCGCGGGCAGTTGGAGGGAAGAGAGGGAAGAAGTGGCGCTGCTCGACAAGGTATTTAGGCAAACGGGTGAGCAGATTACCCTCCGCGGGTCGACCGTGCAAAACTTCTTCACGACGAAGTTCGGAGAGAACATCGTGGGAGCACATGCCCATGACGACTTCGTTGAAGGACAATGTCACTGGGTTGGACACCATGCGGACTTGCTTCGGTAGACCCAGATCCTTTTTGAGCAGCTGTTCCTGTGGCCAAGAGACGTGACGACTAATGATATCACGCACGGATGGAATAACCACGATTGTGATACTGGGTACAGCCTGTGCGAGGCGTGAGAGAGGCGCCGAGATACAGTGGTGGAAAACAGTGGCCATTGTCATCGTGTCTGGGTCAACTCCCTTAATTTCGGGCAGGTCAAAGTCGCCCGAAGCGAGCAGCGGGTGTTCGATATCCAAGAAGGGACCCAGCAAGACCACAGCATCTGCATAGTTGTCTGCTGCCTTCTGGCACAGCTCCTGCAAAGGTTCAAAGTCCAAATTGTCATGTGCCGTGTACGGACCTGCCGCTACCATGACATTTAGCGGTGAATTGCTACCACTCTCTAACCGTTCATTAATATTATCCAGCGTCACCGCCGAAGACGCGGCAGGAGGCAAGAGGGGAATGGGAAGGATCTCCTTCACTGTGAAATAGTCCCCAGAGGGATTGATTCCTCGAAGAGCAACAATCTGGCCAGGGAAGAAGCTCAATGAGGGGACCGAGTCTACCTTGAGAGGAACTCGTCTTCCAGCACCAGTACGGCGCGATGTCTCCAAGACCAAAGAGGCTGGGTTGAGCTTCCCTTCCAGAGAGTCAGAGGCGATCCGGCCAACTGCAATAATCTCGCTTGTACTTTGAGTAGCAGCGCTGCCGAAGGTCAGGTCGTCGGAATCGTAGTGCTTCTGGAAAATAGCAGCAAACTCGTCGATTCGGTCGTCTAGAATCTCAGAGGCTTCGGACAATCGCATCCCCATTGGCTTGTATCCAAACTTCTTAAGATCTGTGTTTGCCGTCGGTCGAATGCGCGCTTCCGGGAAGGGTGCCATTGGAGTCTCTGGCAGCGAGAGGTGTGCATTTAGTGTTTCTAGTGTCTGGCCAGGGTTGGGACGCTCGGCGAATGATACCGCTGGGCCGTTTGCCACAGTACCAGGTGTCTTTGCACCAGCTGGTGTACCAGTTTTCTCGAGCCTTCCAACCTTCGGCGTGGCGGGAGAGGTAAACTCGGCTTTGCGCTTCACTGAACCATTTCCATTGATCGTCCGAGCATTCGCAGTGTTTGGTGTCAACTCGTCCAACCTAACCGTCAATCATGCATGGTTAGCCATTTCCTATTGACATGATCGCCACTAATTTCATCTTCGTACATTCCAAATACATCGGTCCCTGCCGCCGAGCGCGGGGTCGCCGTGACCGTTGGTCTCTTCTCTGTTTGCCGGCCAACTTTGCCGCGACTTTCGCGCTCAAGGGCTTCCTGGACGTCTTGCTTGAAGCGTCGGACAGTCTCCATACTCAATTTCACCTCATCACCCATCTTGATGCTGTATGATTCCCATTTGTAGAACAGCTCTTCCGCAGTAATCAAATGAATCCGCAGAATGGATTGGAGCTCGCCGAGGATATCTTTGGGAAGGCCATTGGGAAAGGTTGCCACGAAGAGCTCATTAAGCTCGGCCGTAGTGTCGGTCATGATTGCGCCGTCCGGATGAGGGGCTCTCGAGGGCAGAGTGGTCGAGTTGACACTGATCACGCTCTCGGTGCTCTCATCAAGCACTTCCGTGGAATCAGGAATCCACGACGCGACGCGTGAACCGTGTTGCTGACATAAGCACGTCCCAAAGAAGTAACATGTGCTGGGCGGCTTCCGGAGAAGATCAAAAAGTGGGCCAGGACGATCGACCTTCTGACCAATCACAGCCTAGGAGGACAATTGATGCTAGCAGTGAGTCTCACGATCGGCTTGATCCCTTGAGTATTCCGTGCACCGCGCAGAGAGTCTACCATCGACCGCTATGACTGCCAATGATTCCGCGAAAGTCGACGCGGCTTTGCCATCGACCAACAACGGCGATGCTGTGACTGCCTCATCAGTGGTGCAGACGCCTTTCCCCCACCCTGTCGATACCGCCAAACCCGAACCGCAGGCGAAGCTCTCCCCAGACCAGCAAGCCAAGTACGAGACTGTCTTCAAGACGGTCTCTTCCTGGACCACAATTCCTACCAAAGCCGAGAAGAATGCCCCGACCGAGCCAATTACCGATGATGAGCGCATGTGGTTGACCCGCGAATGCCTGCTCCGATACCTTCGTGCGACCAAGTGGAACGTCTTCGAGGCCGAAACTCGGCTTCAACGTACCCTTACTTGGCGTCGGGAATATGGTATGGAAAAGTTGACACCGGAATATGTCTCAATTGAGAACGAGACAGGCAAGCAAGTTATCATGGGCTACGATATCCACGCTCGGCCCTGTCTATACCTCCTGCCCTCGAACCAAAACACCGAGAAGAGCGAACGCCAGATCCAACACCTAGTCTTTATGCTGGAACGCGTCATTGACATTATGGGCCCCGATCAAGAAACTCTGGCCCTTCTTGTCAACTTCAAGGAGACCAAATCTGGTCAGAATGCGACAATCGGTCAGGCAAAGCAGACCCTCGATATTCTGCAGAACCACTATCCCGAGCGATTGGGACGTGCATTGGTGATTAATGGTCAGTAGATTTTTCGTGGCTTGATCATGTTGCCCCAACTGACCCCTTCTCTGTGTAGTACCCTTCATCATTTGGGGATTCTTCAAGTTGGTCACGCCATTCATTGATCCCAACACGCGACAGAAGCTCAAGTTCAATGAAGACCTGCGCCAACACGTGCCTCCCAGCCAGCTCATGAAACCCCTGGGTGGTGACCTTGAATTCAAGTACGACCACTCTATCTATTGGCCCGCCGTCAACGAGCTGGCGAAACAGCGCCGTGAAGCCTACCGCGAGCGGTGGATTCAAGGTGGAAAACAAATTGGCGAGTTTGAGAACTATCTCAAGGGTGAAGATATCCCGAGTGTATCGCAGATTCAGAGCACTCCGCTGGAGGCCGAGGCCTCTGCCTAAGGTCTGGTTTCTCCGTTTAAACTGTCCTTTCGGTCGAGTAGAAACCCAGCATTCTCGATTTCAAATACTGCATGTTTTTTGTGCTCTGTTTTACTTTCTTTCGGGTCAATTTTTGCATGGCACTGGACAGCCCTTGCGTATTGTTGATAGATACCACATACCTCTCGCATTCTGCATATCGTTTGCTAATAGAGTCACAAATATACTTCGGTATTGATTGGTATTATTCACCTTATTGTATAAGACATACTACCTATATATTCCCGAAGACTGCGGCACGTAGACCCCTTTATGAAGCCTGAAGAAGATGGATCAGGTAGTCACTGCCCGAGCGAGGCAAAAGGCTAGCTAAGTAGTCTATCTGTTCTTCGATTTTCTTTCCGAGCACATCTTATCGACAACGAAAATATCAAATAGTCCCCAAACGCCAATTGAGTGTCGCACAAAGACCCATCAACGTTGTCCCCAGTGGCAGATCGAGGATTGCACCTCTTACACATTCAAAAATCAACCGCAATGCGGCATAATTTGTCTCAAGCCATGTCGTCTTTTTGGGGAGAATTAACTTCCTCATTGGTTGTAGCAGAGGCAGAGCTCGCAGCCTGTGCAGACTGCTCGGTGGACTTCTCGCCCGCGGTCTTTTGCTCACTCTGGGCCCTCATGCGGTCGGTCATAGCATCAAGCTGACGGGCAGACTCGGCCGCATATCGACAATGGCGTCGGATAGCAGGGCCATATTTGTAAAATATCCAGGGAAATGGGAGACAAGCTGCTGCGAGAAATGCTGAAATCGAAGATCCCCAATGAATACCCAAGCGATCGTACATAGGCGTAGTGAAGAGAGGACTGAGATAAAATTTTATGAGATGAGCTGTTGTACCACGGAGAAAAAGTTGAACTTACAAGGCTGCGCCGAAGAGAGCACGTATGACAGCATTTCCAGCCAGTGCCGAGGCGGCATAGACTGTATAGCCATCAACGAGGTAATTGACCACACTCAGGAAGATAGAGACGTGAGAGAATCCGAAGAAGACTGTTCCAATCTGGCACACAATCCAGTGAATTCTGGGGAAGTTGGTCCAAGCAAACCAGAACAGGCCAATGGGTAGCGTCACTGCTCCGACCATAGCAGGGATTAGTCGTGCCTCGGGGGGTGGGCGACCGTAGGTCGTCCGATCAGCAATCTTTTTGTATCTGCCATCGTCAAGAATGGAATAAGCGCATCCCAGTATCTGCCCAATCATCATTCCTATAAAGGACAAGCCAGAAGTACTCTGCGGCCAATGGCGGGCTTCTTCAAAAACGATAGGGAAAGCGGCGAATTCCATGTACATTGTACCATAGACTATGAATGAGCCACGATAGTGGTGGTATAATGAGCTTGGGTACTTGCAGGCAGCTGTGATACTCTGGTTCACTTACTTATAGCCATGTAGATTGAAAGGAGTAGCACAATTGGCTCTAAAAAGAGCAAAATCCACGGGCGCACCATAGTTTTCGTGAAGACCTGACCGGCAGTTTTGTGTCCTTGTTCCACATCGAGCCGGCTCTTGTAAACAGCACCCGTCATTTTGCTGAGTTTTGCTGCTCTTTTTTGCAAGAGAACCGGGGAGTATGTCTCGGGAATGAGAACGATTCCCACCAAGAATACAACTCCATTGAAGATTGTAGTGAGTCCTTGAACCCACTTCCAACCCTTGGACACTGCCAAAAAGTCGCAAGCGATAGGCCCAAGACTAGGACCCAGGAAAGGAGCTCCAATGAAAGCGATGGTTGCCAGTCCTCGGTCACGGGCCGTGTACATGTCAGACACGACACCTCCAGCATTGGAGATGGCAGATGAACCAAATGCTCCGGAGAAAAATCGAAGGACCAGAAGAGTTGCGACGTTAGGACTTGCGATAGTCGCCCCAGCAAAGAGAGTAGTCATTCCATATGTGATAAAGTATATCACTTGTCGGCCATAGAGCTCTGAAAGAGGCGCCCATACCGCGGGGCCAATGGCAAAAGCGAGCACGAAAAGCGAGGTATCCGCAACCAGCAGCTCTGTACTAGCCCCGAACTGTTCCTGAATCTGGGGGTTGGCGGCAGAAAGTGCAGACGAAGCGAATGTGATGGAGAGGAAAGACGCGGCCTGAAGAAGAGTTATGGACCATTTCAGCCACTCCTGCATCTGATGCGGATCTCGCGGGTCGTCGTGCAACCACTCTACGAGGTACGGGCTTTCAGTGGTTCCATTCCCCTCCCACTGGTGCTCGAGAACTTCATCGGTAATGGTACTCTGAGACAGAACCAGCCTGTAGAGAGGAAGCCGAGAATGCTGAGACTTCTCCGCAGTTTTAGTCGCCATCTGTAATCGAATTCACATGTAAGCCAATTGCTGCAAACGAGGGGCCACGAGAGGTGTGTAGACTTACAATCGCGAGCGCCTGTGTAAGACTCGAGCGTTCGATACAGGCAATAAAGATAATAACGAATTAGTAGATTGTTAAGATCAGGCTTGATGCAAGAGAAGGATTTTGATTCCGCACTCTGTAAATGGGGGCAATCTGGTTCACGAGGGAAAGAAATAAATGAAAGGGCCGAGATAGGCGAGCCTGAAAAGATTGGGGGAAATCCGGTCAGTTTCGCATTAATAATCATTATGAATGCAGAATGGAGTGATTAGAAATCAAGTTGCCAATCTTTTCGGAATGCGAAAAGGCTGTAATAGGGGAGCATTCAAATCGCTGTTTTCTGGCCTTTTTGAAGCTGTAATTTTGTATAAATGACGATGCCCTGATTTTAAGGCCCTGCCAAGCTTTTTCAAAATGGAGCTGGGATGATCAATGTCCAATCATAGAAGGGTATTCGCCCCACCTCATTCTGTTCCCGCTAGTACCCGCCCCATGTCGCCGGCTAGTCTGTTCTAGGGAATTCCGGCCTGCGCAAGGATACAAAAATGGGCCGGAAATAACGCCAGTGGAACTGCTAGACGGGTAGCCGGGAGATCCTTGGTGGAAATGATCATGATACAGTTCACTCTAGGCTCGATTATGCCCTTGGCTGGCCAGGTATCCATTAACCAGAAGACGCGTCGCTAGGGATCAGAGTAGTTGCGTTTTTTCTGAGTGGAAATGTATTTAGTCTACTTATGGGGTGGTATCTGACCACAGAGCGCATGCATGATGCTATTTGTCTCAATCCCTTCTCTAGCCTGCCACTAGTGCGAAGTAGGTAGTATCGAAGTGTTAGTAATCCCATCATACTCGCAGGTCACCAAAACTTGTTGTCATCTGGCATCACACACAAATGCTATGAAAAGACGGTCTAATATTGGCGCGTAGGCATTCTATAAATTCTGAGACCATCTCATCGCTGAATAATTTCTCTCATTGATCCTTCAGTCTTCAGAACCGACCTTTGCAAATCCTCTAGGACAAAATGTACTGGCCATTTCTCACTGTGCTCGATGGACTGTATAGAAACGTCAGAAACTCGTTCAAGATATCCTGCCATGGACTCGAGAACAGATTTGAGTTTGCTCAATGCCCGAGCAATCAGGACATCTGTTAGAAAGGCTTGCTCTTCTTGCGGGACTTCAAAACTCCCCACCCGGATTCTGTCCCCGACAAAACTTCCCGACTGAGGTTTAATGGATCCCACATTGATGTTTTCGAAAGTGAAATCTCGATGGTTGGCCCCATTCATTAATGGCGCGGTTCTATTGCTGAATGCTGTGGGACAATAGCCTGCGGGGTGAGTTAAGTGCTGTGAGGCTTGCTGATTCAATATCAGGCACTGCAGACCTCGGAGAATATAACGCAGTCCCATTGCAAACATTAAAACAGCCACCGAGTCACGATCGCGTCGACAGGCAGAGCAATGCATCAATCGCTCCCAAAGAATTCGGCTGTCCTGAGTGGCTTGAAGGATGACAGGCACGGGTGCTGGGGAATATTTGCCTTCCATTTTCTTCAAACTGGATATGAAACTGGCTTGATTGCCAATACAGGCGCAGTGGCCCGTCATATCCATTTCACCCGACACTGATCTTGTTCCTGGGAGGCCGCTTGAAGCAGGGTCTTGAGGCATATAGGGGATCCCAGAGGAGATTGACAGATCGACTGCCTGCATGACACGCCGAAAGTCGTCTCCTTCCCCCTGTGACAGGTTATTACTTGATCAGAATAATGACAGATTTCATATTTCAGTGAAATATTAATATGCATGCGGACCATTGTAGACTCACCAAGGGAAGCATGGAAGAGCTGGGTCCTTGTGTCTTAAGTCCCATTCCTGCATCTAGACCATAGAGAAACTCCGAGGCATGTTCCCATGAGCCTTCTGATATAGGCGCCGATGGAAATATAGTTTCATCATCTACATCGACAAATGCGTTTGGCTCCAGAAAGTCTTGAAGTCCCTCCACGTCACCAGCAGAGAGGAGTTCGTCTACCCCAAGAGCTCTTGCTTGTTCTGCAGGGGACGGTCTTGGTGAAGAATCACTATCTGAAGAGGAATTTCTGCCTCTTACTCCTGCCTTATTGTGAGGTCGCTTTGACGGAGGGCATGGTTGTTGCGCCTTTTTATTCTTGGACCCCTTTGGTCGGCCCAGGCGATTAGGTTCGCTGTAAATGCAGGGCTGTTTGGATCTTGCACATCCGGTGCATGGATCTCCCCCCGAACATTTCATCTTCAAGGCATGGCATATGTCGCAGGCTGATCGAACCTTGCGCGAAATTGATTCCTCCATGCTTGTGTCTGTTTCAGACTCTCCATGCAGTCGTGCTAGGGTTAGAGAGTCGAGGGCACTCAAGGAGAATTCAAGGTAATGGGTAGTGAGATTTTTTTGTCAAAGTCGAATAAAGTTGCGTAAATTCTAGTAGATAACTATGCTCTCCGATACAAACCCTATACCCTGTCAAATGGATAATGCTTCCGCGTCCGTACAAACTCCTTGTTACTCCGTCCTGGTCTTTTGTCTATTCTGCAATCCACATACAGTCTATCTCATGCGAGTTCGTTTAATAGTGGAGGTCTTTCAATGCAGAAATACTGATTTAGACTTACGTCTCATTGTGACTTAGGGAGTTAAATGACACTTCAGGGCCCAAATTTGACTAGTGATCGACATTTGGTAGTGTGTGAGGACTCCGTAGGTGGCAACAAACCCCACTTAATTAACGTCTCAATCACCTTTATGGCCGATTGTAGAGCCCGAAAAGGCGCTTCGTGCCGAAACTGACAGGGTTGGTGCAGCAAAACCCCCCGTTATCCGATTGCCTCAACCCCCGCTGCAATCAAGTCTCTCTAGAGTCATGTTGAGAAATTCTCTACGTATTAATTACTCCTACGCGATATCTACGCTTCTGGCACAATCCTACAGGTGCATTTGAACGAACTATGAAGATTACGCAGCGTTTTAGCGCGTTATCCAGGCCTGCAGTGCATGAAACATTCTCATAGTACCCGAGCGCCCGATATGCAGTAAGACGGCTCTTCCGAGCAAGCAGGCTGAGTGATTGACGTGCAGCATACCAAAGAGAATCGTCATATGTGGGGGTCCGCAGAACTAGCCTTCAGATAGCATTTCAAAGCTTGGAAAGCGTCCTGCTTTTTGTCAGCACTCGATGTTAAAAGAATCATATAAAAGAAAGATCAAAAGAGCGAAGCCACTAGCTGCGCTCTTTTTATCTTTCGCACACAGACTCTTCTAGATGTAGTTGAGAATATTCACGATACAGGTTATGGTGCAGACTTTGGATAAGTAGTGTGAATCAGCCAAGACTCCGAGCAACAGACTAGTGATGAGTGAAGGTATCATGCCAAAGGTCCGGTGGGCTTTCCTTGGGCGAGGATCGCCCTTTACGCGAACCGATCCCGATTTGTTTTCGTCTCACTGGCGAGTTCTGAATGACAATTGTAAGCGATGTGGTAAGGGCCATAGCTTGGCAGCTTCTTTAAGCTCTCAGAATTTTATTCATGTGTTTATCTATCGTTGAGTTTCATCTTCGAGTAGAAAAGGTGGAGACTGTTGATCAAGAAGGTCTATGTAAATCTTAACCCTACTATTGGATGCCACGGTCCGTATCTGTGATATGTAGTCGTCGATCCAAGCCGTATTTGGCCTGCTACTATATGTAGAATCAAGGGTTGGAGTGCTAAGGGATAGTGTCGCTACTGCAACGGCGGAATTGAAAAAGGGGATGGCTTAATCGTGGCCGAAGCCTGCAGAAATGGCGTAATCTCGACACGACTGGTACTTTCTACCTTACATGGTCATCGCCCCACATAGTCTCGGGCCGTTCGTCGAGAGACTCTTTATGTTGCACTGCGCCCGGTTGTCGGAAATTTTGAATGCTCCGTGCTTAAGTGGTTCTAGCCTCAGTAGAATCCCTGACGCGAGATGATGATCTCATCGATACCTTCAAAATATGCTCCGATGGATGAAATGACAGGGCTAGCCTGATGATGTCCCACTCTTCGCCCCCACGGCGCGGTCACATCGTCTTCGGCCCGTTCCGACATTACCTTATCTAGTCAACATTAAAAAGGGTTTCGGCCAAAGGGCAGCAATTCAAGCTATAACGAGCGCTGGCAACTTGATCCCTGATATGTATATACAGTGGAGTATTGTGTTAATCTTATAAAAATGGTCCTTGGTAACAAGGAAAGTATTTGAGAGGGTATGCGAACTGGCACGAATCTCATTCATCCCGTATCATTTCCAAGATGTCACAGAAACTACTGATGCATAACTAGCTACAAATTAAATGAGCGTGACTAATAGATTCCGTTTTTTTCAAGACATGACAGCCAAAAAAGGGGTATTTAGACTGCTAAAGGTGGGCCCTCGCAGCTAGATGTTCATCACGCTTAGGAAATCTCTGCCAAGCCTCAGCGAAGCCAGCTCCACGAATGAAGTCGAAATGTTTCGTTCCATCCATAGGTTTCGCGCTGCCAGAATCAATAGCAGCAATTCCAGCTGTCAAGAAAAGCGACTGTTTAACCCGAAACTCAGGCAGATGGTCATACGGCTTGGAGGTGTCTTGGGCATGGGCCATGCACCGAATAAGCTTGCACATGTGGCCATCGTCCTCATGGTAGCATGCCCGATCAAATACCTCGTCCCATCCTTGATTGGGTAGCCGAGATGGATGCGAGGCCAACCAGTCAAGGTGGATCTCAGGACATCCTTGTCCCGCATACGACAACAGATACACTCGACCAGTATACTCCAGAAGTCGAGCCTTTTGCTCGCGAGTAAGGGAGGGCTCTGCGAGGAACATAGTATGGCCGATACTTGATGTTACACTGTGCAAGAGGAAGAAGTCAAATGTGCAGATGTATGGAGGGCGCTGAGCTCCGGCTGTCAAATACACTGCAAGTAGAAGACGTTCCCAAGATTAGCCACTGTATGATCGGGCATCAGTGAAAGGCGCTTCAACTTACCTGCAGTGTTTTGAAGCTCTGCAGTTGCTCTATCCAAGTCATTTGGGTCAACGCGATACCGAGCAGCAAGGCGAACCAACTCTGGACCTGCGTTCTTCAACACGCCATCCCGAGCGGGTTCGAGATCGAGGCACATTTCTCCAGTGACCTTCCTCTTTTGCAAATGGTAGTATGGGCTAGAACAATTGCGAATCTTTTCCTCTGCCCGAGCGAGGTCCACACAGGCACTTAGTGGGAGTGAGGGCTCGACCTGTCTTTTGGAAAGCTTTTCGGCTTCCGTGAGGTAGTCTGTATACCACCAATCATGGTGCACACACGCCTGGGCAAAGCCCTCTGCAAGCAACCTCGCCTGTTTGAACTCTAGGGCCATGCCAATGTGGATGATGCCGTGTACATAGCCTTATAATAATCAAAGAATGAAGTGATTAGTGTGATGGCATGAACGATTGAAACTTCACTTACCCATATAGATACGGCATAAGATGTCATCAGCCATCTCACTACCACCAACAAGGTACTTCTGAAATACAGATTGGTACCCAAATCGATCGATCTCGTTCTCAAAGAAAAGGCAAAAATTTAGAAAGTTCTCTTCTCTGCCGAGACATCTTTTAAAGACCAACGGATCAGTCATATCCTCCACAAGCGTGTTCTGAACTGCCATCGCGTCTCTCTGATACAGACTGTTACGATCATGTTGTGATCGAATGGTTTCAGGGCTAGCTCCAAGAGCCCAGATAGTGATATCATGGTGTGCTATGTGGTTGTGAAAGTAGACCTAAATTGCGAGGAAACATCTTCAGTGCCAAGGGTCATGGCATAATTTTATTGTATAGTTGTGCTTACACCTTTATGGTCTTCAGTTGTGGTGAATATGTGGTGATTTATGTGGTTTTCCTCCAGAACCTGTTCAAGTATGCGAGAAGACTCCTCCGTCAGATTCTTTGCATGTTTCAGTCCCGGATTCACACTCGGATCGAAGTGAAAATGGGATGTCGGTTCGAGCTCAAGTGCCATTGCTTAACAGGGGGGATATCTGTGTGAGAGTTGCAGGAAGACGATGAATTTAGTATGCTCGATTTCTAATGTGACTGGGGTGATATAAAAAGAATATAATGCGAATACTAAAATTTAACGTATTGCAAAGCGAGCTCTGTGCTCCAATGAATGGCGCAATGTTGAATAGTCCCAACGCGGCATAGAACTATCACAGGCAAAATTTTGGTATATTCGGTGACTATTAGCAATCCATTCTGGGAATTTCGTCAGCAATTAGGATTTACTTTTCAAGTCGGAAAAACCCCCTCATCTACCCACATGATAGATGGCTTCGTATGTCGACGCCCACACATCCAGTACCACCGGGTACGTGGATGGCTTTTGAACTTGTCGATCCGCAATCGGAATATTAATCCAAGCCAATGATTTCCGAACTGATTTATTCATTCGTTACCGGCGAATATTAAAGATCTTATAAAGTCGCCGATAGCCGAATTTGCCAAGATTCAGTGTCACCATGCGCTACTTATCGTTACGGCCATGACTAAATGTACGTCAGTTAGACTTATGCGTACCAGGCTGAAGATTAAAATGACCTGCGTCAATCTCTCTTGCTCCAATTCAATATTGATTTGTACACTTCTTGTTCTTCCCAATGCCCCTCAAGAGCCGTATTCGATTTCCAGACCCAGAGCTGAATAAATTTGACTCCGCAAAAATGAGCCCAAAATACCACAAGCTCGTTGGAAAGCATGTCTTGATTATCGGAGGGACTTCTGGAATGGGTTACGCGGTTGCCGAAGCGAGCTTAGCATCTGGAGCTCATGTAACGCTTTCATCCTCGAATCAGAGCCGCGTCGATGAAAGGGTCAAAAAGCTCCAACAAGACTACCCTGCCAGCAAAGTCCAGGGCTTCGTGTGTGATCTCTCACGCAGCAGCCTTAAACAAGATATTGAAGAGCTCTTTGAAAAAGTCGGCAAACTCGATCATATTGTTTTCACTGCAACGGAGCCGCCAAAGATGCTCACATACGATGAGATCACACTCGAATACTGGCGAGATGCAGGGCAGATGCGTCTTTTTGCACCATTCTTCGTGGCCCAAGTAGGCTCAAAATACCTCAATCTCGGGCCCGAGTCTTCGATTGTTCTAACTACTGGAACATCGTCCGAAAAGCCAATTGCGGGATGGCCAGTGGTCGCGTCTTACGCGGCCAGCCTGAAAGGATTGACCCGCAATTTGGCCTTGGACTTGAAGCCTATCCGTGTCAACATTGTTAGTCCCGGCTTCGTCGAGACAGAATTGTGGGACCATCAGCCAGAGGAGGCCAGAAAGGGGCTCTTTGAATGGGTCAAGACGGCGACAGCGTTGCAGAAAATTGGGTATCCGGAAGAAGTTGCGGAAGCCTTTTTGTGGCTAATGAAGGACACCAATGTTACCGGCAGCGTTGCGGAGACCAATTCGGGAATGAAGTTAGTGTAAAAGCCGATCTCTAGATGGTCTTTATGTAGTTCATAGAGAGATGACAATGAAATTTTGAGGTTTACCTTGAACGCTTTGATCCCAATGTCTCATATAGGTGGGGGCAATCCCCGGAAGCATGCCAACCAACTTGTGTCTAATCTTAAGATCACATTAAGTTCAAAGGACTCGCAATTTCACAAGCCAGAGTTTCGGGCTGGGGGCCTTGCAATAAAACAATCGGATCACTCTAGGATACACTCACGGAAGTTCAAGCTTACGCCCCATATGGTAATATATTTTGACGTCAATGGATTCTGGAGTGCTGGTTACCTCCAAAACATTATCTTGGACACTTTCGCATACGAGCAGACGAAGTACCTCTCAAAGAATGATATTGATTAATATTTCCATAGACTTTAATGTTATACCCGCTGTGAAACCAGGCATCCGTCGATCTTTTATCTTTTCTTTTCAAGGTCTGGAACTCTCAGCCTATGTTATTTTCCCCCATATGTTAGCAATGCCTGACCTTTGTTGTGGCTGCCGCCATGCAAGGCCTTTTACTCGCTGGGCTACTATAACAAAAAACAGGAGAGCAAACATGATGGGAAAAACGTTTCGTTTCTCATTGTTAGTCTTGAGTCGAGTCATGTTCCGGTTTTAAACCTCCTTTCACCGAGTCAGCACTCTCCTAAATCCCTGACGGCCAAAAAGCAGCGGATCATGACAAAAGTCACCATCCAATGCGCTATCGCGCAAAACTACTAAGTGGTTACGTGCCGAATGGGAATTATTGCTGACACAAAGCCGGCTTCCCGGCGAATTCCCTCTTAACCGGGAAAGGAGGGCTGTTGTTCCTTAAGTTGAAACCTACAATTAAAATTACATGGACCTTATCAAACACCTCGGAACAATAGTCTACGAGATGATGCCGTGGTCATGACAACGGAGAATTTAAACACATCCAAAAAGTGGTTTAGAAAAAAGCAGGCACGCACGTGTCGTTGGATTGTGGTTCCATTTTCTCTATTCTGACACCTAAACAACTAGCTGTAGCAGGTTTGGGACATGCAAGTTGCCAAAATTACCTCACCAACCAAACACTAAGAGGCTAAGCTCCGGCGAGTAAAATTTGTCAGCACACTATCATGTAAATAATTATTGTTCATCACGCTGAGGTAAATATTTTGAGAATTCTCCGGTCAGTGGAGGCCTCGGTGGACCAAAGTAGAATCGCATCGGAAGACGAGGTGGAGCCGCCTTCTCCTAGCAAAGTAAGCCACAGTCCGAGGCCGTAAACTTTCTTTTGCTATAACACTTGATCATGGTCATGCATCATGTGCCTATCATCATCAAACCGCTCCAACTCTGGAGTAGACTCTCAACAGTTTACGCATATCCAAGATGGAATTCGGCGGTAGTGTTATCTTTTTTGGGGACACCACCCTACCAATCATTCCGTCTTTGTCACGATTACTTGAAGCTCAGACAAGAAACACTTTACTTGCACGGTTTTTGTCTCTATCAGAGGGCATACTGCGAGACAGTATTGGTTATCTTCCGCAACATGTGCAGCAAGAAGCTTTGCGATTTACTCGGCTGTCCGATATTGTGGACTCCAAAGATAATGAGCTTCCCGCTCTACGCGTCCTAGCACCTGCCCTCCTGGTGATTGTACAGCTGGGTCACTTTATAGGGTGAGTGACTTGATTCGCAATCAGTACTGCTTGACATCAACTGAGTGGGAATACAGATGGCACGAGGACAATCCTCACCGCGAATTTCCTGCCGGCAGCAAAAGTGTTTGCATCGGACTCTGCGTAGGCCAACTATCTGCTGCCGCTGTCAGCCTGGCAAAGAACATTCTTGAACTTATTCCGATAGCTGTCGATACGGTTTGTCTTGCAGTCCGACTTGGCTCGTTGGTTTTTACTGCGGGTGGGGACCTAGAAGTCCAGGGGACCCAAGATCCGTGGGCACTCTTGATCGAAAAGGAAGTCTTGCCGATAGAGACCCTGGTTTCGATACTCGAGAAATGGGTAAATTGTGCCCATATGGTGCGAAGGGAATTTGATTAACATGATCATTAGGACCGTTCTAGTCGGAAACAAGCCTATATCACCGCAGAATTCAACGGCACCGTTACAGTTCAAGGACCGCCCACAACGCTAGCTTCCCTCAAGAACGCAATCTCTGATTCTATGAAGTTGAGAAATTCCAGTCACGCAGGCCGCCCTATTCCTATATTCGCGCCATATCATGCTTCCCATCTTTACAAAGAGCTCGATCTTGCGAACCTGGTCAAGGGATTAGCCATCTTGTCCAGAACTTTAGATTCCAGCACTGAGTTGAGGTCTAATTCTGCACTATTTTCTTCATTTTCGGGTCATCCGATAAGTGGTAAGAGATCAGAAGACATTCTGCGGGATGTGTTAAAGGATTTACTACTCCGACCTATTAATTGGTCAGATCTCGTTGAGGGGACAGCTTCCTACCTTGCTTCGTTGAATGTTTCAGACGTGGATATTTATTGTTTTGGCCCAGTTCATTCACAAAAATCGTTTGCCTCGATCATGCAAGACATGATTGATGCAAAGGTCAGGCTCTGCGAAACAACAATTCAAAGAAATCAAGAGCCATCAACGCGAAGCTCGAACACTCCAATTGCAATTATTGGAATGTCGGGGCGTTTTCCCGATGCAAATAGTGTGGATGAGCTTTGGAGAATTCTTGCGGATGGCGTTGACTGTCACAGAGTGGTAAATTTTGATCCATTGCCAAATCTTTACTGACGAAAGTCAAGGCTAATAGTAATCAGATACCCAGCGTAAGATTTGACCCATCAATTTATGTCTCAAAAGATGGAAAAGACAAAAATAAGAGTGCAACCGAATATGGGAACTTCATGAAGAATGCGGGGCATTTTGATGCTCGTTTCTTCAATATGTCCCCCCGAGAGGCTATGCAGACAGATCCCCAGCAGAGACTTGCCTTGGTCACGGCGTATGAAGCATTGGAGCTTGCAGGCTATGTGCCGGGCCAAACACCCTCAACGCAAGTGGAAAGGATTGGAAGTTTCTATGGTCAGACAACAGATGACTACAAAGATGTAAACGTCGTCCAGGAAATTGACACGTACTATGTCTCTGGAGTGATTCGTGCATTCGGACCTGTGAGTATTATCAATCCTACGATGCCATGCAAGTCTCCTACGTGGCTAATTCATCAAATTCAAAACAGGGACGTGTCTCTCGTGCAAACCAGCTAGGTATGTGCGCAGAAAATCTACCAAATATGGCCAAAAACTAACCTGGCTGTGATAATTCTTAGGTGGTCCAAGCTTGAGTGTGGACACGGCTTGCGCATCCAGTGCTACTGCCATCAATCTTGCCTGCACATCCATTTGGAGCAATGAATGTGACACAGCTGTTGTTGGAGGAATGATGCTCCTCAATAGCCCCGATATGTACGCCGGCCTTTCGCGAGGGCATTTCGTCTCGAGTGATGGTCCTTGCAAAACATTCGATGACGAGGCAGATGGCTACTGTCGCGGAGAGACAGTCGCTAGTATAGTCTTCAAGCGTCTCGATGCTGCCAAAGCCGACAATGATAATGTCCTTGGTGTTATCTTGGCAGCGGGCACAAACTACTCTGCTTATGCGGCGTCTATCACGCAGCCCCACGCTGGGGCACAGGAATCACTCTTCCGAAAAGTCCTTCGTCAAGCTGCAGTCAAGCCTACAGACATCGACTATGTGGAGCTACATGGGACTGGTACTCAGCTTGGAGATTCAACCGAAATGGCTTCGGTTCTGAAGGTCCTGGCTCCTAGCCACTCAAGTCGTCCACCTGATAGGCCTTTATATGTTGGCTCAATCAAAGCAAACATTGGCCATGGCGAGTCTGCCTCTGGAATTGCAGCCTTGATCAAAGCACTTCTACTGTTTGAGAAGTCTCAGATTCCACCCCATATTGGAATCAAAAGCGGCAGAATAAACCGAAACTTTCCTCCTTTGGAAGAACGGAACGTGAAGATTGCAAAAGAGCTCACTGCGTTTCCGCCCAATCCTGACAGAAAGCGCAGGGTTTTGATCAACAACTTTGGTGCTGCTGGAGGCAATTCTAGCTTTGTTCTCGAAGAAGGCGAGACTTTCTCCCCACGCGGTTCCGAGCTGGTGGCTCCTGTGTGTGACCATGTCATCAGCGTTACTGCCAAATCGGTGACATCGCTGTCGAAAAATTTGATGAACTTGGTCACTTTTCTTGAGAACCACCCCGACACGCCGATGAGAGATCTTGCGTATTCTACCACAGCGAGGAAAGTACAATATCCACTGCGTGTTTCGATCGTTGCTTCAACGTCCTCGGAGGCAAAACGCCAACTCGCAGCAAGAGCCGGTGAACAAGGCAAGGATTTCCCGAATAGAATTTCCAACCCGATCTTCGTGTTCACTGGGCAGGGGTCTTTGTTCGCGGGTGTGGGGAAGCAGATCTTCGAGCTTAATTCATCATTCAGGTCCCACTTGACCAGACTGGAACGAGTCGCAACTGAACTTGGATTCCCACCCTTTATTGATGCCATTATCAATGGAGGCGAGGACATGAATAAACTACAATCTGTACAGTCGCAGCTGGGCCAAGTCGCCTTGCAAATGGCACTTTTTACACTTTGGTCTTCGTGGAACATCAAGCCCGCGGCTGTCATCGGGCACAGTCTGGGTGAGTACGCCGCTCTTTTCGCTGCGGGAGTTTTGTCAGCGAGTGATACGTTATATCTGGTGGGTCGACGCGCAACTCTGCTGCAAAGCTTATGCGCATCCTCCACGCATGGCATGTTGGCGGTCAATCGAGGTCTGGATCATATCCGAAGTATTCTTGCCAGTCAATTCAACGACTTAGAGGTGTCGTGTTTCAATAGTCCGACGGATATTGTGCTCAGTGGTCCGGTTGTGAGCATTCACGAGGCAGAGAGACTGTTGAAATCCCATGGCCTGCGGTGCAATCTTCTGAATGTTCCTTTTGCCTTCCATTCGTCCCAGATCGAGCCAATTCTGGCCCCTTTCAAATGCGAGGCAAGCAATGTCTCTTTCCAAACGCCTCAAATTCCGATTCTGTCGACCTTGCTGGGAAGAAGGTTGACCGACCTTGATGAGCTCGACCCATCTTACCTGGCACGCCATGCGCGAGACCCGGTAGAGTTTGTTCGAGCAATTCAAGTTGGGCTATCAGAGAACCTCATTACTTCTGACTCCGCATTCCTTGAAATTGGCCCTCATCCTCTCTGTCTTAGTATGGTAGCTTCCACTCTACAAACCACAAGCCGACTCTTTTCTACTCTTCATCGAAAGGAACCTCCACTTTCGACTATTTGCAAGACCTTGGCCTCGTTGAGTGATGGTGGTATTTCCGTCAACTGGAAAAGCTACCACGGCAGCTTTGATGGCACTCCGAAGTTACTCCGCCTTCCCACCTACGCTTTTGACGAGAGAGAGTATTGGATTGAGTATCGAAACGACTGGCTTTTGCAACGGCACCACGATGGTAGTCACTCCAAGGCACCGCAAAGGGGGCCGAAGATGACAACGACGGTTCAAAATATGCTATCTTCAACCTTAGACGGTGCACTGGTGTCTGTTGTGTTTGAGTCTGATCTGACGGATCCGGTCCTTCATGGGTTAATTGCAGGCCATGTCCTCAATGGAATCGCGTTATGTCCGTCGGTAAGTCAACAGTCCCACTTGCCTCCTTCTGTCCTTGCACATACTTCCACATAAGGCTATTTTATTCATATTGAGCTGGTCCACTTGCTGATTGAGCCTTTAAACTACACAGGGAGTCTTTATGGATATTGCCCTGACGGTGGCAGACTATCTTCGAAGCCATTTTAGGTTCGATTGTCCAGGTTCTGGCATTAAAGTCCTCAATCTACAAATGACAAAGCCAATTACAATACCTGTCGAGAGACCAACCAGTCCCCGGATGTTCCGAATTATTTCACGCGCTAACACCCAGACAGGGTCCATGCATTTGCAAGTGGGGACCTCAAATGAACAAAGCCAAGAACTTGAAAGCTATGCGTCTTGCGAGATGGAGCTTGGAGATAGTAGTTCCTGGCTGAGAGAGTGGAATAAAAGTTCATACCTCATACTGGAGAGAATTCGCAACCTCGAAGAAGGCGTCATCAGAGGAGGTTCGAGTCGTCTCTCCCATGATATGATTTATGATCTTTTTTCCATGGTGGTTCATTACGATCAACGCTATCAAGGCATGCGGGAAGTCCTTGTTGATGCGGAGAAATTGGAAGCGGTCGCTTCGCTCTCTCTACACCACGACAATGCGGGAGCCTTCTTTTGCTCTCCTTTGTGGCTGGACAACCTCGCTCAGATTGCAGGCTTTGTTATGAATGCAATCGGAAAGGTTGACCCCAGAGAATTTACCTACATCTCTCATGGGATTGGCTCCTACCAAATTGGCGAGGATCTACGCACGGATATCTCATATAAGGCCCATGTGAGGATGTTCTCAGAAACAGGCACAGTCTTTGCGGGTGATGTCTCAATCTTCCAGGGAGAACGAATGATCGCGCGGTGTGCAGAAGTCAAATTCCAGAGAGTTCCCCGTGCCGTGTTAGAAAGGGTTCTTAGTTCTCCATCAGACAAGTTTTCTTCTTCGAGAAAGCCCTCGGCACTTCCTTTGACAAGTGGAAAAAAACAAAGAAGTCTCAATTTGCCACCGCTGCGCGAGGTGAACGCACGATCTATCGTCGACGATGTCAGAAAACTTCTCGCACAACAGATTGGTATCGCACTCGAGGATTTGACAGACCAAAGTAGCTTTCAGGAGCTAGGAGTGGACTCTCTGTTGTCAATGACTATCTTGTCCAAGATTCATGAGGTACTCCGAGTCCAGCTACCATCATCTACGTTTACAGAAGTGTCCACGTTCTACGATCTCAAAGACTACATAATCAAATACCTGCCGGATCAGTCACCTGGACCGCCTACTCCTGTTTCCGAGAGCGGCGAATCCATGATATCTTGTTCCTCAACTCGGACCCAAACCCTTCCCAGCACTCCACCCGATTCACGTCTCTCGGAAGTCTACTCCATTATCGCGGATGAGATGGGCGTAGATACGCAAGAAATCCGAGCCACAGAAGACTTATCGTCACTTGGACTAGACTCGATGATGGCAATCTCTATTGCGGGGGCATTGAGTGAGAGGATTGGAATTGAGATTCCATCCGGACTTTTTGACACCTCTTCTGCGAAGGACCTCCACAACTCCTTGAATCAGCTGTTTGGATCTCCAGAATTCGAATCACAAAGAGTTATCCAAAGCCCGCAGCAAGGAAAACCTCAAGATCGGTCACTCCCAGCTTCCATCACTCTCCAAGGCGATAGTCACTCAACTAGTAAGACGCTTTTTCTCTTTCCCGATGGAAGTGGCCTTGCCACAGCATACACCAAGCTCCGTCGGATCTCAAAGGACCTCCGAATCTGTGGACTGAATAGTCCCTTGTTTTACGAGAAGAACAGCGTTCAAACAGATATTCCTTTCATGGCTTCCAGAATGGTTGAAATTGTCCGACAGGTCCAACCTCGCGGCCCTTACATCTTGGGTGGCTGGTCGGCCGGGGGCATGTACGCCTTCGAAGCTGCTCGTCAAATCCTTGAGGCTGGAGAAAAAGTAGCTTCACTGATACTCATCGATTCACCTTGTCGCTTACGGTTTGGACCAATGCCCCATCAGGTTCTGGATCTGCTGTCAGAGAGTTTGACCCAAGGTAGTGAGGTCAGGCAGCATTTCCTGGAAACAATAGCCGCTGTCGGTGAATACACACCTCGTCCACTTAAGAAGAATTCATTCACGCAGGTCACGATTATTTGGGCAACAGATGGCCTTGAGAAGACGATGGACTATTCACCGAAGGCCACAGATCTGAACTATGATGATGCCATTGTAGAGTGGCTTTTTCGACGAGCTGGTCCTCTGGATGCGATGGGCTGGGACAAGCTTCTACCTGAATTTGATTTGGAGATCAAAACAACGAAAGGCAATCATTTCAGCATGATTCAGGCTCTCAATGTGAGTGATACATTACACAATCTTTCGAATCTTACTAACTGGGTGTCATTTGGAAGGCAAACTCTCTCAGCGATGCCATTGCAGGTGCATTGAAACTTTCTTAGATATATATTTCACAGACATGTTCGATTAGAAGCTACTCATGAAACTAGAACTTCAGGTGATAGTCTTTGCTATGTAGTTGGAATCTATAATTGCTGAGCTCTGGCACCCCTTTGATATGAAGCCGGGGTAGACGGACATCAGATCGGCTTTGGCATTGCCCGGTCTACACGTAATCTTTACCTGATATTTCCGAAATCCGTAAACCGAGGTACAAAGTGGAAGTATGTCCCCAGAAGCCAAACAAATATTTGCCGTCCGATACCATTGTCGCCAATTTAAAGGCCAAGAAAAAAACACTCTTACCTGGTCAACCCCAATAATAAGATCCGTGTTTCGTAAGTCTGATGTGGGGCTCCGGCGAGTTTTCTGACTACGATGGTACTAATATTGATGGGTACCCCCTCGCGCGATTCCAATCCATCAACTTCACAATTCAAGGTGCAAACATGCCTCTCAAAGTCATTATTGTTGGCGCTGGTATTGGAGGGTTAAGTGCGGCCACGGCTTTTCACCAAGCTGGGCATCATGTCGAGGTGAGTACGAGTACTAGCGTTTTGAAGAATTGGTCTCACCGTGTGTCAGATATTTGAGAAGTCCCATTTCCTTAGCGAGGTCGGCGCTGCGCTTGTCGTTGCTCCTAATGGAGTACGAGTTCTATCTACACTGGGATTTTCCTTTGAGAACGCCCGTAGTAAGCCAAAGTCTACTTTTGAGCTTCGCGATGGGAAAGACTTTGAAAGAATTGATAGTGTTAGTGCTACGCCTGTGGAGACAACATTTGGGGCCCCCCTGTATACAATGCAGCGGGCGGACCTTCACGAGGAGCTTTTTCGATGTGCCACTACTCCAATTCCAGGGCTTTCGAATGTCTCTATACGCCTAGGGGCCAAAGTCTGCTCTGCTGATCCCTTTGCGGGGACTGTTCATTTGGAAGACGGATCCATCCATACGGCAGACCTTATTATCGGTGCCGATGGCCTTCATTCCATATTGAAATCGGGCGTACTGGATGGGCAACCTGATGTGCCAATTTCTACCAGTTATACCGCGTTCAGGTTTCAAATTCCAACAGATGCACTGTCTGATGACCCCGACTTCCTCGATTTACTTGCAAAGAAAGGGCATGGTCCCTCAATTCTGGCAGATGTTTCGAATCATATTACAGCAGAACATATGGTGTGGTATGACTGTCAAAAGTAAGTAATTATGACAGTCTGAGTACTCCAGCTGAAATACTTGACTTACATTCCCAAGTGGTGAAATGCAGAACTTTGTGGGAATCCAGAATAACCTTCAAACCGATGATGACGGTAAGCGCGTTGACTAACTAATGATGTTCCATCTAACTACCATATAGAAAGACTTACAAGATTTTAGATCCAATGCAGTCACTTCTGTCAAAGTTCAGTCACTTTCATCCAGGACTGATGCGGGTAATCAGGTATGATAATTATCAAATCTTCATACACTGAGAGCTAAATTATACACTCATAGCAAAGCTCCGAAGGTGACCAAATGGCCCCTTAAGGTTTTCCGTCCGCTGCGACGTTGGTCTCGAGGAAAGCTTCTTTTAATTGGAGATGCTGCACATCCAGTGCGTGTGGCACTCGTTTGATTGTTGGTCTGTACTAATAATGCATACACAGATGTTGCCTTTCAGTGGACAAGGTGCCAATCAAGCCATCGAAGATGCTGGGGCACTTCGAATACTATTCCACAATTACGTATCACCGGACGAAATGCCTGCTCGTTTATCATTGTTTGAAAATGTGCGCAAGTTTCGCGTCTCCCGAGTACAGACGATGTCAAGCGTACGAGTGGGGAAAGAAGAGGAGATACAGGAAGAACTTCAAAAGTATGCGGACCATCCAGGCGCTGGTAAGTTCCATCCCGAAGACTTTCCCTATAGATCAACCGGTCGGAATCCGCTAAGATCTTCCGCTAGATGTTCCAAGAACATTTCACGAGCGTCTGGGGCATGACTTCAGGTGAGAATTTGAATAATCCATAATCTTACTCAATTCAAGATAGACCATCACTAATGAAATCTGATCTTCACCCTAGTTACGATGTACTTGAAGTCACTGGGGCCAAACTCCGCGAGTATGAAGTCAACCGAAAGCTCCAAGATACCTCTTCCCAGAGACTGCCCTTCCCAGTCTCAAATGTATCACTGGCGGTTGCTTGGCTTCGCGAGAATCTTTTTAGTTTTTCAAATTCTTGGCAGGGATATTTCTTTGCGCCTCGGAATGGCCAGTAAGTGTGAGAATTATCCGGCTAATTCGGCACATCTTGTCTGAGAATATGCTTCTGTGGCTGGTCTCGATTTATGAAAGTCGAGGGGCCTAGGTTAAGCGACTTCCCTTTTTACTACGATCAGATTACGCGTTGGACATTCTGTAATTGGCTTATTCATGGAAGACAGAGAGCGCGGATCCATCTCATAACGGCACCGTGCACATTGTTCGATCGGCTCCCGGATCCCGGGTAAACGGCTGTTGTGATTTGAGTGTCATATTTCGTGATCTATATCAATGGAGTAGGTTTAGATCCCGAACCCGAATTTTTTTCCCAAAAAGCTCCGAGAATTTGATGGTTTTGATTGCTCCTATCGAGAGCGCGGACCTTATATGTCCTGAAGAACGATCTTGGACCTCGCAAAATGATGAAATAAATTCTTCCATTTGGCTCAGGGATGTCGGGAAATGATCTTGAGGCTCTACAGGTGTATCATGAATGACCCCGCACCTTTTGTGTTTGACACGCTAGTAGGTTAAGATGCAAGTTCCACTACAGATGACGTGATTTATCGGATCAAGATGGAGTGAGGGCAAAGGTACTTATAACGTAGGACCAAGCACTTAATTTCGCTGGCTCAAACAATACTCTGGTCAATTTGAGGCATATTCTTTTATCCTTTGTTACTAAAACGCAACTTCATGGCACCTCGAGTACCCGACCCTGCGCTTCCTTTGCGCCCTGGGGCTGGCAGCCTCGCTGAGCAGGTACAATATCCGCCTCCATTGCGCTTCAATGGGGCCCTGGATAGATTCGATTCCGAGGACACGACACCTGCAATCGGTCGTGAATTTTTCAATGTTAATATTGTTGATGACCTTCTGAATGCCCCAAATTCAGACGAGCTCATCCAGGATCTTGCTATTACTAGTACGATGTCCCTGCCATCTATGCTAAATTTTACCTCTGACAAGTTTTCTACAGTCTCCCAGCGGGGTGTTGTCTTCTTCCGTGCCCAAGACAACCTTACGGATGATCTGCAGAAGCAACTAGTTCATCGGCTAGGTCAGCTAGCTGGAAAACCAGCTGACTCGACATTGCACATCCACCCAGTGCTTAACAACACCAGCGAGTTTGGAGTCTCAGACGCGCAGGTGAGCACCATTAGCTCACTTGCCCGAAAGAAAATGTTTCGCCACGCAAACCAGTCCAACCCGCGTCGTTACGACTCGGCTCAATGGCATTCCGATATCCAGTTCGAGCCCGTGCCGGCTGATTACACTTCGCTTCGCTTGACCCAGTTGCCAAAGACCGGCGGCGACACCCTTTGGGCATCTGGCTATGAACTTTACGACAGGTTCTCACCCGCATACCAAAAGTTTTTTGAGACCCTGACAGCTACTTATAGTGGTTCTGGTTTCATTGCCGCTGCTAAGGCGGATCCTGAGAACATCAAGATCTATACTGAGCCAAGAGGGAATTCCCTCAACATTGGGGAAGAGCTGGCCACCGTCCACCCCGTTGTACGCACTAACCCGGTTACTGGTTGGAAGAGCATCTACGCGGTTGGACCATTCCCCAAGCAAATCAATGAGCTCAGTTCAATTGAATCAGAGGAGCTCTTGAAGAAATTTTACAACACTATCCTTGAGAACCATGACATTCAGGTGAGGTTCAAATGGCGGAATCAAAACGATATCGGTATGTGTCTTCCCTTTTTAATGATATCCAAATTTTCTAACTGGTGGACCAGCCATTTGGGACAATCGATCAGCTTTCCACACTGCCACATTTGACTATGAAGGGCTAGGGGAGCGCTTTGGTCACCGGGCGGTTGGTATCGGCGAAAAGCCGTATTTGGATCCAAACAGTAAATCCAGGGCAGAAGCATTGGCAGATGAAAGTGCTTGAGCAGGATTCTACTTTTTTCCATAGCCCACGCACACGCTATTATGATTTCAAGGAGCAATCCACCGTTACTGCGGATAGGAGTTTTTAAGTAGATGAGCTCAAGAAGCTTTAGCACGACTGATTTCAGACGTTTCCACTAGATGTAAGATCACTCCTTGAAAACTTCCCCATAGTGGTACGTCGAGAAACTTCGTTTCAAAAATTCATGTTCCTTGAAGCCGAGGTATGCTGAATACCAACCAAGCTGCCTGTCTGGTATTTTTGATTGCTTAACTATTTTATTTCATGATTTATGTTTGACGGAATTAAATCGATAGTATCTCATTTTGATTCGGTTATTATCAGTAAAACCGATTGGGCATTATTTCTCCAGGTGGAAATGTGGCCGTTGGAAATTGAGTATCGCCAAACAGGGAATACCCCGGCGTATTGCGGATAGTCGCCGATTTTCTCTATATTTCAACCTTCTCGCCGAGTGATAGTGATCAACTCGCCGATCTGGCAGACTGGTGGGCGGCAAACTTGGATAGTTCAATCGGGAAGAATTAAGAGCGTTTGAAAATTGTAGAGACAACCTTCATGATAATAAGAAGACTGATTTAAGAGTTCGGTGAGTCCTCAGAGGGCATATCAGATTACTACTCTAGACAGAAAATATCACCAAAATGGCACAGTCAACATTGGAGTCGCTGGCATCCACGATCTATGCGAGTGCAACGGAGCTTGCCGCTATCGCAAAGGAGAATGGAATCACTCCGAGCCTTGATGACCCTGTCAAATCGGATCTGTCCAGCGTAACACCTTTGGGTCTTCGTAATGGGCTTATTCAGGCTGCAAAAGACTTGATTCATTTGACCATGGGTCCTGCAGACCATGTTCTCAGTCTTGCGTGGTCGGTGAGTTAGAGACGTGGTATTGAGGCAGGTGCGGTCTTACTAACTCAACTGCAAGGCCACAGACGCAGCGAATCTTGACCTTCTGACGCGTTTCGAAGTTCCACAGCACGTTCCAATCCACTCAACCATATCTCTGCCCGAGCTGTCCAAAGCCACTCGACTGCCAGAGGATGCCTTGACTCGTGGTGTGCGCTACGGCATCGCCAATGGACTCTTTCGCGAAACCGAGCCCGGTCGCATCGCCCATTCTGCTGCTTCTGCTGCCTTAGCGAACAATATTCACTTAAGAAACATTGTCCACTTTGGTACCGAGTTCCTGCAGAATATATTGATGAAAATTCCTGAAACAATGCTCTTGCAAACGGATGAATCAACTGACAAGGTGCCCGAAACTGCTTTCAACCTGGCTTATCGAACGGAGGAGAATTTGTTCCAATATTTTGCACACTCAAAGGTGCTCAATAGGAAATACCACGAATATTTGATGGGTCGTGTCAACACCCCTTTGTGGTCGACCGATAAACTTGGGGCTGCTTGGGACTGGTCCAGCCTGGGATCCAAGACCATCATCGATGTAAGTGAAATTCATCGTGCCCAATTTGGGTCCTTTCTTCGAATTCTGTGGTGACTTAAAGTCAAAGGTTGGCGGCTCATCTGGCCATACCGTCCTGACTATTGCGCCCTTGGCACCCAATGCTCAATTCATAATTCAAGACAACAACACCGACGCGTTGAATATGGGCAGAAAGCTTGTACTTCGTTCACCAGACTCGAGCATGCGGTCACGAATCACTTTCGAGCAGCACAATTTCTTTGAGGAACAGCCAGTCGTTGCGGACGGTTATATATTTCGACACATTCTCCACGATTGGAGTGACGCGGATTCCGTCGCCATTCTCGAGGCGCTTCTTCCCGCGCTCAGGCCGGGTGCAAAGGTCTTCATTAGTGAAGGAATCCTTCCAGATCCACCAGCAAAGCGAATTAATGCCTTGACAAACAAGATGATACTGTGCGGCCCCCTTCTTTTAAGTTCTCATTGGTTGAATTATGTCTAACAAACACACAGAATCGAAGATCAGTTCATGCTCGCTGCTCATAATGCCCGAGAACGGACTGTAAGTGATTTTGTTAGACTATTCGAGGAAGCTAGTCCAAGATTCTTTTTGAAAGGAGTCACGTCTGGAGCTGAAGCTGGCTCATTTAACTCATTGCTAGAGTTTGAGTTTCGGTGATAAATTGAATGGTGTATCACCGACATTCGGTCAGCAAGACAAGACTGTTATCGTAGAACTAGGATGCTTGAAGTTTTAATTTCTTTAACAATCCTTCTTGGTTGTTTTCTTCTTGAATGGCCATTTTCAGGCTCTGGCGCTCTCAAAGAAGAACAGACAAACTGGTTTAGAAAAGGAAAATAAAGAGTCGACTAAGTTCTACAGAATCGCTGTACCTAGCGTAGGAAACAACCAAATCTATGAACTGACGCTATGAGCTCCTTTATCAGAAACATGGCTTATTCCAACCTTATGGCGACAATGAGAAGATCTTTGAGTCTTGGATAATAAGTTAGTGGCTCACATCCATCCTCTTGAAGGCTCTTTGCACCTGCGATTCCCAATTTGTTAAGGCAACGAGAATCCACTCCAAAGTTCCTGCACAATATAATGCAACGCACTGTCCTACCCAAAGGCCCTTAAGTCCCCAGCCATGAAATGCCAGGTATATCCCCAAAGGTAATGCAAAGCAGTAATAGCTGACAAGATTAACTGCAGCACCCAAGTGCTGTCGACCCATTCCTCGAAGACTTCCACCACAGCTTCCATTCAGACCATCCGCAATCTGAAACAGCGCAACAAACGGCATGATTTCGGCTGTCAATTCAACGACTCGTGGATCATTGTTGAAAATCTTGGCAAAGTGAGACCGAGTGCCCATCAGGATTGTGAGCACCAGGGCGCCATATATCACGGAGAGAGCAGCCGATGAGTGGGCGGTTATTGATGCGCCCTTTGCGTTCCGTAAACCCAGCAGATTACCGAGGCGAGATGAAGTTGCGACCCCAAGACCGAACGGGATTGTATTGAGAATTCCATCCGCGGTCATAATAACGCTTTGCGCAGCAAGTGGAATCGTTCCTAGTCGACCGGCTACTAAGGCGACGATCTCAAATGCCCACCATTCGGTGCCGACGTGGAAGAATCCCAAAATAGCCAGTTTTGCGAATGTCCCCAGGTTTTCAAAGGCTGCCCACGTCCATCCACCCCAGCACTCAGAACCGGCGATGAATCGAGCATATAATACTAAGAGAAAGAAAGACATCCAGTATGAGATACTTGCAGCTATGGGACCAGCCAGAAGTCCGATGTCCAGCTTGTAACAAAGGCAGTAACATAGTCCTGCATTTAGTGGCGAGGTGATCATCAAGACGTAAGTTCCGGCTCTCATGATTCCTGTGTCGTAGTAAGTTAGGCGAACACTCAATGATCAACAGCAGCAGCCAATAGATCTCTCACCTTGAGCCTGGAGAAACTTCTTCATAGTTTCGAAGTAAATGTACCCCAAACCGCCGGGGATCAGAGCAGTCAAGAATCGAGATGTTTGGTAGGACAGCTCAGGGTCCTGGCCAAGGGCTTGGAAAAACGAATTTGAACAGGCCCATAATATACACACAGGAATGTAGAGGAGACCCAGTACCAGGAAAGCCCTTTGAAGTAGAACCCCGAGATCATGTTTGTTTCCGCTTCCAGTAAATGTGGATGAAGCAAGAGTGTCCAGAGCAGTTGTACCGCCGAGCGCAATCATCCAGCCAGTGACCAAGGCAAACATCATTGAAAAAGCACTGACTGCCAAGTTCATGGGAGATGAATGTCCGATAATGACAACTGTGGCTGTTTGAAGACTCATCTGCAGGGTATAGGCTAGAATAACGGGAACGGAGCTTGTCGTCAACTTCCAGAATTCTGTCAATAATTGTTTCACCCGCGTCACTTTGTGATCGCCTCCTTGCCAGACACAATCTATCTGAGTCGCATCTTCCGGATCAACAGGTTTAGGGAGAAGTGAAGTATATTCGTTTGGGGGCGTGTCGGTGGCCTCGTTGAATTCGTCATCAATATCGGGTGGGTTGACATTCTCGTAAGCGGGAGGCATACTGGCTTCAATCGAGATAATCTGATGCAGAAGCTGGTTGAAATGTTAGTTAGAACGCAAAGATCATATCGGGTAGGATACAAGACCTTTAATGCGCAATCTTACAGTGTATCAAAGAGTTTCAGCTGGAAAAAGGTGCGCACAATACTATCTGACGCTATAGTGGTCGGCTAAGTATCTCAGCTCAAGTGCAGCCCACTTGTAATAACAGAGAATTTGGACCAGTGCCTATGATACTAAGACTATCAGGCTTCTCAATAGTGGGAGGTTGTAAACACGCCGTACATCGGAGGTTGAACTGCGGAGTATCTCGTGAGATATAGGTGGGGGGGGCTTCCCTCCTACCGATGACGCTCTGCATTCAACCGAATGCAGCTGGGTGGAAGCACTACTGTGCCTTGATAAGCTACATCGGGTCTGGTAGCTTATCAATTACGTGAACAGATATCAAGATTGCCTTGTAGTTTGCAGCACAATTGACTTTACGTTATCATAATGATGCAGGATGCCGCGGGGTTTCTCTTTCTCCAGCTATTATCCCAACTAGGAAGGTTGATTGAAGGGCAAGATACCTTTACCGATTGGTCATGATTGTCGATATGCAAGTCCCACGAATGTAAGCATATTATTGGTTGGCAAGGTATGGTTTGAGCATCATTCTCCTGCGATTCCAATTCGTCCCACTTCGATACAATTTAGCCAGCGCATCTACCCCAGGTCAGTATATCAAGAGATAAGGCCAGTCTTCACTGCTAAAAGTTCCTTGGCTTATTAAATTGTACTCGTAAGATTAAAATTTCTTCTTTGCGCGAGGTCCACCTTTTAAAGTCTTCGCGAATTGTGCTAGATAATTTGTCCACGCGTAGGGGCCGAGGCAGCATGCGTCTGATAACGCGGTCACACACACAACACTCTCCAATTTGCTTCTATATCTGCAGACAATCAATGAGAGCTTCATTTGGGGCATTTAATTGAGAGTAGACTGTGTCGTCTGCAGCATATTTCTTAAATTGACATTAATCATTCAGCTTGGACTTCCACGACTATGTCATATTCCGGGTTAACCCAGGATGGTTGTGGCCCCTTACTCCTCATAAACCCTCCGAATCTGTGTAGAAATCCAAAAAGTACGGCTCCTCCTAATAGAACGATTAAGCCTTGCGCGGTGAAGGTCCAAGTCCAGCCGACTGAAGCTTGCCAAGGAGCAATGAAAAACTAGCCGCATATCATGATCAGCAAGCGGTTGTAACCTTGACAATTTCTTGGCTTGACTCACCGGGTTGATAAATGCACTCAAATTGAGGAAAACAGCATAGAAAGTTATGACACTCATTGATTGTAAAGGATAATTGTCGACAATATAAGTGCTGGTAACAGTATTGCCGATTTGTATCCCTGCGGCAACTGTCTCCTCGTTAGCCTTCTCAACCAGAGTACCTCTATTGAAATTGTCTCTTACAGAGGAAGAATGCAACCTGTCCAATCATCCAGTGGTAATTTTGATCAATGCTAATACCCCACAAGATTGAACCAACTACAGGATTAGCCAAGTCTTACAAACAGCTTTGCCTGTCAAACTTACCTGCAGTAACCAAGATAGCCGGGTACGCCAGCCATAAACGCATCTCTGCAACGCGAGTATCGTCTCGCTTTTTTGCCAACCTCTCAACAATGTAGTCACTCAGTCGCCCAGAGCAAAAGATTTCTGAGACTATAGTACCTAGGAGCAAGCCAAGGAACAACAGCCCTTGTATGAGTGGTGTATAATTCGCATATGCAGCTGGCACCATTGTGATGACTGATAGAACCCACCAATACCAAAGGAAACAATATCCGATCACCGCGATAGAAACAGTAGGGAACTTGAAGGTGATGAAAAAGCGGGTCACAGAGTCCCAGGGCTTAGGATGCCTCATGCCAGGGATCGGACGTAAGTTAACGAAAGGTAGAGTTTTTGTCCGGCGCAGGTCTGAAGGGAATTCTCTAGAGAGCATCTCGCGTGCGGGCGGCTCCGTTCCCTCTGTTTCCTGTTTTTGAACAGCGATGGAGGTGATGCTATTGGTCACAGTACTGCTTTGATAAAGCAGCATTTTCTGTCGAGGATACAGCGTCTCGGGCATGAAGAAAAGCTCCAGTACCAAGAGAACGGCAAATAGAATTGCATTGAACCAGTTTATCCATGCGGAGCTGACCAGATTCATAAAGCCACCCACTAGCGAATTGTGTCTGTTAGTATGATTGATCCCCCAACAAGTAAAGTGAGGGAGGGACCTACGGGTCGGTCCGAGGAGAAGTCCAGAGTCAATCGCCAGCACCCACAACCCAAGCTTCTGTCCTCGCTCGTAGTCAAAGAATATATCATTCACTGCCATATGGTTAGCAAGTACGCTCTAAAAACTTATCTAACAGAACTCACCAACAGCCATGCCAACAGTTGAGGCAGGGCTGACACCAAGCCCCTGGAAAAATCGGGCAGCCATGTATCCAGAGTAGCTATCAGCGGTAGCTGCGCCGATTGTTGAGACCAAGGCTATGGTAGTTCCAACCAAGAATATTAACCGACGACCGTATATGTCACTCAAAGAAGACCACATTAGAGGACCAATGGATAGGCCGAGGGCGGGTATAGCGACGGTCCAATTCACTTGCGAATAACTGATCTGAAATTGATCTTGAATCTCCGTGAAGGAAGGCACTGTCGTAGTTGTAAGATACGTGAAGAGAAAGTATCTGAAGGCAATAAGTTTGATGTCAGCCGATGTTCCAGGCCATTCTTGTTCTAGGTTGCACGACACGTCTAGCGCATAAAATCTCTCATGAACAACAAGATCGAAAAACTCACTTCAGCATTACAATTGCTAGTATAACATGTTTTTGCATAGTCGACCAGTTTAAAGGATCTAACGGGTCATTGGTCGGTTGCGGATGCGCTTTGGTCCCATCTGTCTTGGCCCCTGCATCGTAGACAAGGTGAGTATCACCTTTCTTGATCGAAGTCTGGATCCTCTCAGACGAGAGGTCGAGACCATTGCTCTGTGAGGATTTCTCTATTTCTTTTTCTGCACTCATAGTTCACGCTTTCTCAGTTGCTGTCCGTGGACCAAATGTAAGGATTATAGGTTCGGCAAGGCCTAGCCTTGTAAAATGAGGAGGTTCAGAAGCGTGCCTCGATAGAATTACCAAGTCCAATCTCTCTAACCTGGAATACTGAGTCTATATCTATTCCAATCGCGTATAAGCTCTAACTCTCAAACAGTTGGAAGAGCCTATATAAGTCGGCATAGGTCTTATCAGTAGATTGACCTCGAATCCTGGAGTATTCACGCCTCTCAAGTTAAGAACGAATGAAACGGAGGAAAGTAATCTAGGGAAATAACTACTTGGCTGAATCAAAGTTCTAGCCCGTCCACGAATTATGCAATTTTCCCAGTAGAAGCTTAATGTCTGTGAAGCGTGGTGTCCTCCGCGGGGCTGCGATCTACATACTTACTCCCGCCAATGACGACGCCGCGATAAGCCACGTCAAAGACCAACCTCAAACAGACGCTTATCTTTTTCTCCCCATACTGATAGATATTTTCCCTCTCCCCCGGACTTCCCGTTTGGGACTTTGAATGTGTTTTTTTTTGGTTTAATCTCTAACTCTGTGTGGCCGTGCATAAGGGCTTACATACCTAAGCCGCGAACCCCGCAATGTGCTGGCCAGTTTGGTATCCCAATTGGGAAGTAAGATAGAGAGGATAGAATCGACTAGATAGTGATACAATTCCATGAGTAAACGGCTGGTCAAGCAATCAGGGTGTTTCCACGATACTGTGCCGATCTGGCTTTCAGATCAGTTGCTCGATTGGGGTAAAGAGGGGAGACAGGGCAATGCCAGGTACGGTATCGTAATACTGAGCAAACCTCGAGTAAGTACCTAACATCATGCGCAGTAGGTAGGTTCAACAGAATCTGGGGTTCACCGCAATACTGTGCATATATATCTCAAGCACGACTGCTCACTACAGTCTAAAGTTTCTATATTTTGTCACCGTGAGGCTTTCAGTTTATTCGCTTCTAAAGTTGTTCGTCGGGCAATCATGATTACTACTACTCTTGGCCTTCTCCTTTTCTCCGTGCTTTCAGCGGCGCATGGAGACCATGGACAAGCTCCAATGTCCGGACCACATAAAGGACTCTGGTACAACACGCTACCAGGAGATGGCGGCACGCAGGTAAGCGTCTTTGGTGAAATAATACTCGATTCAAATTGAGAAAGAGTATCTAACGACCTGTCACAACAACTCTAGGCCGACTCGGTTTTCTCCGGTATCTCAACCTTTGGTCGTCTCCCTTACTTCCCATGCCTCTCCAGCGAGGATGAAAGCTACGACATTGCCTTCCTAGGTGAATATATCCTCAGTCCGCCTGCGCCTTGATAAATCCCTCAAAATCTCATATTGCTATAGGGGCTCCCTTTGATACTGGTACTTCGTATAGACCCGGTGCTCGCTTTGGACCGAGTGGTATCAGACAAGGCTCGCGCCGCCTCAATCTCTAGTAGGTATTTGTCTACTGGAATCCGAGTTCCATCAATCGGTCTGAGATTCTAACCATCATACAACAGCGGAGGCTACAATGTGCCGCTTCAGGCGAACCCATTCGTTAGCAATCTGAAGGTGCTTGACTGTGGTGATGTTCCAGTGACCTCGTATGTGGCCTCATTCAGTCTCGGAGATACAAAAAGAATTTCAGAACTGACAGACCTTTCTCCCTTATAGGTACGACAATGCCTGGGCTATTCAGCAGATTGAGGAAGGCCATAATAGTGTTCTAATGCGCAAACCGTTTACCGATGCCCATAAACCAGGACTCTCCCGGGCAGGGAAGACTCTTCCTCGCGTTATCACTCTTGGAGGTGACCATACTATTACTTTGCCCTTGCTACGGAGCATCAATAAAGCCTACGGGCCTGTCACCGTGATTCACTTCGACAGCCATCTGTAAGCAAAACCTGATGTTGAATGACGATATCAAGACACTGATTAGCTATTACTCAGTGACACGTGGAAACCTAAGGTCTTCGGTGGCTCGCCCAGCCAGGTCGCTGCGATCAATCATGGCACTTACTTCTACCACGCCGCTATGGAAGGTCTGCTGAGGAACGACACTAATATACACGCCGGAATCCGCACAACGCTCTCCGGGCCTTCAGACTATGAGAACGACGGATATTGTGGGTTTGAGATCGTCGAAGCCCGAGAGATAGACACGATCGGGACCGACGGTATCATCAAGAAGATCAGGGATCGCGTCGGCACGGAGAACCCCGTCTACCTATCAATCGACATTGACACCCTTGACCCTGCCTGTATGTCATTCGTCGACTAACTTTCAACCTCTGAATCTAGCTTCTGGCTCGTTAATCACTGATACTTGGTAAACAGTTGCCCCGGCTACCGGTACCCCCGAGACTGGAGGTTGGTCCACTCGTGAGCTGCGGACGATTATCCGCGGTCTCGATGGGTTGAACTTTATCGGTGCCGACATTGTTGAGGTTGCACCGGCGTATGATACCAATGCGGAGCTTTCGACAATGTAAGTTCCGTTCTTTATTAGATTTTTAGCAGTCGGCATTACAGGGGCTAATCTAACCGTTTGGCCTGCAGGGCGGCGGCGGATGTGCTGTACGAGGTTCTCACCATCATGGTGAAGAAGGGTCCTCTCTCTGTGGAAGGTCGGTCTCACGAACTGTAGAAAACATGGCTAGGATACCTTGGGTGGTTGGATCCATCTGGTTTGAAATCGTGAGCCTGACTTCCTGGAATTTGTAGGTAGTAGGAGATTGGATTATGGCAGAGTTGAGTGTCCGATGAGGCGATTGGATAGTTCACTCAAGACACATGATGAAATCCAAGTTGACACACGTTACTATTCCATTCAAATGTTGACATGATGCATGTATATTGTAACAAATGATCCAGCACGCATTTTGACTGTGGTGACATCTTCAAATCTCAAGATCAGATGTGTATAAATGTAGAGTCGGCTTCTGCTTGCCCGGGATCTGGCTAAGAGTTTCTACGTCTACGGCGGCCGATAGAAGCAAGTTGCTCAAAACCCTATTTTAGTAAGATTGTCTACCGCCTTATTAACCGCCTTTGCCCTGAGGCCTTGTTCCTAAGGCCTTTATAGACATCCTAATTAGGCAAAGTAGGCCAATTCGAAACGACTGCATGAATTAATAGATCTTACCCCTGGTAATCTCTCTCTACCAATCTCTCTGCACCTATCGCCGGCGTAGGGTCTTCGCCCCTATAAGATAAGACCTCGAATCCCTCTCGATTTATATAAGGAGGAGACTGCAGCCCTAGCGCTTAAGGGGAAATCGGTCTAGGTAATTTGTGCCTTTCTCGAAGAGACCTAAGGGGTGCCTAGACGGTTCCTAGATAGTTTCATTAACGGTCTCCTATACGGTCTTCTGGACGGTCTTCTGGACGGTCTTCTGGACGGTCTTCTGGACGGTCTTCTGGACGGTCTTCTGGACGGTCTTCTGGACGGTCTTCTGGACGGTCTTATAGACGGTCCACGTTACTAGGCCTACGCTTGACAGGCGTATAGAAAAAACCAGATCTGCAGTAATTAGCCTTAGCAAAATATTCTGCCCGTCTTCTTGCCTAATGAAATGGGTTTTGAGCAACTTGCTTCTATCGTCCGCCGTACTACGTCCCCACTAGTTATGCTCATTAGATGAGAAAGTAATGGTCCTTCTCGTAGTCTGGGGGACCTGCCCTCGCCAATAGCCGATTCCCAATTTCCCTGGATGTCAACGTCAGTTCTACGAGTCGTTGGTGGTAGTGACAGAGGGACTTTGGATGGAGAGGTTGCAGAAATATATAGCGAACACAGGTACGGATAGAAACTATTCATGTCTTTTGAATTAAGTTCTACCAGACAGAGCACGTCAAAGCTAGTATTTTGACAGTCCTCAAATTAAAAAACAGTTGCTTGTGCTTTGCTTACTTACTAAATTCGACTGCCATTCAGGATGTCTGTGTAGCCAATAATAGTGACTGAGTAATGACAATCTAAAATTAAAAAACGTCGCGCGGTGGGTCACCAGCTCGCGCCCGTTCCGAACTAGAATTTTGTTTTGTTTCAAACCAAGGAACGTATGTCGGCAAATTTCTTAGCATAGTAACTGTCACTTGAAAGCGCTGCGATCGAGACCTACACTATCTCGTTGTGTCGATCGTCATGCGCAAAAAACCAACGGTTGACTCCCGAAACCCGATGGCAGATGGCAACGGCGATGTGAGTGCTCCTGCCGGAGAATGAACCAAGCTCGAAACCTGAAATTAATGGTGAGCCTGGCCAATACGGCTACTCGAGGCCCGGCTCGTCCGGAAGAGAATCAGCACGGGCCTGGGTGCGATGCGGAGGAAGTACGAGCTGGGTCTCTGGGGCCGAGTCATTTTATATAGTTGATCGGGTTGATTGATTTGTTCGTGCTACTAGCAGGAACGTGGTGGATTAGAAACTGAAATCGGAATGGAGAAACCTCGCTCCGTATATATGCCTGACAAATTGGATACTTAACGCTCATTATGCGAGAATATTCCCTCCCGTCCTATCAGTCCACAAGCTTTATCGTCAAGAATGGGACTGGACGGAGTAAACATAGTTGAACTCCAATGCACGACGACGCCTAAAGATGGGTTCGGTCTCGGCTCGGTCGAAAAGCACAGTGGAGTCGAACAAAATGAAGATCGATCAACGAGACATCCTTCATAGCCCAATAAGCCCTACAAAACACAAGTGCAGCAACCTTGCCTCGCACGAGACCAAAGTCGAGACGTACTCCACTTGTTAATGTCGATAGGCTGTGCAAGGGATACCTCATTTTATCATGGGTCCGCAGGGCTATGCATTGTACATTGATCATTATTGAAGGTGAGATCCTTTACGTCCGTACAACAAACAAAGTTCGTGGCACACCACGTTTGATAACGAACGCGTCGATCAAGCGCCATACGGGCGTAAGCTCGGCCCCCCTACCGTACTGTATGTACAGTACATATATGAGCTCTTTTGTATTTAATAATTGGAGTGGTCGGCTGGCGATCGAGCAAGCCCGTATTTCGCAAAGTTGAACGTGATTAATATTGCAGTTCTATCGGGATCTTATGCAGGACATCTGAATCTCAATTTTGAGCTGGATGAAAAGATAGTAGTGGTTGCTGTTGGCCGGGCTGGCCACGTGCATAAGATTGGAGTGGGAAAGGAGAGGCCTGGGGTTCATTTCAATTTCATCCCCGACTACGATCGAACAACTTGCTAACATGCCACCGCGGTATGATCATGATCAATGATGAACTGTGGCCACTGAGCGAGTCGAATTGAGATATGGCGCCGAATTCACCCTTGGGGTTTGCCTCGTTAGTTAAGGAGGTCTCAGCCTCCCTGTCAGGCACCGTTGCCCAAAATGAAGATCGCGACGGGCTGGACGGGTGGAGCCCCTAGGATCAGAGGGGAGAATTACTGCATTGGTCGGCTGGCCCGTCCTGGTCCTTAGGCTAGCCCGTGGTTTTCATCTCGACTGAACGATGGAAGCGAAGCGATCGACATTCGCAAGGTCTCCTTCATGCACCCTGGTGCCGTGAGAACGGTGGGAGTAGTAGGGAGTAGACGGGGTGTCGATACTCGCGAGAGCGGTCAAAAAGGGGCCCGAGGAACATACGCGGTATGAAACGGAGGATTGTACAATTATAATTGCGTCGAGGATGCAGAACGGTCTCCGAGCGACCAGACTCATGCACCGTTGGTATTAATAACCTAAAGTACGAATCTGAATCACGCACTGTACACTGCACAGAAGCACGCAAACCATGCTGGAGAACCGGTTCCTGGTGGCGGTATCGAGTCTATCCACTTGATGCATGGGCTGGGTCATCGGTTGTTTCAACTGTCAGCCGTCGTGTAGCATGGAGAGCAAAAGTACGGCGTTTTAATGTTCTAGACAGATTCCTGGGACGCGTGGTTAATGAAGAACCGTGGAACTCCCGTGGGGCCGAGCCGTTGAACATTCCAGGTGCATCAACTGCTTACATCTACGGAGTACAGCTTCTGGTAACTATCGAGGACATCGTATCAGTAGGTACCCCGTACATAGTATTAGTACATGTCTTCCTACCCCCCTCACCTCCCTCGAACCTGGACCATTGACGGAGTGTGGACGGTAGGGGGTTTCCAAGCCTAGGGGCCTTATAAGTTCGGTAGTGCCTGGCGAACCGAGGTGGCGACCGAAGTAGTGGAAGTAGTACGGGAATAGTCCTCGGCCAGTAGTTAGTATAGTAGTGGATGTACTCTGTAGTTTGTTCCATAGTTAAGACGGAGTATTCACTACACTGCCGTTCCTGTAGTAAGGCCCTGGATTGGTGAAAGGTTTCCCCTGAACCAGACTGCTCCTCCCATTGGAACACTGCGGCAAAGAGCCAACCCAAACTTGGTATACACACAACTCTCCGTTTCTTCCTCCCAAACTCTAACTGTCTTCTCTCTCTGTCTCTCTCTCTCTCCTTTTTACTTCTTTTCTCGCTCCTCTCCGCTCGGTTCTGGACAAATCACTCCATTGGCAATCTATCCCCCATTCATCCATTCAACCACTGTTTTCTGGCCCCCCTCTCGACCCCCAACCCACTTGTCCCCTTCGTCTCTCAGTCTCCACCTCCCATCATCAACCACACCGAATCCTCCTTCATCTTAATCGGAGCTATTCCACCTGGAGTTAGCCCGTGCACGGCCTTCTCCAGACGTTGCGCGGTGCTTTTACACCTCCTTGCCCTCCCTCTCCTGCCTGACCGGGGATCTCATTTCTGGCAATTGATTGTTTCTTTGTGAGAGAGGACCGTCTGAACCATCCAGGTACGTCTTCCTTCATCCTCTTCCCGGTCATCTTCGGTGTTGCTGTGGTGCGACCGATTTTCAAGGCGTTTCCCAAGTGTCTTTTTTTCTTCCGCCAAAAAAAAATTAAGGGGTTCTGGTTCTAAACACTAATCCTCGCGGCTCTCTCCACATTCTAGACAATCCCCTGTCTCTGTTACTCCTGATGATCGCGACTCCTTAACATCGCCGACGAACAACCCAATCTTCTCTGACGTCTTCGTTCAACATCCCCTTGTTTCCCACCCCGCGTGGCTTCTCCTGGGGAGAATGACCGTCTCACCGCCAGCGTCACCAACGGGACCCGCCCCACGGCCCATCAGCGCCCTGATGCGCACGCCGCGCAGCAATAGTCGCATGAGCATGAGCAGTCGGCATGGCGGAAGTCGTGCCTCAGACGAGGATGGCAAGACTGCGGTCAAAGTTGGTACGTCCTCTTTTCAAATACTCCCGAGATTCCGCCCGCTGTGCGCGCACCGACGGCGGCCGCACGGCTGACGGCAGTACCACTCGAAAAGAAAACCATGGCAACACAAATGGAAGAATTGGGTAACAATCAACTGACTGGCGCGATAGCTGTCCGAGTGCGACCACCTCTCAAGCCCACCGACCCCGGATACGAATTAATTCCCCAGCGATTCCAACGGTCCATGGTTCACGTCACAAGTCCAACCAGCGTTGCCGTCGATGTTCCCCAAGGTCGCAAATTGTTTGTTTTTGATCGCGTTTTCCCCGAGACAGTGGAGCAGGATGGCATTTGGGAATATTTAAATGATAGCGTCAACTCGTTCGTCCAGGGTTACAACGTTTCCATATTGGCGTATGGTCAGTCTGGTGCGGGAAAGTCATATACGATGGGAACGTCCGGGCCCAATGAGCAGGGAAACTCTAGCGCGATGGGTGAGTTTGCAAAAGTCTAGCAAGAAAGAGACGTCTCTGGGGAGCGACTTGGCTGATTGTATTATCACAAACCAGGCATTATTCCTCGCGCTGCGCAGGCCTTGTTCGAGAAACTCGATGGGCCGAAACACGCCCGCAATGGCTCCAGCTCAACTGGTCTTCGAACCCCGCAACGATACTCCATGAGCTCGGCCTCGAGCCTTTCACGAGCACCCGTGGAAAAAAATTGGCAATTGAAGGCCACTTACGTTGAGGTATATCTCAAATTGCTACATTGCATGGTCATTGAATCCGTAAGCTGACGTTTCCTGTCTAGATTTATAACGAACAACTTCGCGACTTGCTTCTTCCCGACTCGGTGTCCGCCACTGATCGCAGCTCTGTCACGATCCGCGAGGACGCCAAGGGTCGCATTCTCCTGACCGGTCTCCACCAGGTCAACATCAGCTCGTTCGAAGACCTTATTGGAGCTCTGAACCATGGCTCAACTATTCGCCAAACCGACTCGACTGCGATTAACGCGAAGTCTTCTCGTTCGCACGCCGTGTTCAGCTTGAACCTCGTCCAGCGCAAGACCTCCACGCAACCGATGTCCCCCAAGGAAAAGCGCATGTCCATGCCAGTGGATTCTTTCTCCAGTGGCGAGTCCGTCACTGTGGATAGCAAGCTTCACTTTGTGGACTTGGCTGGCAGTGAACGTCTCAAGAACACCGGTGCTTCCGGCGAACGTGCCAAGGAGGGTATTTCCATCAATGCTGGTCTGGCCGCCCTGGGCAAGGTCATCTCACAGCTCTCATCTCGCCAATCTGGCTCCCATGTGTCTTATCGCGACTCAAAACTTACCCGCCTTCTGCAAGATTCCCTTGGTGGCAACGCAATCACATACATGATTGCCTGTGTCACTCCTGCCGAATTTCATCTGAGTGAGACTCTAAATACCATCCAGTACGCACAACGAGCACGGGCAATTCAAAGCAAGCCTCGCATCCAGCAGATTGCCGACGATGGCGATAAGCAGGCTTTGATCGATCGCTTAAAGGCCGAGGTGGCCTTCCTCCGTCAGCAAATTCGCAACTCAGAAGGCTCCGAGCGCCGGGATGTGGCGTCTACGGAACGGAGCGAGCGCAAGAACGAGCGGGAAATTCAGTTGCAGAACCAGCTGCTTGATGCGCAGGAAAGCTATAATGCACTCAGCCAGCGCCACACTAAGCTCATCTCACAACTTGCCAATGACTCGACCACCAACGGAGAACATGAGGCTCACCCCGATGACTTGGGCAAGAGTTCTATTGAGAGAATCCAGCGATCGAAATCTTTTGCCGAATCTGTGGAGCAGGTTGTTGTTGAGTACGAGAAGACCATCCAGGCCTTGGAATCGTCCCTGTCTGACACTCGAGCTTCCCTGGCCACCACGGAGAGCACCCTTTTGGAGCGTGAGACCAAATGCACCTATGTTGAGACTGTGAATGCGCAACTCCAATCGCGTCTGCAAAAGCTGTTGGACCGCGAGGCCAGTACTGAGACTTATCTCCACGAGCTGGAATCCAAATTGGACGGTGCCTCGACTGGAGAGGAGAGGCATGCCACCATCGTTGCTGAGCTGCGTAAGGAGCTCAGCCGTGCTCGCGAAAATGAAGTCGGCTGTGAAGAGTACATCTCGACTTTGGAAGACCGTCTTGCCGAGTCTGATCAGGACATGGAGTTGATGCAGCGCGAGGTGATTCGACTGGAGCATGTTATTCAGCGCCAGCGAGGCCTGGGAGCTCTGGACAACCTCCTACATGACCTCGATACCCGTCACCAGCATCAGAACGGCGATGAGGACGAGGAGCTGCACACCAACGGCGCCGATGTTTCTCACGTCCCTCTCCCGGTCAAGACTTCCCACCACAAGCACACTCCGTCCTTGGATGTTCTGAACGAGGCTGCGGAAACTGCGATTCCCGAATCCGACGAGGGCTTGACCGAGCCTATTCTCGAAGAGGAGGAGGAAGAATCTGTTGAAGAGGTCGAAAAGGCCACCGAGGAACCGGGTGAGGATCTCAAGGTTCTTGAAAACGTGACCAGCCAGCTCCAGGCCCTCCGTGCCGAAGCCGTGCGTGAGGAGCCCGTTGCCAGCCCCGCCCAGTCCAAGTTTGTCGTTGACAAGCTGGAGACTGTTACCCAAGAACTCTTCGAGCTTCGCCTCAGCCATGAGAACACCCTAAGTGACTATGAGATGCTCGAGGCCAAGTATGAGGAGGCCCTGAAGGCGCTCGCTGAAATCCAACAGGACAAGCTTGATGAAGCTCGTCACCCAGCTCCGCCAGTTCAGAACGAACCCTCGCGTCCTGTGTCTTTTTTAGAAGACGCGACCGCTCCGACTTTGAAGTCTGGAGCACAACACTCATTCTCGCAATCACTCTCTTCGGAATTATCCTCGGCCGGGGAGTCGCCTGCTTTGCGCGGGCTTTCTGAAGACTCCAAGCACGACGAGATTTCCACGCCTGTCACCCCTATTGCCTCTTCTGTCATTGCTTCTGTCGATGCCGAAGAAGCTGAGAAGATGCGCAAGGTGCTTGCTGAGCACCAGGCCGATGCTGACCGGATGTCCCAGAAATACGCCGAGCTCCAGACTGAGCACGAGGAGATCCTCGCCCTTGTGGAGAAGCTCAAGGCCGAGGCCGAAGCCCAGCGCCACAAGCCCAGCCCTCCTTCCACCCCTGGCTTCAAGATGATCCGCCGCATGACCAGCCAGAACCTCTTGTCGGGTGTCGACCGCGCTCACCGTTCTCTCACCGCGCTGCGGACTATTGCCAACGAAGAGCTTTCCGGCAAGCCCGATGTCTACCAACACTTCGAGGCTAACCTAGATGCCACCATGCACGAGCTTTCCTCCCGCATGGAGCGTCTCCAGTCCCTGGAAGCCGAGAATCAGAGCGTCAAGAAGGAGATGGAGATGAAGGCAACTATTATTTCTGGTCTCACTCGTGAGCGATCGAGCTTGTCAGGTGCTTCGTCTGTCGACATGGCACTTGTCACGCAACTTCGTGACCAAGTCGTAAGCCAGGAGAATCAAATCCAGGAGCTTCGGACAGCCCACGAAGCTCGAGAGAAGCAACTTCTGGCCGAGATCGAGAATCTGAACGCCCTGTTGAAGAGCCAGGAGGTCGCGGCCAAGGCTTTGGACGCCGGCGCTGAGGAGCAGGACAAGAAGATTGATGCTCTGGAGGGTGAACTGACGGAGTGGAAGGGCAAGCACCAGTCTGCGCTCGAGTCTCTGCAGGCCTCTGAGCAGCAGCTCGCCACTACTCTTGCGGAGCTGGAGTCTTCCCTGGTCGCTGTGGAGGCCATGCGCTCAGAGCGCTCTGGTACCAGCGAGACATCTTCCGACAAAGAGGCTGCCGCACAGGTCCTTGAGGCTGAGCGCGTCAAGCAGCAGGAGCTGGTGAATGGTCTTCAGAGGGATATTGAGGAGCACAAGACCACGATCTCCACCCATGTCAATACGATCGCCACCCTGGAGAAGTCCCACGCGGATCTTCAGCAGCAACTGCTTGCAAAGTCTTCCGCCACTGAACTTGACAATACACCGGGCGATATGACTCGCATCACCGAACTTGAGCAGGAGATTGCTACTCACAGATCGGCTATCGACTCCCAGAAAGGTGGCTTGGACTCACTCCAGGAATCTCACAAGCGTGAACTTGCCGAGCTTGAGGAACGGACCCGAGCCGCAGTTCAAGCTGAACAAGAGTCTCGTCTCGCTGAGAAGGATGCCGAGCACGACAAGACGATGGCAAACCTGCAGAAGGAGATCGCTGATTCCCGCGATGAGCTGGTGCATTTGCTCACAGCCGTCTCGTCGCTCCTCAAGTCCGATGTCACCAGTGCCACGCTCACTGACCAAATTCAAGATGTCTTGGCCCAAAAGCAGCACTTCTCTGAGAAATACGCTGAGCTCATGGATACCAATGAGGATCTCCGCAAGCAGCTTGAGGCTGCCGGTGATATTGAAGAACTGAACAAGAAGAATGCCACCCAGGAAGCCAAGGTTAATGAGCTGGCTCTCTTGGTTGCCACCCTGGAGGACACTCTTCGCCAGAAGGATGAGCAGGTCAAGAAGAAGGAGGCTCTCGTTGAAGAGATCACCGTGGAGAAGCAGAAGAGTGTGCGCCTGGTTGAGGAGCTTGAGGAGCAGATCACCAACAGCTTCGACCAGCACCACAACCGTCTTTCTGTCATCCAACAGGAGCGTGACCAGGCTCTCGAGGATGCCAAGGCTAGGATCGTTATTCTCGAGAGGGATATCGAGACCTACCGCATGCGCATTGAGCAGCTTGAGCTTCAACTTAAGAACGGAACTTCCGATGGTTCCCACGACCGCAGCAGCTCACTCACTTCCAATCTCCGCAAGAGCTCATCGGCAGCTTCTTTGCCTTCGCCTCCTCCCGCCATTCCCCTTCCTCCTCTCCCAACCATCGCTTCTGCCGCCAATGGCTCCGGCAGCGTGTCCCCTCCCAGCTCTCGCCATGCTAGCAAGGAGCTGGTCAATGCGCAGATCGTTGAGGACCAGGAGGCTCGCATCCGTACCATCGAAAAGCACCTGTATGCTGAGAAGCAGTTGACTGCCACCCTCGAAGAAGCCCTTGGCGACCTCGAGGCCCAGAGTAACAAGGTCAAGAACGATTGTGAGAACTGGAAGAAAAAGGCTTGGGGTCTCGAGGACGAGCTCTCCACTCTTCGCAAGGAGCGCAACTCTGCTCGCCTGTCTCTCCAGGCTGTCGAGGAGGAGCGTAGTGCCCGCAAAGAAGCTGAGGCTGCTCGTGCTCAGCTGGAGGAGCGCATGAATGCCCTCAATAAAAAGAAGAAGAAGAGCACCCTTAACTGCTTCTAAGCCGAGCCACTCGCCCCCTTTGCCTGTCTCTCACATACTCGCCCCTTGAAAAAAGCGTGATGTGTTTTTTATCTTAACCTTAACGCCTGTCATTACCGCTCTCACACCTGGATATGTACACTTTTCTTCTCTGCTTCTACTTGTTTCATACCCTTTTTTCTTTCCCCTTCTTCTTTTTGATCCGATTATCTGTGATTCGATTATGCCCCCTGCCTTACCTAAATATCTCCAACACAAGCCCTTGATCCCACCCCATTACCTGTATTATGACATGTACCTGCTTTCTTCTTTCTTTTCGTCGTCGATTCTTCGATACCTCTTCTGCCTTTCTGCTCTGTGCCATAGTAAACCACCGTCTACTCTCTCGATGCACAGTCCCCTTTTCACCCCTTCTTTCTTATTACATATTTTCGATTTTGTGTGGTTGTCTTCTCGCGCTTGCAACGACAACCCTCGCTGCTTTTATGACTGGTAGATTCTCAACTCGCGTCTGAATTTTCTCAATTGTACATTTTCTTCTCTGTGTTGGATGTCCCTAGATTGATGAGTGCTTAGGCTTAAATGGTTCCTTCTTTCAATAGTTGTGGTGACCTCGTTCATGGCTTGTTCCAAATTCATTCTCGCTATATCCATTGGTTTCCTTCGTGAATGCATGTATAAGTTATGTCGCCTTCCCTTTTCTATCAAGGGTCTTCTGGGCTTGAGACTGAAAGCGGAATTCAGATGCTGTTGGGGTTTGCCACCACAGGCCCTTTCAACGGTAGATCATAAAGGCGGGTCATATGAGGGTACGAGACCAGACATGTTAAAGAATGCGATCTGATCTGCCGCATAGGATTCTCATTGTCTTGCTACAGAATCGTGCATTCCAAGTTGTTGCAGGGCTCATAGCTTCCATGTCCAAGCCTTCCCAGCTGCACCCTCGATTCTCACCCATAGCGTGGCTACACTAGCAGCGAAGAGCAACACCCCAACGGTAATAGTCGCCCTTTCGTAATTGAAAGGTGCCGACAATGCAGACTGTCCGGGTAACAACAGTCCAGTCAAAGGTGTGCCAAGCAAGGCACCCACTCCTCGAATAAGATACAATGCCCCGTTCACTGACGTGAAATGTTGAACACCAAATAGCTCGATCAGACTTGCCGGGAATAGCGAGATGTATGCACTTCCGAAGCAGCCATACACGATAGCAAACAAGATAAAAAGCACATCCGCCGCAGGTCCAGAGATTGCGTTATTTGCGAAGGTGGCAGGAAGCCAGAAGGCAAAGACGGCGATCGAGCTCATAATGGTTGTCAGGAAAAGCACGTTCAAGCGACCGTACTTGTCAGCCATGTATCCGATGACAATTCGAGAAACGAAATTAGCCGCGTTGCTAATCGTAATAAAATTGTCCGCCATGCTCTCACTATATCCAAGTGACCGTGCAAAGGCAGCGTAGAAGAAAAGAGGTGTCGCATATCCAGACGACTGTAGGAAACAACCCAAAGCCTGCGAAACAAACTTCTTAGACTTGGCCACTCGCCAATTCACCAGTGGAACATTGATCCAGCCCGTCTTCCTGGAAATTCCAGCCGTCTGGCCTCGAACCTTGGCCTTGAAGTTCGGCTCCCAGCGCAAAGTAAAGGCCGCGATAGGAACGAAAAGAATGACAAGACAACCCGAGATACGCAATGCATTCCGAAATCCGATGTGAGAAGTGATAGCTCGTAGAACGGGAGGCCATATCATTCCACCACAAGCCGAGCCCGAAATGACGATCCCCATCGCCAGACCCCGCCGCTTGTCGAACCACGTTGGCGCGACAGACATGGTCGGTACGTAGGCCATGCAAGTACCAATACCTACAAGGATGCCTTGTGTCAGGGCGAATTCCCAGACATACTCGCTTAGACTGGCAAGGATACAACCAAGTCCGAATACAACGCCGCCGCACATGATGACGGGTTGTGGACCGTATAGTTTCGCCCATGTCATGGCGAAGGGCCCGCCCATGGACATGACGGCGATAGACAGGGTTCCGATCAAACTGATGATCGAAGATGATGCACCGGTAAATGGGGTATGTGGTTGTTTGGCCATTTCTTCGTAGATAGCTTGGTATACACCGTAGGCGAAGATAATCGCACAGGTCATGAACATGACCACGAAGCCTGCCGCGACGATCATGCACTGTCGCCTATATGAACATGTTAGTACTACGTCCCACAGTAGTTGGCTACAGAAAAAGAATTTGTGGTCATAGCCCTGGGTAAATCTCACAGTTTGGTTGGTGGAGGTAGCTCATCTTGTACGACGAGTGCTTGTACAGCTCGCCCAGGAGCAGCATGGTCGTAAGATGTTCGAATACCCTCTTCGTCTGCCATGATAGTGACCTGGGGACTACATGTAGTCCGGTCTATAAACAGAAAGATTAGAAACAATCAACTTTTTGTTGAGCATGGGTCGCCCACCGCAAAGAAGACCGAGCTAGCACGGTCGGTAAAACGGCATCGAGCCCGTCGTACTTAGCCGGTGGCGCGGACGGGCCCGCAGGTCTTGAATCCCCGGATTATGGCGTTGAAAGTATAATCCCTGCCTGTGCTGTATTCTTATTTTCCATCTTTGCATGCTATGGATGATACAATCTGTATACTTGACATTATCGTTCGACACTCGCGTACTAATTGGTTTAAGGAAATGTTCAGATTAGTTGTCCATTGAAACCGGTACAATCTATATCCATCGGTAGATGGAGCAGGCTGCGATCCGAGTGGTCAGTCTTTGAACACGGCACCACAGGATAGAACTATGGGATCCATGCGTTAAACACAATTGGACCGCTAAGCATACATGCCATTAATGGAGAATTGTAATATAGTACTCTTGACAGACTAAATAGAAGTCCGATTGCCACATAATTATGGACAAAGGTGCATACGGGCGTCATGTGATGACGTACCCCCCACGTGTCTTTATCGGAGCTTTCGCGGGACGCGATTGACAATCGATAGCTCTCAACACAAGCACTCCAACATCCCGCCTTCTAGGTAATTGCCCACCATGCCGGGCCTTGCACCCTCCAATGTCATCATCATCCATCCTGATCTAGGCATTGGTGGTGCGGAACGGCTCATCATCGACGTTGCGCTGGCCCTGCAGAACCGCGGCCACCGAGTGACAATCTACACCTCCCATCGCGACAAGACGCATTGCTTTGATGAGGCGCGCGATGGCACCCTCGATGTCCGTGTGCGCGGGAATACAATCTTCCCGGCCCATTTCTTTGGGAGATTCCATATCCTCATGGCATCGCTGCGCCAGCTCCACCTGACCGCATCCCTGTTGACGGAGCTTGAGTCGAGGGGAAAATCAACAGCGCAAGACCAATCTGCCCCTGGGGAAGAAGACCAAGATGATATCTTCATTGTCGACCAACTGCCAGCATGTGTACCTATCCTAAAGAGCTTTGCTCGACCCCGCAAATCCCGACGCCAACGGATACTCTTCTACTGCCATTTCCCTGATCAATTGCTTGCACGGCGAAACGAAGGTGGCTCCCTCTTACGACTAGCAAAGGCTTTGTACCGGTTCCCCTTTGATTGGTTTGAGGGATGGGCCATGAGTGCGTCGGATCGGGTCGTTGCCAACTCGCACTTCTCGCGTGGAGTGCTTCACGGCGTTTTTGGGGCCGACAAGCTTGGGGATGTGGAAGTGGTTTACCCATGTGTTGATACGAATGCTGGAACAAAAGCACTGGCGGAAGAGCCGGAAGAGGCTCTTTGGACTGGAAAGAAAATATTGCTGAGCATCAATCGCTTCGAGCGAAAGAAAGATATGGGTCTGGCGATTCGTGCTTACAATGGCCTGGGTGAGGGAAAGAGGAAAGGAACAAGATTGGTGATTGCTGGTAAGGCCACTCCATACTTTTGTCGGACAGTTTTCATTCGTTCTTTGGAAATTGAATTAACATTTCCAACCAGGCGGCTATGACAATCGTGTCCAAGAAAACGTCCAATATCACCAAGAGCTCGACAATCTCGCGAAGGACCTAGGCTTACGCACTGCGACGACGAAGACGGTGGTCTCAGCGCTCTCAATTCCCGACGATATCAATGTCCTGTTCCTCCTCTCTGTCCCGACAGCATTTAAGAACACATTGCTTGCCCAGTCAAAACTTCTGCTATACACTCCGATCAACGAGCACTTTGGTATCGTACCAGTTGAGGCTATGCTTGCAGGGCTTCCTGTGCTGGCATCCAACACCGGTGGTCCATTGGAGACTATTGTTGAAGGTGAAACGGGCTGGCTCCGTGACGCCCTCGCGGTTGAGGAATGGACCGCTGTCATGGACAAGGTTCTCTATGGCATGTCACAGATAGAAGTCGACCGGATAGCGGCGGCTGGTAAAGCAAGAGCAGAGCGAGAGTTTTCACTCACTGCCCTGGAGGATCGACTGGAAGATGAAATCTCGACTATGCTGTCGGTTGACAGGCGTCCTTTCCACGGATGGCAACAAATATTGGTCGCGCTCGCCGTTTCTGGGTCTTTCCTTGCAGTCGTGGTTCCTTTTTTGCTTCGCAGCGTATATTTTAACTGATTATTACAATAATACCCCTTTTCTCTCTATTTCCTCCACTTTTCATTTCATCGTCTCTTTGCTACAGTATCTCCTGGTTGTATACCCGATAAGGGTCACATGACTTCGTGACGTCGCGTTTGTCCCGCATCGCGCCCCTCGTGTCGCTGGCATCCATCCAACATGCCCGAGGTCATTGACCTCATCTCCTCAGATCCACCCCTCCCTGAGGGGCCTAGATTTCAGCATGTGCCGGCCAAGTCACGGCAGGCTGCGGTTGGGCTGCCAGCCAACTCGAGGCTGACTTCGTCCAGTTTTGTCGATGTTTCTGCCATGTCCGACGACTTTCTCGACAAGCCTGCGAAGAAACGCCGAGTCAGCAACGAAAAGCGCTCGCCTCCCAGGCAAAGCGTCGTGAACATGAGGTCACCACGGCCAGATCCACCTGTGTTCTCCTTCTCGGACGACGATTTCAGCCTGCCACCGTCAAATCCCAGAGCGCAGAAGAAGTGCCAGGGACGCGATGCCGAAGAATCCGATCCTATCGTTTTCACATCATCTGCACCGGAACCTTCCAAGAAACAAAACTCCACCTGGTCGAGACCAAACCACACACAGTCCGAAGTGATCACGCTAGACGATGACGATGACGATCTTTGGAAATCAATTGGCAACGAAAGTACAAGAGGTGGAAGGCAGGATGAAATACAGGAGTTCAGTGACCCCTTTGGGCTTGACGATTTCGATGACTCGTTTGCACTCTCGGGACCGGGTGTTTCCGCTTCCAAATCGGGGTTCTCCAGCAAGACTGCTGCCTTATTATCTACCCTGAAAGCCGCAACCAAGGGAACAAACTCCCGATCTAACAACAAGGCTGGATCTCGCCCTAGCAAACGCAAAGAAGCCACCATGGATCCTTCGGCGATTGGAGATTTCTCTGATGATCTGGACGGGCCTGCTGAGCCGCGACAAAAGGCGAAGAAATCTGGCAAGCTCACCACCGAAGAGAAGGAGGCCAGGGCACAGGCTCGGGCTGACGCTAAAGCGCAACGAGATCTCGAACGCCAACTTGAGAAAGAGCGAAAACAGAAACTGAAGGAGGAAAAGGCCAAGGAGAAGCGACTGGTTGCGGACATTGCTGAAGTCAATAAGCTTAAAGTGGATAGAAAGGATTCTACCGAAGAGATGATCCTGGACATTTCGTGTTCGTTCGAAGAAACGAGTGTTGGCAATCAAGCCGTCGAGTTCATGAAGCGTCTAAAAGTCGAGTATCAATTCTTCAGCGGCCCAATTCCGAACATTGTCAAGTGGCGGCGAAAGATGAATGCCAGATACAACAAAGAAGCCGGTTATTGGGAACCCGCTGCATTCCACATCTTGGAAGAGAAACATGTGCTCTGCTTGGTTACCGCGCAAGACTTTGTTGAAATGGTCATTGACTCTCCACCCGGCGAGGAAAGAGAGCCATTGGAAGCGCATGTCTTGAAGATCAAGAGCGCCTACCCCGGATATACGGTCATTTACCTCGTTGAAGGGCTCACAGCTTGGATGCGCAAAAACAGTAATTCTCGCAACAGGGCATATGTAGCCGAGGTGTTGAGTCAATACGAACCTGAACCAGAGGCAGCTTCGAGTCAAGTACCTGCACCGCCCCGTCGAGGCAGGAAACCGAAACGCAAACCAGAGACTACTCCACCTGTTGATGATGACACGATTGAAGATGCTCTCCTCGCATTACAAGTGACACATTCATGTTTGATTCACCACACTGCCGCGGCCCTAGAGTCCGCGGAATGGATCAAGAACTTTACGGAGCATATTTCTACGACACTCTATCGGTGGGAACGAATGGATGCACATGACTCGAATTTCTGCATGGAAAGTGGCCAGGTCAAGCCTGGCGAAGACAAACTTGATGTTTTTGTGAAGATGCTCCAGGAAGTGAATCGAGTCACTGCCCCAATGGCATACGGTATATCATCGCGATACTCTTGTGTTACCGACTTGATTCGCGGTATGCAAATACATGGGCCAACAATGCTGGAGGACGTTAAGGTATGTTGCCAATCGCGTTATCCACCATTTTCTATGTCCCCAGCTTTCTAACAAGTTCCTCCTTTAGAAAAGCGCAAATAAGAATGGAGCTTTGTCTGATGCTCGCGTGGGCCCGGCAGCCAGCAAGCGATTGTACAAAGTCTTCACTGGGCTGGACCCAACCTCCACAGACATTTAGCAAGATTTGGTGATATCAGAGTTGATATTTATTGTGCATTTTTTTTCAGTGCAGTGCAGTGCAATCACAGGACAGGTGATGGCTGTTTTAGGTATCTTGGTCGCAGTCCAATTGTCCTTGTCTGTTGACGGGAGACAACGATAGTACATACATCTCTTGGGCTTTATGGTGTAAGCCCTTACGTCGTTACGAACATTAATCCTGGTTTCTCCCTTTGCAAATTCCATATCTCACTACATTTTGAAGGTTTCCAAACCTTTATTGGAAAGATCGTTCCAGTTTCAAGCCACATAAACCATGCACCATGTATTGGGCTGGCACAATGTAAGGTTTGCGATGGTCAGATTTAGGCACTTCACTGTACAACTTGTAACGGCACGACCAATATCGGCTGCGCTCCTGCTATCAGTGTTCTCCTCGATGAGATCACCACGTTTGCTATTCCGAGACCGAGTTGTGTTAGTCTGCTTTACCCCTTACGGAAGACTCGGCTGTTGCATCGGCTACGACTTGTGCCGGTATTGTACCGGCTACTTGTAGCCCGCTATAAGCCGCAATTTGTGCGAGCCGAGCAGAAGTGATGGGCGCTCTTTATTGGATGGAATTATAATGTATTACAAGCCATCGTTATCATTAAATGCAACACAAATTAGTCGCATCCCAAACTCGATTCGATAGGATTAAGACTGTTTGAAAGCGTGAGGAATTGAAGTCGACTTGCTCCTGCCCATTCGAATTTCCCAACAACAGCCCTGTAATGTCGTTGCCTGATCGGTAAATTCTCGTTGAAGATGTGGATCTGGTGGATCATCTAGCGCTTCCAGCGACGCGGTCATTTGCCGTACACCCGGCTAAGCTTGCCTGGCAAAGCTTAGCCCTCCGTAGGGCTGTAGGGCAAGGAACGGTACCCTAGCAGCGTATGATTGAGGGGGTTTCCTGCCCCGTATCGCTCCGTTTGTGGACCCATAGAGAAGCCGAGTGAAGGCCGTCGGCTACGGCCAGCCGTCCTTCCACGTTCCTCGCCATCTGATTTTTATCTGATTGATTTGATTGATTTGATTGATAAACCAAAGTTCGCGCTTCACCCACAATTCTGGTGTTGTTTCGGCGACAACATGGCTTTCTTTAGAGAGACGTTGAGTCCTATGCTCGTTCTCTCAACAAGCCTGCTTGTCATTTCTGCTTTCAACTATGGCTTCAGCGATCAAGCGTTTGCCTCCTGTCAGGCAATGGACGCATTTGACCGACAATTCGGCTATTATAACGAAAAGACCCATACGTGGAAACTGCACCCTTTGTTCACGTCCTTGTATAACAGTCTGAAAGCTGGTGGGCAGATTATCGGTGTGTTGCTACTGAATTGGTTTCTTGCATACGCTTGCTCTGGGCTTGAATTTCTAATCTGCATTATAAAATAGGCGTGCTTCTCGGTGGGTATATCAGTAATAAGTATGGACGACGAATGTGCATATCTGTCATGAGTCTATATGCTCTAGGAAGTGCCTCAGTGGTGATAAGCTCTCGAAAGGACGCCCAAATACAAGCTGGCAGAGCTCTGCATTGTGAGGAAATTCCCCGTACTCCGAGGTCATTGGCTAACATTTATCCCTTAGACATCTACCTTGGTATGCAGATGGCGGTGATTCCAACAACGTTGACCGAACTAGCCCCAGCAAAGGTCCGTGGTGGAATGGGAGTCTTGTACTGGCTTAGCATCAAAGTCGGCGGTCTCGTGGTCACCTCGATCACTCGTGGAACATCCTCCATATCTTCAAATGCGGCCTGGCGAATCCCCTTTGGTCTTATCCTCATCGTCCCATTTATGATCAGCTGGTCGATCTGGTTCATTCCCGAATCCCCGCGATGGCTTCTTCTCCGTAGTCGACATGCCGAAGCTCTTGCGTCTTTGACTAGACTCAAGCCCAAGGATACACCCGAGGAGACGATACGAGAGGAGTTTGAGATCATGTCTGAAAAGGTTTCCCACCAACTCGAGAAGAAGCGCTTTCGTGATCTTTTCACGCCGCAGAACCGACAACGCACGTTTGTGGTCGTTGCTGCGAATTTCTTCCAGCAAGCTACTGGCCAGGCTTTTGCTTCGCAATATGGTACTCTGTTTGTAAAGCAGCTAAAGTCGATTAACGCATTCAGCGTGAGTCTCGGCATTAATGCCATTGATATTGGGGCTATTGTTATCTCGGGATCTCTTATTGATCGCGTTGGACGCCGGTATGCTAGTATCCATCACATCGTCACATCCTAAATGCTTCCCGGGCAAGGGAAGTGAATGCTGACTTCTATCTATTAGGACAATGTTCCATGTCAGTTCGACCATGCAAACAGCAGCATTGATGACAATGGGTGCCTTGGGAACTGCAGACGCGAGTGACGTATCGGCTAAACAAGGAATCGTGGCCATGTTGATCCTATACAGCTTTAGTTGGTCTCTTGGCTGGGCGCCTCTTGTTTATGTGCTTGGTGCAGAACTTCCATCGTCTCCTTTGCGAGAGATGACTTTGCAGATCGCCTATTTCATGAAGCTTATTACTGAGTATGCATTCAGCCCTTTTCCTTTATTTTGTCTTCGGATCGCTTGCGGAAAATGGTACTGACTTGAGCTTTGGTAGATTTGCCGTGACATTCTCCTACCCGTATATGGAGACGGCTGATACCCCAGGACATATTTATCTTGGTGGCAAATTGGGCTTTATCTATGGCTCCCTCTCGGCTGTGGCCATTCTCTTCGGGTTCTTCTTCATTCCAGAGACCAGTCGTCTGGAGCTTGAGGATATCGATAGGAAGTTTGATACACCCACCGTGGACTTTCTCAAGTCCGTTGAGGACCAGAGAGACGCGGAAGAAACGACGATGACAGAGGTTCATGAACAGAAGAACTAGGACAGGGCCTTGGGCATCACACATGCATCGACAAAGCGGTGATGTGATGATTGTATAGAATACTCCAATTCAAAGAAATACCCAAATGCATTATCGCTCATTACACTCCCAAATACTCCGTCGCCAAGAAATGCATCATAGTAAACGCCAGCACTAAGATCCCGAAAGTATAGAGAATATACCACTCAAACAACGACTCCTCTCCGTTTCCAGCCCCTCCAAGCAGCTGCCCAAACCAGAATAGCAACCCAGACACTGACAGTGCAACCCACAGCCCACAGTCCATAGCACCTCCAGCCATGGCACTGACCATCAGAGGAGCCGAAACCAGCACCTGCATCAATTGCATTCTGGTAGGCAGTGGAGTAGACCACGCCCCAAAGTGCAGCACCGAGGGCAGGCATCATAGCAACGATACCCCAATTCGTAGCAAAATTCTCCACGCCCCATACCACCGAAATTATAATTGGCGTCAGAGAGAACGCACTACCATAGCCGAAGCCGACCAAGGCGGTTGTGAGATGGAAGATGGCTGGTTCCTGAAGGGGAATTGGTGTTGACAGAATCAAGTAGCCAATTGAGAGTAGGAAGGCTGAAGGGAGGAGGAAGGCCATCCTGGAGATCGTTAGGCGGCTGTCGGATGGAGTGGTAGATCGGCGCCGGGCACCCTCAGGGATAGGCGGGAAGAGATGTGTAGCGGGGGGTGCGAAGAAGTCTGATAGAGAGCCGGTGAGAAGGCGGGCAATTGTTGAAGTCAAGGCAACGGTAGTGACATGGGTTGAAGGAAGACCAGCGGGAGGCGAAGCATCTGCCTCGTAGGAAGGAGGAGTCAAGGTGGGAATGATAGTCCCGAGCTAAAGAGCATATGTAAGTAATTAGTTGTGGAGTAGTAGATTGCAAGATACTCACATTATTGATGTATGACTCCCCTGGTCCAGTCACCAAGAAGAAACCGGCGGCCAACCACCACATTGTAGGATCTTGAAGAAAGATGCGGGTTTCATAATTGAGCAACCAGTTCTTCTTCTGACGCTCTTCCTCTTCCCTCTCTTTCTCAAGTCGTTGCTGCTCCCGCTCCTCCTCGGAGAGAGTGATAGAACGGTCGTCGTCATCACCAGCAAAAGTTCCATACTCAGCAGCGGCTCTGACCTCATGTCGCGGCCGGAAGAATTCGCTTTCCTCAAGCAATCCGCTTCGCTCCAGCTCTTCAACAGTCTCATCAATATACTTCTCCTCACCACCATCAACGATTTGCAACGCAAATGTGCCTATAAACCCAATCACTAGCAATAGGATCGCCAGGAACATGAAGTACCGAAACACATCCACGTCGCCGCGGCTGCCGTCCGCATTTGTCTCATGCAGAACATACGTTCCAAGCTGACTCTGCCACATGCCGCTCAGACCGAACGCTGCAATGGGAATAGCCAGCATGATTCCCTTGTGTTTCCCCCTGCCGTAGTTCTTGGCGCACGTTGCCACGGCTGCCAGATACATGCAACTGGTGCCCATGCCAATGGCAATAAATGCCACTATCATCACCCAAAACGGCCAGCCGGAGCCGCCAACGTCAACGGGAGGTCCGCTCCTATACGTCAGCGCAGCAAGCAGATATCCCACTCCGAAGAGAAGTCCTGAGAATAAAGCTAGCGGCGATGGACTGTATCGATCGCAAAGATAGCCGAATAGCGGGACGAGTAAGTACATAGCAATCTCGGCGGCAATCGATACTGCATTGACTTGGAGCTGGGTATATCGAAGTCGTGTAAGGAGGAGATGGCCGTATAGCGAAAAGGCGGTAATACTTCCCGCTCCAAGACTAACGGTGACGAGGGTTAGCATGCAAGTGTCGCAAATCGTGACTATATTCATACCAGGTAACAACTCCCCAAGCAAAGCTTATCATGCGAATCACCTCCTTCTGCATTTTCCGTCGATCCCGCTCAACTATTCCCTCAACCACATCGCTCAATAGCCCATCATCGCTCCCTCCCCGTCCGCTATCCCTGGAGTGGCGTGAGTAGTGAGAGATCGGTCGTGACCGAGCCGAATCTGGAACCCTCTCTTCATTCGAGGCTTCCTGATCCGAAGCCAGCAACAAAGGTCGGTGCGCGTCGAAATCCCGCTTGTCGATGTGCTGGTGTGTTTGGCCGTTGGAGCCAGACATGATGTGTGCTGACAGTGATAGTCGGCGCTTGAAAAGCCGACTATATAGGGATGAGTGTACAGATCGGGAGCCCTGGGGTATCTCTCAATGAGGCGTGAGTCGGATAGCTTCTCGCAGCTTGCTCCGCCTCCGGTCAGCTGGGTGGATCAGTTGCTTCTTTGTTGATCGTCCACCCTACGTGATTCAGGACTCAGAGTTTGGTCATTCTATAAGAAGTAAAATTTTGGGAATGCAAGGTAAATGAGAAATGCGGAGGGAGTAAGGAATGAGGGGAATGAGTTGTACCCGACAGCTCAGCTTAGCCTGACTCAGGGTGGAGCGGAGTATCGAAAGCTGGGGGCTTGCTTATCAGTTATCACGTGATACTGACCGAGGTTGCATCATTGCGGAGCTGCCCGATTGCCCAATCTGATAAAAGTGAAAACCTGACTTGACGAGGTAAAGAAGGATATCGCAAGTTAGATCCGGAATCTTGGTTTAGACGATAACATTAGAGTCCTGCCCAACTATGCTATGTGGTAACTGGGAACCTCCGAGTAGTTGACTCAATCATATATCTAGATACCAGCCTAAGAAGCTCAAGCCTGATAATTGAAGCGCATACTACATACTTTGCTCCTCCTTGCAGACAACGTCATTTTCCTCGCTCGCTTGAGTCAATCCGATGCAGAGAATGAAGAATCAAGTAATAAGTAATTGATTTAATTTCTAATCCTAACGATTATCATGTACAACACCGGAAACCTGGCGCCAGCCCCGCGGATTGCTAGAAGATCAACCGATAGCCCGATGGCCGGGTATTATCAATAAAACAAGACCGAGAAGTGAACCGAGTTATGAAAGGGGGAATCACAGACGACTAGTGGGGTACACGTAGTCGGGAGAACCGAAGTTTGAAGAAGATCGAGAGAAAGATGAAGAAGAAACGGGAAAAAGAAGCGTTCAGAAAAATGCCAGCCGGGATTCTAAATGCATTTCAGGCATTGATAAGGGGGTCATCGAAGCATCCGTGGGGGTCGTTATTCGTAGGTTCCTCGTTAATCGAAGGACAAGAATGTGAAGGAAACATATAAAGTCGAGCAGAAATCAGAAGGGGAATTCCAGATATGGGACACATTGTCTATCCCCCAAACGCCATAAACTGGAGGAAAGTGCCGAATCATAAAACAAGTGAGATGGACGTAGAAAAAGCAGAAGAAGAATGGAGACATAGATCGTGGGATCGGGGAACTTAGAAGCTAACTTCACCCGCATCGAGCTCCATCACGTTCTCATCCCAAAACTGATCAGAGGAAGATTCACGGACGGCGGGTTGGGAACCGAGCGCAAGTGCTTCGCCCTCGCCTCGTTCAACAAACTCGTCTTGTGTGATCTCTCTCATGATCCGTTGGAAATACATTCGTAAAGTTCGAAGACCACGCAGGTATCCCCGATCAATGTCTTGAGGATGTTGGGGTGGACAGGGCGTGTCTGGTGGAAGTTCATCTTCGCCAGTCACGCAATTGGCAAAATCAACGATCTTGAGCTGAACGTCAAAATTGTTATGGCCATCCTCGGATGCCCGACCGCGGGGCGGACGTGGTTCGCCTGGTTGACTAGGAGTTTGCGGGGGTGTCGCCTGCTCCCCATCGTACAAAATCAATAGACTGCTGGCATAGAGGCGGTAACGATCCAGCTTCCGGATCATATGCTCCAAGAGAGATAGTTTCTCAAGGATTATCGGTATCTTCTTAGCGACACTGGTGTAGCTGACCCCATCAAAGAGGAATCTGGTAAGGGCATCCTGGAATTCCCGGCCAGACTTCAAGTCTCGACCAAAGTATTTGTCTTCGAAGATGTACTCTTGTTTCTTGACGTTCCAGGCTTGCATACCACAAAGACGAACACCAAGTTGCTGTGAGGTTGTCGACTGACATTTGCGCCTCTGAGATTTCTTTTTCTTCTCAGTTGCCTCAATACCATATTGCCGAGTACCCATTTTGAGGTCAAGAACGCATGGTTTGTTCATACCCGCCGTGAGGTCTTCCAGGAGAAGGAAAAATTGAACACGTTCATCCTTCCTCATTTGGGCCTCCTTGGGATTGCTAGGAAGATGGGTGCCGACGTCTTCGTCGTCATCCTTGACCGTAGTGCGTGGAGTCTCAGGAGATCCTCGAATTGGTAAACCCGTAGAATATTGCTCACTGATCGACGTACTCTCCGAAGAGGGAGAGGATGAACTCTTCATCGCTGAGGGCTCCGTGGGGGAAACCAGGGCATCGCCCTCCATCGAGAAGATTTCATCCTCTTTATCGCCACCATAACCTTCATCATCGAAAAACATGAGATCGCCAGTGTTGTGGGAGTTGAGACTTCCTCGTCGTTGGAGGCCACCCCCCGAGTGACGCCGTCGTACCTGCTGGCCTCTGTTGAGAGAGTTCGACCGATTCGGCTGTTCTTGCGTTTTCACCCTTTCGAGTCGATTGCGATTCTCTTCCAGGGCAGTAGAGGCAGACGATGAAAGAGTCTGGCCCTCGGCGGAGTGTGATATGATGTTCAATGCGGGACTTTGGGGAGCATCCATCTTGGTGAGGGGAGAGGGGCGGCTGCTGGCCGTGTGATCTTCCGACAAATTTCCGCGGCGACGAGAGATATCAGAAGAAGCTCGGGGTAGCTGAAGGTGCCCGCGGGCATGACGTCGATGCTGATGAATCGCTGGTGGGCTGAAGACTTCCCGCAGAACTTGCTCTTGCAGCTGTCTGTTGACCGTGGTTGCTCCCCAAATCTTGTTCCGTTTTCTCAGGGATGGATCGGATTCGGTCGATAGCTTGCCCAAGCCGTCGGCCGAGCGAGGTCGCCCCAGCATTGTATCATCTATCAGGCGCGGTCGGTGGGTTCGAGAGAAAAGATCAGCTGGTATGATATGCCTATTATTCTCAAGGATGACTTTAGGAATTACGCCAGTCACTTGCTTCTGGCTTACAATCCGCTGGGGCTCGGGAGCTTCGAGGGCTTGGGATTTCGACGCGGTCCCGTTAGTATGAATTGCCTCGGATGCGTCATGAGCTTGGTCCGGACGATTCTTGGGGCGCTTGGAAGTCTTCGAGAATGTTACATTGAGAACCCCGATGTATCTGAAATTGTCAAAATCAGTTGTTTCTCAAAGGACATAGATTCAGGTGCCACGGAGAGTACATACCTTGGGAGAAACACTAGCATGTCGGGATGTCTTCTTTCAATGCGTTCATAAAATTCATTTTCTCGATTATTCAACTGCTTGCAAACAGCACGTCTAGAGAAACGGAAAACGGTGGTATGACCGCCAACCTGATGCCGGTAAGGCTTGAGCTCCACTGCTCCCAGAGGAGCAGGAGTCTTGCGCTTGGGTTTAGGGGTAAACCGAGAGCGCTGAGTCGGAGTTGCCGTTGGCGTCAACTCCGCGTCATCAGTCAGACTCGATTCGTCGTGAACGGATAACCCACTTTCGTCCGCTGACGGGGCTTCGGATTCGCAAGTAGACTCATACGTGCGCTCGGAAATCGTAGTTAGAGGCTTCTCCGGCACGCCTTCAGGGGGATGTCGAATGTCTCCAAGCTCGCCGTAAAGCGTCTTACTTTCCGTTTTAGATCGGAAGGAGATATCCACATGGCCGACTTCCTGCTCAGGGGAAGCGCTTCGCCCCTGGGAGACTAACATGAGCTCATGGCCCTTCTCCGCAGCGGAGAGCTGCACCGGGTGTGCACCATGGGGGTCGGCCACTAAAGGCTGCGCGCCTTCAACTCCTTCGGAAACTGCAATTCGTTCGTGCGGGAAGTATAGAGCAGACGAAATTTGCTCATTCTCCTCTTCTTCATCCTCGAATCGTTCTGACGCGTGACGTTCTTCCTCTTCAAGAGAACTCAATGACTCGGAAAACCGGTCAACGTGAGGCTCTTTCTGGAAATAGTCTCGACCACGTTCAGCATACTGCGTCGGGATACTCTTAGAGAAGGAAGAACCTCGGCCCCCACCGGGCGTGAGATGGAAGTTTCGAATTTCCTCTAAAAGACTGTGCGGCAAAACTGGTGGGCGACGCTTATCAAGCTCATCATCCTCTTTCTGGCGACTAAATTCGGCCGACTGTGGAGGGTCAAAGGTAGGTCCGTCAGCTAATGAAGGAAGGGAGATGCTTTTCCGAAGCAACCCATCCTCCTCTGCCATTAGGCGTAAGGCCGGGTGTTCAATTTCCATGGTACGGTCGGTCTGCTCGGATGTCTCATCGTGCTGTTGTGCACGGTCCTCTCTTCGTTTGCGGTCGGGCGAGGTGGTGTTTTCTTTAAACAAGCCCAGGTAGTGACTAGACTTACGGCTGCGAACGTGAGAAGCTGGCTCTACGTTGCTGAGATCTGCTTCAATAGAACTGTCCACACGACCTCGATGACTTCTGTTTGAGCTCCGGTCCAGCGCGATGCCCCGAGATGAGTCTGCCCGTGGAGTATGAGCTGCTGCCTCCGAGCTCACCGTCGGCCAGTCCTGACCGGGGGCAGGGGAGGTCAGAGACTGTGGTGACTGGGAGACATCGTCTAATACGGATGGGAGAAGACTGCGTTCAGCCAGGGAACTTTGTGAGCCACTTGGTTTCGTACCTGATACATCCAATGGCCCGGGCAATCGCGACTGAACTCCGGTCTGCCCCCCTTTGTCTTTCACTGAGTCTGTGGACGAGATAGACGAGCGCAGCCGAGACAAACGGGTAACATCGGCCGGGGAGAAGAGGGAAGAGGAGCGCAATGGGATGTGTCTGCGGACGTCAACTTCCATGTGGGAAGGGTCGACGTGAGAACGGTGGGGAGAGACCTTGGAGAGAGGACCTAGAGACCCAGACACATCATCCAGACCAGGAATCAAGTTGACCTGGCGCTCATTGTCGGATGGAATTTGGGGGGGAAATTGTGGGGTAGTTGCGGCGCTGTCCGAGGGGAGATAATGCGTCGCAAAGATACTATCTCTCTCGGACAGTTGTGGGCTGTAAGTAGTCTCGGAACGGGGGAATTTCTCCAGCGGGACCGTCGGCGCCCTTTTTAGGGCCAAGGTTGAGCCGGGCTGGGACCATTGATGGGTAGTTGTGGGGGATTCCGCACGCGATGGGGATTGCTCCTGTTGAGCCCCCTGGGACAAGTGTTGGTCCTGCGAAGAGTGGTGACGTGGGTTCGGCCGCGCTCGCTCGGCCCTCTTCGAGCAATCATGATGGGCAGGCGTGGCAGGTGTCACCAGGGGGTCAGGCAAGTTGTCTTCGGGAACGGGCGGCGGGTTTGACATGGAGAGGACATTGGTCAAGGCTGCACGGTCGGAATGGAAGGGAAGCGGAGCCGGCGGTGGTTGGCTGTTGGGAGTGTGTGGATGTGAGGTGGAAGAAGAAATTCGGGAACACTGTAGAGTGGGAAAGGGAGGATTGGCCTGAGGGGGGTGGCAGGGATGGCTTGAGCGACACAGGAGGATAACTGGCGTCACGAAGACAAGCAGAAGCAAGTTAGTGGAGCAAGCGACTTGAGAAGGAGGTTGGCCGGGGGTACCACGGGCAGTGAGAGGCCTTTTCTTTTTGGGAGAAGATACGTCGGGCCACGTTCGATAAAGGAAAGATCTTACAGGTTGAAGTGCTGACCGCAAATCGGTGGGAAGCCGGAATCAGAAACGAAGCTCAGACACTTTTCCACGGAGCAACCGGGGGGGG